AAGTAAAAATAAAGACTATTGATAACAAAAAAGGCATCTATGACACAAATGAAAGTAAAGACATTTTGAACTAGAGCAGGGTAACACATTGTAGGGCAGAATATTGTAGGTAGCGTAGATTAAAGTAGGGTAAATTAAAACAGAGTGCAGTAGATTAAGGTAGTGTAAGATATTGTAGGGCAGGGTAGAGTAGGGTAAGATATGAGAGATTAGGGTAGGGTAGGAGGGGATAGGATAATGTAGAGTAGGTTAGGGTAGATTAAGGCAGCTGAGGTTATGGTAGGGTAGGGTAGAGTAGGGTAGGGTAGGCTAGGTAGGGTAGGGTATTGTAAGGATACGGTACTATAATTTAAACCGAGCTGATAACTTTAAAATTTTAAATTGACCAACAGCCACGTCACAGCCACTATGTCAACATGCAATCCTCTTAATTTTATTTTGACTTTTCGAGTTCTACTAATCGTATGTTGACAATTTGACCCGTTAATAGTATTACCTACCATGTTTGCTCTCGACCACGGCTGCTTTTTCTGGTCGTTTCGCGACTGTTTATGTGGTCATGGGATAAAAAAAAACGAAAATCGCGCGGAACGTCGGAATAGGTCAAGGTGAGAAAAAAACGAAACAGATTCATACCTGTTCCATGTGATTTCCGCGATTTCCTTTGATAAATCACGGAGGATGTGAAGGACAATGTCGTGAAATCAAGATGAGAACAAAAAATGAGCTAGACAAGGGAAAATCAAAATGAAAAGTTTTAAAACCTTAAAATATTGAACAGTGGATTAAAGAATAGTGCTAATTATGGCAGAGCAACATAAGGCGAGGCTAGGCAGAGTGTGCTAGCGTACGGCAAGTTAGTAGAGGATATGGTATGGTTAAGTAGGGCAGCGTAAGGTAAACCAGAGTAAGGTAAGGCAGGTTATGAGAGGACAGGACAACGCAGTGCAGGGTTGGGTAGGCCAGTGCACTTCAAAGCAGAAGAAGGCAGAGCAGGGCAAAGCAAGGAAAGGCATGGCAAAGCAAGACAACGAAGGCCGGGCAAGGCAGGTTATGGGAGGGAAGGCAAGGCAAGACAAGACAAGACATGGCAAAGCAAAGTAAGGAAATTCAAGACATGGCAAAGCAAAAGAAAATATGGTAGGGCAAAATAAAGCAAGGTAAAGTAAGTTAGGACAAGGTATGGTAACGTAATGAAGAAAATTGTACGGTAGTATATTTCAAAGATCAAATTAATTTTCTTTTTGTTTTTTGATGCCTTATACCGTTGACTTTGTCTTTTACAAAAAATACGACAAAAGTGAAAAACGTAGCCTTGACATCTACACGCAGATGATCGTTAGGATCTTATGTTTTTGAAATTAGAAAACAGACCTTGTTTATAATAGTATGTTTGACCTGTTTTAAAGGTCTACGGTAACACAACATCAAAAAACATGTATTTTCTTGTTGTAGTAGTATAATGTCAAAAAGGCATTACAGTATGATTAGGTTTGAGGTTATGGGCATGTCATACCAATTTTTTTAAATTGAATTGGGGGAGGGGGGGGTAGAAGTAGGTATAAGGGTAGGCGTAGAGGTAACGGTAGGGATAGGGTATTTTTTCAGTTAACTTTTCAAATTTTTTTTAAAATTTTGAACGCAATTTTCTCCCTCATTTCGACGTTAAATCGGAATAGTAAACAGATTCCTTCGCCGTTCCGCATCGCCCCAAAAAACCTTTTGACTTTCTATTTGTGCAAACAAAAGATTGGGGCGAATGTTTTAAGGTCGCGAGCTGTTTTTTGCTTCAAAAACACATTCGAATTCGGACACGTGCCTCGCAAAAGTGCACAATAACAACGTTTTTTGGTTGAATTTGAGGGGAAAGTAAGGTTTTTATGGGAGAAGAACGGCTGTTTGAATGTGTAAGGTATCTTTGGGTTTATTTTGCATAAATTTTTTGTTATTTTTAATTATATTTTGCAAGAAATGGCATTGTAAGGCTTTGAGATTGGTCAGAAATGCCGTTATTTTGTTTCGGTAGGGCAGGGTAGGATGAGGTTGAAACAGGAGGAAGGTACCCCCCCCCCCCCGACCAAAAGTCCCCGCCCGGCAGTGTATATACCGAAAAAAAAATTGTTCTAAAACAGCTAAATAGCCTTGGCTAGCGAGATATAAGCATTTGCCGCTTTGCCATTATAGCTAAACTTTTTTTTATGTTACTAACTAATTGAATAAATTAATACTAATGTTAAAAACAACATGAGTAATATCTATGACTTGCCTCCGCTTATACGTGTCTAAAGCACTTTTAGTTTTGTTGACACGACGGTTTAAATTAATAAGCTAGACAACTCTATGAACTGTCGACTACTGATCAGCGATTTTTGCTTGTGTTCTTTGGTGTTTTCGTAGTTTCACATTTTTTTATATAGTAAATTAGAGAAAAATCATGTCGTTAATTTAAACGTATTTGAATTTCGAAAAACGACAAAACTTTTTTTCGACAGTCTCATAAACTTTTTCATTAAATAGTTTTTTAAATGTTGAAAAATTTCAAAAAAACAAGGCTTTGTTTTCGAATTTCGATACCAATTTTATTTTCGGATACGAACATTTCGAAAATCCCGACTGGTCAGTTTCACATTGTTTTTCAAGAAAACGTGATTTTTGACTATTGAGCGGGCAAACTGAGGCAATGTGAATGAATTACAGTACGGTATGATCAAGCTAGAGTGAATTAGGGTAGAGTAAGGATATGGCTAGAATTAGGACTAGGGCTAAGGGTAGGTCTAGAGCTAAGGCTAGGTCTAGAGCCCGGAGTAAAGCTAGGTGTATTTTGATGTATAGTCCAACCAAGTCTTGTTTATACGTATTAGGTTTACGTTTGAGTTTAAAGCTTGAAACCGTAATGATTTAAACCTTGTTTTTGCTTTTTGATGGAGCATGACCTACCGTACCATATCGACCATAAACTACATACAGTATGCAATTACCAAAACAGTAAACACCATGTTTAATGTCTCTTATTCAAATCTTGTTTACGAAACAACAAACCCACCCACATGAATAGTCATACGTTGCCAGATCCCTTGCCAATTTCGCTATTTCGAAACCAGAAAAACCCTGGTCCAAAATTGATGCCGCGTGCGTTTGCGCGCTCGAATTTCGAAAAAAAAACACCGCGAGATAAATGAAAAATCGAAAAAAGTTTAAAATTTTGAATTAAGATCAAATTTGGAACAAAAAATATTTTTAAAAAAATGTGTTTTTTAAAAATGGTAAAAACTGTCTCTACAAAGCAAATACGGCCAGAACTTTCTTCACAAAACAAAAAATGACAAAAAATTTTTTTTGCAAAACAAAAAATGGCAAAAACTTTCTTTACAAAACAAAATGCCAAAAAGTTTTATTTGAGCAAATTAATTAACAATAAGACATTTTTGTTTTGTGAACCTTAAGGAAGACCCCAATTTTCAAAAAAAATCCCAAAAAAACATGCGAATTTCGAAAAATCGCTCAAGAAATCAAAAATTGCACTTTCGATCCGGCTCAAGGTCGAGCGAAGATACGGCGACGTTCTCGAAACATACGACGTAAACAAAGAATGTTTTTGGGTTTTACATGTTTTTCCTCGTTTAATCTGGGTCGAAAAAACACGAGAATTGGGTAGTGGTCAAAAAACATGTAGCCTTCAAGAAAGTAGGCTGAAAAACATAAAAATGGGCAGGCTAAGAAGTGAAGCCTAGACCCTAACTTAACTTTACAGGAACCGGGCAGAGCAGGGCTGTGCAGTCAATGTACGACAGGGAGGGACAACACAGGGTAACACAAGGCAGGACAGGTCAAGACAAGACAGAGAAAGACAAGACTGGGCAGGGCAAGGCAAGGCAGAGAAAGACTAGACTGGGCAGGGCAAGGCAAGTCAAGGCAAGGCAAACTAAGGCAAAGCTGGGTAACTTAAGACCAGGCAGAGAAACGTAGGTTGCATGGGTGGGGTAAAGATAACATTTTTTTAATTTCCACCATGCTCTATATTATTGTTTTCGTATCCCCCAAACGTGGCGTGTAATTCGTAAATTGTGAAATCGACCCCATTAGTCGACGTTTCATTATTACCACCAACCCACCCCCTATTTTTTCCTATTTTGTTCACTTGACCAACGTGCGACTCCGCCCCGTTTCTTCGTTTCGAAACGTTTCGTTCAGATTTCGTCTCCGGGTATAAAAAGACGGTCGGACGGCGGGTCTTACCAACAATTGCGAACATGGACATAGACAGTGGTCACTTTTTTGAGAGAGGGCGAGTAATTTATGAAAAATTGGGAAGGGCGAGTAATTTATGAAAAGGGGGATCTGGAGGATGGTTTTTGATTTTCAAAATTAGTAGAACAGGGTAGGGTAGCTGGGGTAGAAAAAAAACATTTTAAAAATTTTTTTGTTTAATTTGACTAGATTTTTGTTAGGCTTATTTAAAGAAGGTATAGGTTTCTTTTAGAGGAGAGGGGTGTATTGCTTTATCTTCTTAGCCCTAGCTTTAGCATTTGCCCTATGTTATCTTTGGGCATAGCCATAGCCTTTGTCTTAGCCTTGCCTTAGCTTTAGTATAAACCTTAATCTTATAGTTAGCACTTGGCTTAGCTTTAGCCTGGGTCTTGATCTAACTGTAGCTCTAGGCTTAAGTATTTTTTCACTGTTCGTGAAAGTACCGTATTTTACAAAATATGACGCTTTTAAATTTCATTTTAATTTTGAAATTTGTAGAAATTTTACCACAAAAATCTACTGAGCGTTTTCAACGACCAATAACTACATACTGTACTGAATTTAAGGTTACAGTAATCCAAATTTAAACTACAGTAACTCTATTAGTTTAAAGCTTCACAACTCTTCATATCAACCTTTACAAACCTACATACCGACTTGACTTTTACTACTGTACTATTTCTACAGTACTCTTTTCGCTACAACAAACTTTACAATAACCTACACTTCTCCAATTTTCAAAACCTTCAAAAATGACTGTAGCTCCAACCTACTCTTCATCCGACGACTTCTACCATCCACGTCGCAGTAACAACAACTTGAACATGGAGATTGAGCATGTTATGAGGATGATGGCACAAGCCACCCTACCTACCTCATCTTCAGACATTAACAACAACAGTTTGGGGGACAAATCGAGTGGACTTAACCGGTCGACTGGAATGTTCAGCTCAGTACCCACTGATCAATGCTTGTACATTCAAATCCCTAAAGACAATGGGGGTGGATTGTTCTAAAGTAATGAAATTTTAAGGTGTTTTAGTTATAGATCTTCAAGTTTTAGTTTTTTTAAAGTTTTTAAGTTCAGTAATAACTTAACTTAAACGTAACTTTAGTAAACACAGTGTTTTAATACTGTATATTTTACAATATGTGTTTTCTTAACGTATCTTTTACCATATGTACATAACTTTTTTAAAATTCTACCACATATAATGAAATGCTCATTACGGATTGTACAGGTCTATATATAACTAAAAAAAGTATTTTCACGCTCATTTTGTATAACATTTCAAAATGTCCGAATATCTTAAAAACATGCCAAAAATGTATATATTTATCTTCACTCTCTTTATTATTGTACATATAATATTATCTTTTTATTTACTATTTTTATAAGAAAACCCCGTTGATGTTGTTTGAACTACCAATGCAATATTTAAATTCTGAAATACGAGTAAATCAATAAACATAATACTATGAAATTTAGAAATCAACTTTATAATTGAAAAAATTTATTAGAAATTCGACCTTTAAGTATTTAAAAAATAATAAGTCTGATTCTTTTTAGAGTAAAAATTTGTATAGTAAGCAAGAGCCATATGTAGGATAATGTAAAGAATAAGGAAGGGTGTAGAGTAGACTTTTTATTGAAAGTGAAGCAAACTGTAGGATAGAAGTAGGGCTTAGTTGGTGGAAAATACTAGAGCAAGCAAAGGGTGATAGGTAGAGCCAAGGGCAGGGTAGAGGGTTGGATAGAGTTTAAAATTAGGTAAAGGGTTGAGTAGAAGGTAGTGTAGACGGCAGAAAAGACACAAGTAGCATGAAGAAGGTATATTAAAGAATAGGGTGGGGCAATTTAAGGTTAGGGTAGGGTAGGGTAGGGTAAAGTAAGATCGGGTAAGGCAGGGTAGGGTAGGATTTAAAAAGTGATATATAAACGAGTGTTATTACTCTGATAAAGTAAAAGTTATTTAAGTTTTTGATATCAAAAAAACCTTGTTTTTCTTTATTTTTACTACAAATTTCCCCCAATATTGTTACATTTTACAGGTAGTTTGACAAACTTGCTTTCTCGTCGAAATCAACTCTTTCTTTTTTGTGAAATTTTTACTTTTCGGGCGAAAAACGTTGAAATCAAACGATTTTCCGTGTTACCTTCAAAAACCGAATGGCTAAAAATGCCAGCCGGCTGTGCAAAACGCTTTTTCTTATATTGTTTGCTGGTTGAAGTCGTTTTAGGCGGAGGCCTCACATTTACAGAAAGGTAAGGGATTTTGAGTTGAGTTATATTTTTTTATTTTAGATCTGATATTTGATTATGTCTTGAATTTACTTTAAAAATTTAAAAACGTTTTATAAGTAAAGTTTTTGGTTTATCCTGGATTTAAAAAAAGTAAAGATGTTAGAAAAATAATATACAAGAAAAGTACCTGCCGCGCTCAAAATCAGCTTAAAGTTTTAATATAACTTCTTTGTATCACCAATAGGACCCATAAAAAATTTTAGCTTGTGCTTCTGGGTTTTGAATTTGAAATATTTGAGTTTTCCGCCAATTTGCTAAATTTGGCATTGTGTTTCAAGCACTTTTTTTTGAGTTGCCAGACAAGTTACGCTTACAACTTTAAAAAGTAGGTTTATTTAAAGATGCCCTACAAGTATATTAAAGAAAAATGCTTAAAAGTAAAAAAATGACAAAATGATAAGCTTGATACACAATATCAATTTTGCGGGAAATTCAAAATGTAATTTTTTGATTACGATTTTCTTGAAATTGACGGTAAATGCGATTTAAAACTTTGTTTAAGATCTTATGTTTACATGAGCTTTCTATATAAAAAGTTTGAAAACAATCAGAGCGGGGTAGGTCGAGCACTTTCCTTGATAGTCAGGAGGGGGAAGGGACCAATAATTTTTTTTTGTTTTATAGATTACAGTGGAAAATCTTTATTTTTTTAATAACCTTACTTTACCCTATCTTATTCTATCTTACTCTACCTTATTCTATCCTAACCTACATTACCTTATTTTATTCTATCTTACCATATTCTACCCTAACTTCCATAGAAAATGTCACATTTTCTTTTCCAGAGACCGACAAGAGCACCAAGCAGCGATAGACGAAGTAAACAAGCGCAACCATGACCTGAATGCATCTCACGTTGAAGAACATGGCTTTTTCCGTTTTGTTTTTGGCAAAAACGGTCAGAAGACTCTACGTTACCACAAATTGAACCCAAATACTGGAGCTATCGTGTTCAGCAACTCATCCTTTGACTATTCCAATCACAATGATCCTTGGCATTACTCGGTCAACAAGTTCGGCGACACTTATCGGACCTCAGCGTTGATAGACTTCTTCATGGCCATGAATCCAGTTTATGCCTTCAAAGAAGTGTCATTTTTACATTATTTGGTCAATATTTGAAGTAATTTTATAATATAATATCTAAATGTAATTGCTCAATGTTTTTTATATTATAAATTATACTTTCAATCATAAGAAGATTCATAAAGTGGCAGCCATGAAAATGAATAAATAACTTTTTACATAACCCCAAAAACCCGGAAATTAATTACAGTTAAAGATAAAATCGCAAATTTAAAGAAATAACAACAAATTACAATCTTCATGTGCGCCAAAGAGCGGTTAAGCAATTTTCCGGAACTGTATTTCAAAAAAGATTATGTTGTTACACATACAAGGATTAAGATGTGTGGCCGTATTTTACGTACTGTTGTTTCACTTGTGGCCGCAAATCGTATCGAATGGGTACCTTGGAGTGGATGTGTAAGTTTCATCAACAACTTTTTGTAAAATTTTTATTTTTTTAGTCTTTACTCTTGATTTTATACTGTAGGATGGGCTTTGGTTAGAGTCGCAGCTTTTGAGCAGTTGTGTGCCGGCTCTTCAAATTCTTTGAAACTGGCTTTAGCCCAGCCTAGCTTTTATACAAAATCATTTATATAACAACTAAAACAATTTGTATTAGCCAAATCTTTCGTTGCGAGACCTATGCTGAGTCCCTGGAGTCTTGGTTTGGGCCCTTGTTTTCGGATTAACGTTTGTGGTTCCGGCGCGGCCTCTTTCCAAACTCCTTCGGCCTGGACCCGTGGCCGTGTTAAGCCTAATAAACCTCGGTCTCCTTTATATTTGAGTCTACTTTATAACTATAATAATTTTAGCTTCTTTGTAATATCTGGATTTCTAATGCACAAGTTACTACAAGACAAAGATCTTTCATTCGAAACCATATCAAACTTTTACTTTCGCCGAATTCGCCGCATACTGCCACTTTACCTTACTGTCATATTGATTACTGCAAACACGGCACTCTACGTTTATGGTTATTATCAGTACAAAAAACTGTTTAATGAATTCGTAACAGCTTCCACATTAACGTCGAATTTACTGAATTTACCGGATCAAGGCTATTTCGAATTCAACAATGCTTATCCACTGTTTTTGCATACATGGTCATTGTCTGTGGAGTTACAGTACTATCTATTGTTTCCCTTAATTTATCTTTTGTTCTGTGCACTACAAAAATCAAATTTTAGTGTAGGCTACGTGTTTATTTTTGGAACAGCCGTAGCAAGTTTTTTGTTTCAAGTGGTCAATGATAAAGGTAACAATATGGCTTTAATAGGGGTGAGAAACGGGCCTTGTTTACCCGGCTCAGCCCTAAAATAGGGACAAATGAGTCTGGGGCTAAAGTTGAAACGGTTAAGCTTGAAAAGTAGGCCCGGGTCCACAAAGAATAGTAACACAACAACTAATAAACCTCAGTTTAGACATCAACAAGACGCACATGCACACCTTTTCTCGAATCTGGCAATTTTTGGTCGGTTTTGCGGCGTTTGGCTATAAACTGTCACAAGATAAAAATGTGACAAAACTCGATAATGACCAAAACTCCGAAGCACAGATTCCTCTCATAAAATCTTCGTCCGATACTTTCCTCAAACTACCAGCTAAAAAATTTACTCTCAATACGCCAATGACTGGAAATATGAGAATTAGACAGATTTTCAAAAACCAGTTTCTACCAGCAATGCTAATCTTACAGTTAAGTTATTCGGGGCCTCAAGTTGTGTGTATTACTAAATTGGGTATTACGTTAACAGCAGCTTTAGTATTAATAGTTGATGACATAATCATTTCGTCACACCCATATTTGGTTTATCTTGGAAACATATCTTACTCATTGTATCTTGTGCATTGGCCTGTTTTTACTTTTACTAAATTTATGTATGGCTTTTGGCAAACTGAAATAGATAGTAAGTAAAAACATTCATATTACTATATTAATTTACCCTACCCCACCCTACAACTAAAAAGTATGTTTTCAGAAGGGCTACTGCTAATCCAGCTGAGTATACTATTAAGCATTCTTTTCGAAACTACCTTTAAGTCGGTATCGCAATTACTGGATAGTTGGAAGAAACTGTGTGCCACTTTACTGTGTATGTACATCGTTGTATTCGCACTAAGCCTACATATACATAACGAATACGTAAAGTACACATCGTGGAACATCAAACCTGAATACGTTACAAACGACAAGTACATGGACGCGGTTAACAGGGCTCTAGTATACTACAATAATCAAAAAAAGTTAATCACGCCAATGGAAGCGATAAGTCTAAACGGAGAAGCTGACTTAATCTTGTGCGAATTCGCTCAAGAATTTAATTTTCAAACTAACTTGACTTCAAGAGTTAAAGAGATTGTTTTTAAACAATACCATGTAAGTACAAAAAGATAGTCCTAAACCGGGCCCCAGCTTTAGCTATAGCCCTAGCAGTAACCATATAGTCAAACCCCACTGTACAGAAACTAATCTTATATTTACCTTAGGGAACCGGACAAAAACATATTGCTGTAGTTGGAAATAGCCTTGGAAGAGACTTATATTTTGGAATTATTGGAAAAATGCGTCATGTTTACAAAACCGCTACCTTGTTTTACATACCCACAGCTACTCCGTTTTATGAAGAATCAGAAAGAGACATATACCCCAGCATGTTTTATGATGGAATCGAAAAAATCAGAAAAATGTTTCCGATTGACATTTTGATTATAAAACATAGGTAAAAAAGCTCACCTTACCCGCCTATCATTGCTCTATCCTTAGCCCTAGTACTAGCCTAGTCGTAAAGCTAGCTCTGGCTCTAGCCTTGCCCATAGCTTAACCTCTAGCTTTAGCCCTAATTTAAGCCCTAGTTTTAACTTTAACTTTATACGCCCTCTCCATTTTTACCTTTATTCCTACATTCATACCCTCCTTACGTGAAATGTTTACAATAATAATATTTAAGCTACGTCCAGTTTTTGCTATATCCACCATATATTCAACACTTCATGTTTGATCAAATGCAAACATTCTACCACAATATAACCTCTAAAGCCAAACATATTGTGATGTCGTACTCCGAGTATGACCGTCCGATTCATTTCGAAAGGTTTAACCGCGATGTTCAACATAATAACACTCAAAACCTTTATTGCAACTATAAGGCAAGTTTACAAAAATAGATGATGAGGAATTTGAAAAATAAGCTACATTTGATTATTTAGGAATCCAAAGCAAGAGTACGACAAATGGATAATATAATAGACAAAATAAAGTGCAAGAACTGTATTAAAATCAACTTTAACCCCGCAACTTGTGATTATGTTATAAACAAGTGTGTCAATTACTTACCAAACGGAATTGCTTTGTTTCGTGACGGCGTCCACACAACACTCTATGGAAACCTCTTACATGCCGAATTTTTAGAAGACGAGTTAAATTTCCATAATATCTTGTAAATAGCCCGACAAAAGTAAATAAGTAGTCAAATTAATAAACTATACAACTAGTTAGAAAGGATGTCCACTTCAATAACAAAAATTTTATTAGAGTTTCAATAAATTTTAACATTTGAACAGGGTTTTGAAATGCCACCAAAAAATACATAGGAGCTAAGTCCGGACTGTATAAAGGCCATACAACCGGTGGTCAATTAGTGAAGCTCTTACGGCCCCAGGAAAGGTATCGTTTAGATACTGCCGCAGCGACGTGTAAAAGTGGGGCGGAGCTCCATCTTGTTGAAATATTGACCGTCCTACAAAAGTTTATTTGAGACTATCTGCAAATTGGCTAAGCCTAATCATATAAAAATTAATCGAGTTAAACCTAACATGAATAGTAATGTTTTGTATACAAAACACCTAACATTGAAGCTAAAAATAACTTACAGTATGCCTGTTTTCCTGTAGCATCCGTAGATATTTCTCTCCATCCAATTTAGCATGAATGAAAAATGGACCTACCCTTATTACTGATGCCAACCCAAACTATACCTTTTTGAAGAACAATTCTCATAAATATAAGTAATGCTGTCTCCGGCCAGTTTTTAGATTGAAAATTAAATTTTGCAGCAAAATCGCACTAACGCTTACTTATTTTATAAAATTTTTTGTGTTATTTTTATGAAATTTTTCGTTGGTTTTTCTCCAAGGCCTTTTTTGGGAAATTTATAGAAAAATAATGCATACGTCAAACAATCGTAACTAAGTTCAAAACAAAAATTACGTTTGAGCAGAATTTAGAAATCGAGATAACCTCACTCTTTGTTGAGCCACGTCACATGACTGGGCATCAAGTACACCTTTTGACACATTCCTTGTAATGCAAGGGTAGCTCCGTCGGCCTTTTACTGCGCCCTTAAACAGCAGCATAGTACGTTATAATCTACGGCTTCAACTTATCTATTAATTTATTCTATATCCCCCAAACTGGTCATTGTAACCGCGGAATAAATCAAATAAACAATTATATCTTTTAAATAATCTCAAAAACCCGGAAATAAACTACTATTGTAGATAAAATCGCAATTTAGAAAAATAACATCAAATTACTATCTTCATATACACCAAAGAACAGATAAAATTTTTTACGAAACTGTATCTCAAAAAAAATTATGTTGTTGCACATACAAGGACTAAGATGCGTGGCCGTATTTTACGTACTGTTGTTTCACTTGTGGCCGCAAATAGTAACGAATGGGTACCTTGGGGTCGATGTGTAAGTTTGATAATTTTCACATTTAAAAGTTTTTACTAGAAAATTGCACCAAAGATCCCACAGCTGTTGGTACGTGGCCTAATATAACACTTTTAAAATTTTAGTTTCTTTGTCATATCTGGATTCCTAATGCACAAATTACTACAAAACAAAGATCTTTCTCGCCAAACCATTTCCAACTTTTACTTTCGCCGAATCCGCCGCATAATGCCACTTTACCTTACCGTCATACTGATAACTGTAACCACAGCACTTTACATTTATGGGTTTTTTCAGTACAAAAAATTGTTTAATGAATTTATGACAGCCTCAACATTAACGTCAAACCTACTGAATCTGCGAGATCAAGACTACTTTGAATTTAACTATGCTTATCCATTATTTTTGCATACATGGTCATTATCCGTAGAGTTACAGTACTACTTATTGTTCCCCTTGATGTATCTTTTCTTCCGTGCACTAAAAAAATCAAATTTTTGTTTAGGATATGTGTTTATTTTTGGAACAGCCGGAGCAAGTTTTTTGTTTCAAGTGGTCAATAATAGAGGTAACAAAAGAATTTTCACATTTCTTATGTGTAGCGTAGTATGGGATAACGTAAAATTGAGTTTTAAAGCAAAAGAATGCCTAATAAACCTCAATTTAGACATCAACAAGTCGCATATGCACACCTTCTCTCGAATTTGGCAATTTTCGGTTTTGCGGCGTTCGGCTATAAACTGTCACAATACAAAAATGTCAAACAAATTGATAAAAAAAGGTCCGAAATAGATATTCCTCTCATAAAACCATCGTCCAATGCTTTATTCGCACTATCTCCTATACATATTATTCTCAATGAACCGACGGATAAAAATACAAAACTTCAACAGTTTTTAAAAAACCAACTTTTACCAGCGATACTAATCATACAGTTAAGTTATCCGGGACCCGCCATAGTGTGGTTAATTAGGTTGTCTATTACATTAACAGCAGCTTTGGTGTTAATAGTTGATGACATTGCCGTTTTGTCGTACCCATTTTTGGTTTATCTTGGAAACATCTCTTACTCGTTGTACCTTGTGCATTGGCCTGTTTTTACTTTTGCCAAATTTTGGTATGGATTTCAACAAAACGAGATTGATAGTAAGTAAAACTTTTATATTGCTGTGTTACTTTACCTTACGCTGCCATGTCTTGCCCTACCCTATCCTACCCTAAAATTAAAATTTTTCAGAAGGACTACTGCTAATCCAACTAAGCATACTGCTAAGCATTCTTTTCGAATCAACCTTTAAGTTTGTATCGCAACTATTAAATAATTGGAAGAAACTGTGCGTCACTTTACTGTGTATGTATGTTATTGTATTCGCTTTAGGCCTACATATCCATGACGAACACGTAAAGTACAAGTCTTGGAATATAAAGCCTGAAAACGTTACAAACGACAAATACATGGACGCGATTAACAGAGCCCTATTATACTACAATCATCAAAAAAAGCCAGTCACACGAATGGAAGCGATAAGTCTGAATGGAGAAGCTGACTTAGCAGTGTGCGATTTCGCTCAAGAATTTAATTTTCAAACTAACTTGACTTCAAGAGTTAAAGAGATTGTTTTTAAACAATACCATGTAAGTACAAAAAGATAGTCCTAAACCGGGCCCCAGCTTTAGCTATAGCCCTAGCAGTAACCATATAGTCAAACCCCACTGTACAGAAACTAATCTTATATTTACCTTAGGGAACCGGACAAAAACATATTGCTGTAGTTGGAAATAGCCTTGGAAGAGACTTATATTTTGGAATTATTGGAAAAATGCGTCATGTTTACAAAACCGCTACCTTGTTTTACATACCCACAGCTATTCCGTTTTATCGAGACTGGGACAAAGAAATACACCCAAGCATGTTTTATGACGCAATCGAAAACATTCGAAAAATGTTGCCGATTGACATTTTGATTATAAAGAACAGGTAAAATGGTTTATTTTGCCAATTAAGCCCTAGTTTGAGATTTTGCTTTATCCCTAGCTTTAGTCCTAGCCCTAGCATTACACCGTTCTCTAGCCTTAACCCTACAGCTTTGACTTTAACCCTAAACCCTAAGTCTAGCTCTATCCTTACCCTCATCTCCACCCTTCCTATGTAGAATTTTGACAATAATATTTTAGCTACGTACAGCTGCTAAAAAAACCACGATATATTCAACACTTCATGCTTGATGAAATGCAAAAGTTCTACGACAATGTAACATCGAAAGCCAAACATATTGTGATGTCATACTCCGACTACCACCGTTCGGTTCATTTTGAAAAGTTTAACCGCGATGTTCAACATAATAACACTCGAAATCCTTACTGCGACTATAAGGCAAGTTTATAAAATTGTCATATCAAACTTTAGATAATTCCAAGAGTTAAAGTTAATATCTGAAACCAAGTCTCCGGTACAATATTTTTTTATTACAATGTGCTACTCTGCCATCTCCAGCCGTGCCTTGCTCTGTCCTGTTTTGTTCTGCCCTTATTTGATTATTTCAGAAAGCCAAAGCAAACGTACAAAAATTGGATAAGATTATAGACAAAATAAAGTGCAAAAACTGTATTAAAGTCAACTTTAACCACGCAACTTGTGATTATGTTATAAACAAGTGTATTAACGCCTTACCAAACGGAATTGCCTTGTTTCGCGACATTTTTCACACAACATTCTTTGGAAACCTCTTACATGCCGAGTTTTTAGAAGACGAATTGAAACTCCATAACATCTTGTAAATAACACGACAAAATTTGATACTTAGTCAAATTAATAAACCAGAAAGATAGCTAGATAAAAATGTTCCACACAATAAAAGAAGTTTATTAGAATTTTAATAAATTTAACGTTTTATAGCCGCCAATCAAAAATTTTTCACGAAAACACTGATTTCATCCAAAAAACCGGTCATTTCGTCCAAAAAATCCGTCATTTCGCGAAAACAATTTTTCCCAGTATATGGAAAGTAAAATAAAAGTTTTTGCCTCGATATAATGATTGAAAGATATTAAATATAGCTAAGATACGTTTTTCAATGTAAGTTTTCTTTTTCACTTTATTTTTTTTGGAATTTATAGGAATTTTGAAGTTTTACTTGATTTCTTCGCATGGTTAATATAATTTTAAATGTTTCTCGCGTTTTTCGTTTGTTTTTTGGTTTATATTACTTAGTAATCAATAGTATATATTATTATTTATATTATTATTTTTGTTTTATTTAAATTTATTGTTAGGAATTATGCAGAATTTAATTTTTTAATAGTTTTAGGTATTAGGTAACATGGTTAAGGTAATTTTTGATTATTTTAGTGTCTTTTTGTTTGCTTTGAAATGATTTTTAGGTAGCATTGACATGTTGGTTAGTTATTATGTCAATTTTCTTATGTTTTAATTATGGGATTAGCTGGAATTTATTGTGAGAAACAAGGTAGGTGTTCAGATCACATAGATAATATAATTTATGATATTTAATGTTTTCGATATTTTCTCTTAGGTTTGGGTGACATGGTTTTTTCGTTTTTATTGTCAAAAAAGAAAACTACTGTTAGTTTAAGGCAAATTTGGTTATCTTCTGAGCACATGGTTAATATAATTTTTGGCGCTAATTTTCAAGAAATTTTAATATTTAAAACAGTTTAAAAACGATCGCTTGAGTTTTTTTAACTTTTGTGGTTAGTTTTGTTATATTTATTACTTACATTTATTAAAAAACATTAACATAAAGCATCAGTATAGGTAATGGTTACCGAAATTTTTTTTTCAAATTTCTACAGAACATTGAAGTATAATATAGTTTGCTTATAATATTTGGGAATAAGGATTAATCGTATGTTGCTTTGCAGTATTTTTGCAGTTGTTTTATGTTCTTCATGCACATTCCACAGCTCTTACGGCAATTTTCCAGGAACCATGGGCTTTCTCGGCAACGACCTTCGGCTGCGTTATTGGCACATTGAGGGTGATAATCACGGCAGTCTGGAAAAGGTGAGTATTTTAAATTTTTTTTCTTTTGGTTTTAGGTAATAAACAAGGATGGATCGAATAAAACAGATCTAGAGGGGAAAGGATGAACTAATGGTAATCTAAAAGAAGTTTTATCAATAAAAGGTGATCTGAAAGAAGATCGATAGAATATTGATACTAAAGTCTTGTCCATTGGCCGTTTATTTCAGAATGTGGCAAAGTAAGAAGGTTCAGGAGTGGATTTCCTCTCCCAGACTTTTTCCTTTGCTTTTTCTGCTTAATATATATAATTATTAAAAGGCCAGGTTTGTATTTTTTTGGCACCGTGCTTTAGGTTAGCAAAATTAAAAAGAATATGGAAAAAGCTGAATACCTTCAAAAACAAAAACACTTACCATCAACAGGATGATTGGCTTTACATTTACCACAACTCAATGGACAATCGTTCGTCATGCTATCGTCGCATTTCTTTTCAGATTTCCAAACTTTGCAACAAAGGTTGTGATCGAAACAGGTTTCTTCTTTGTCTTCATCATCATGGCTTTTGCTCAGGAGGCTTATATTATTTGTCTTCTTATGGCTCGTTATTGTCTTCTTATGCGTCTTTCTTGAATTAGTGATTGTTTCTGATCTTGAATTCGTCTTTTTTGATTGGGTTTCTGAGTGTGAGTTTGAAAATGACTTTTTGGCATTAGTTGCCCCTTCAAATTCTGAATTTTTCTTTTTTGTATCAGTCATTTTTGGCTCTGGTGTGGCTGCAAAATAACTCCAGAAGTGTTGTACGATCGAATTGATTAGACTTTCTTTGTTATCATCTTCACTCTTCTTATTGGAAGATCTCAATAGGTTGTGCGATGGTTTTATTCGGTTGCTTGAGGTTGGTAGTTTACTATGGAAAGATCTCAGCCCGCCATTTGGAGATTTCAACGATAATCTAGGTATTTCATCCTTATGAGTTTCATTAACACTACCCATGTCATCCAGTTCAGGATTAGCGGGGCGTTCTGTAAGGGGAGGCACTCGTGTTGTATGCGTAAAGTTATACGGATAGTAACCATGATTTTTCTCACAAACTGTTTTAAGTTCTTCATCAGTGTAGCATGTGCTACAGCTTATTCGACAATTCTCCAACATCCATGGGTTCTTACTACAATCTCCTTGTGCGGCGCGTATGGCACAATCGTCATAATAGTCTCTGCATTGACTAGTGGAATGGTCGTCAGCTTTACAAACTCCGCAACTAAGTCGACAAATTTGTACTATAGCTGGCGAAGAACACTGATCTTTCCACAATTTACAACACTCGTTGTTGTCGAAACATTCTGCATAACAATGCGGATCAGCTGAAGTGGTTGAAACAGGAATTGAGGCTGTAGTAGACGAAACTTCAGAGGTTGATGGACTAGCTGATGATGAGCTAAATGGGCTTTCTGATGTCGATGGACTTGAATGTTCAGAGGTTGATGGACTTGAATGTTCAGAGGTTGATGGACTTGAATGTTCAGAGGTCGACGGACTAGCTGATGATGAGCTAGACGGGCTTTCTGACGTCGATGGACTTGAATGTTCAGAGGTCGATGGACTAGCTGATGATGAGCTAGACGGGCTTTCTGACGTCGATGGACTAGCTGATGATGAGCTAGACGGGCTTTTTGATGTCGATGGACTTGAATGTTCAGAGGTTGATGGACTTGAATGTTCAGAGGTTGATGGACTTGAATGTTCAGAGGTGGATGGACTAGCTGATGATGAGCTAGACGGGCTTTCTGATGTTGATGGACTTGAATGTTCAGAGGTTGATGGACTTGAATGTTCAGAGGTTGATGGACTTGGATGTTCAGAGGTGGATGGACTAGCTGACGATGAGCTAGACGGGCTTTTTGATGTCGATGGACTTGAATGTTCAGAGGTTGATGGACTTGAATGTTCAGAGGTGGATGGACTAGCTGATGATGAGCTAGACGGGCTTTCTGATGTTGATGGACTTGAATGTTCAGAGGTTGATGGACTTGAATGTTCAGAGGTGGATGGACTAGCTGATGATGAGCTAAACGGGCTTTCTGACGTCGATGGACTTGAATGTTCAGAGGTGGATGGACTAGCTGATGATGAGGTAGACGGGCTTTCTGATGTCGATGGACTTGAATGTTCAGAGGTCGATGGACTAGCTGATGATGAGCTAGACGGGCTTTCTGACGTCGATGGACTTGAATGTTCAGAGGTCGATGGACTAGCTGATGATGAGCTAGACGGGCTTTCTGACGTCGATGGACTTGAATGTTCAAAGGTGGATGGACTAGCTGATGATGAGGTAGACGGGCTTTCTGATGTCGATGGACTTGAATGTTCAGAGGTCGATGGGCTAGCTGATGATGAGCTAGACGGGCTTTCTGATGTCGATGGATTTGAATGTTCAGAGGTCGACGGACTAGCTGATGATGAGCTAGACGGGCTTTCTGATGTCGATGGACTTGAATGTTCAGAGGTCGACGGACTAGCTGATGATGAGCTAGACGGGCTTTCTGACGTCGATGGACTTGAATGTTCAGAGGTCGATGGACTAGCTGATGATGAGCTAGACGGGATTTCTGACGTCGATGGACTAGCTGATGATGAGCTAGACGGGCTTTCTGATGTCGATGGACTTGAATGTTCAGAGGTGGATGGACTTGAATGTTCAGAGGTCGATGGACTAGCTGATGATGAGCTAGACGGGCTTTCTGACGTCGATGGACTAGCTGATGATGAGCTAGACGGGCTTTTTGATGTCGATGGACTTGAATGTTCAGAGGTTGATGGACTTGAATGTTCAGAGGTTGATGGACTTGAATGTTCAGAGGTGGATGGACTAGCTGATGATGAGCTAGACGGGCTTTCTGATGTCGATGGACTAGCTGATGATGAGCTAGACGGGCTTTCTGATGTCGATGGACTTGAATGTTCAGAGGTCGACGGACTAGCTGATGATGAGCTAGACGGGCTTTCTGATGTCGATGGACTTGAATGTTCAGAGGTCGATGGGCTAGCTGATGATGAGCTAGACGGGCTTTCTGATGTCGATGGATTTGAATGTTCAGAGGTCGACGGACTAGCTGATGATGAGCTAGACGGGCTTTCTGACGTCGATGGACTTGAATGTTCAGAGGTCGATGGACTAGCTGATGATGAGCTAGACGGGATTTCTGACGTCGATGGACTAGCTGATGATGAGCTAGACGGGCTTTCTGATGTTGATGGACTTGAATGTTCAGAGGTGGATGGACTTGAATGTTCAGAGGTCGATGGACTAGCTGATGATGAGCTAGACGGGCTTTCTGACGTCGATGGACTAGCTGATGATGAGCTAGACGGGCTTTTTGATGTCGATGGACTTGAATGTTCAGAGGTTGATGGACTTGAATGTTCAGAGGTTGATGGACTTGAATGTTCAGATGTCGATGGACTAGCTGATGATGAGCTAGACGGGCTTTCTGACGTCGATGGACTTGAATGTTCAGAGGTCGATGGACTAGCTGATGATGAGCTAGACGGGCTTTCTGATGTCGATGGACTTGAATGTTCAGAGGTCGATGGGCTAGCTGATGATGAGCTAGACGGGCTTTCTGATGTCGATGGACTTGAATGTTCAGAGGTCGATGGGCTAGCTGATGATGAGCTAGACGGGCTTTCTGATGTCGATGGATTTGAATGTTCAGAGGTCGACGGACTAGCTGATGATGAGCTAGACGGGCTTTCTGACGTCGATGGACTTGAATGTTCAGAGGTCGATGGACTAGCTGATGATGAGCTAGACGGGCTTTCTGATGTCGATGGACTTGAATGTTCAGAGGTCGACGGACTAGCTGATGATGAGCTAGACGGGCTTTCTGATGTCGATGGACTTGAATGTTCAGAGGTCGATGGGCTAGCTGATGATGAGCTAGACGGGCTTTCTGATGTCGATGGATTTGAATGTTCAGAGGTCGACGGACTAGCTGATGATGAGCTAGACGGGCTTTCTGACGTCGATGGACTTGAATGTTCAGAGGTCGATGGACTAGCTGATGATGAGCTAGACGGGATTTCTGACGTCGATGGACTAGCTGATGATGAGCTAGACGGGCTTTCTGATGTCGATGGACTTGAATGTTCAGAGGTGGATGGACTTGAATGTTCAGAGGTCGATGGACTAGCTGATGATGAGCTAGACGGGCTTTCTGACGTCGATGGACTTGAATGTTCAGAGGTCGATGGACTAGCTGATGATGAGCTAGACGGGCTTTCTGATGTCGATGGACTTGAATGTTCAGAGGTGGATGGACTTGAATGTTCAGAGGTTGATGGACTTGAATGTTCAGATGTCGATGGACTAGCTGATGATGAGCTAGACGGGCTTTCTGATGTCGATGGACTTGAATGTTCAGAGGTCGATGGACTTGAATGTTTAGAGGTTGATGGACTTGAATGTTCAGATGTCGATGGACTAGCTGATGATGAGCTAGACGGGATTTCTGACGTCGATGGACTAGCTGATGATGAGCTAGACGGGCTTTCTGACGTCGATGGACTTGAATGTTCAGAGGTCGACGGACTAGCTGATGATGAGCTAGACGGGATTTCTGACGTCGATGGACTAGCTGATGATGAGCTAGACGGGCTTTCTGACGTCGATGGACTTGAATGTTCAGAGGTCGACGGACTAGCTGATGATGAGCTAGACGGGCTTTCTGACGTCGATGGACTTGAATGTTCAGAGGTGGATGGACTTGAATGTTCAGAGGTTGATGGACTTGAATGTTCAGATGTCGATGGACTAGCTGATGATGAGCTAGACGGGCTTTCTGACGTCGATGGACTTGAATGTTCAGAGGTCGATGGACTAGCTGATGATGAGCTAGACGGGCTTTCTGATGTCGATGGACTTGAATGTTCAGAGGTCGATGGGCTAGCTGATGATGAGCTAGACGGGCTTTCTGATGTCGATGGACTAGCTGATGATGAGCTAGACGGGCTTTTTGATGTCGATGGACTTGAATGTTCAGAGGTTGATGGACTTGAATGTTCAGAGGTTGATGGACTTGAATGTTCAGAGGTCGATGGACTAGCTGATGATGAGCTAGACGGGCTTTCTGACGTCGATGGACTTGAATGTTCAGAGGTCGATGGACTAGCTGATGATGAGCTAGACGGGCTTTCTGATGTCGATGGACTTGAATGTTCAGAGGTCGATGGGCTAGCTGATGATGAGCTAGACGGGCTTTCTGATGTCGATGGACTTGAATGTTCAGAGGTGGATGGACTTGAATGTTCAGAGGTTGATGGACTTGAATGTTCAGATGTCGATGGACTAGCTGATGATGAGCTAGACGGGCTTTCTGACGTCGATGGACTTGAATGTTCAGAGGTCGATGGACTAGCTGATGATGAGCTAGACGGGCTTTCTGATGTCGATGGACTTGAATGTTCAGAGGTCGATGGGCTAGCTGATGATGAGCTAGACGGGCTTTCTGATGTCGATGGACTAGCTGATGATGAGCTAGACGGGCTTTTTGATGTCGATGGACTTGAATGTTCAGAGGTTGATGGACTTGAATGTTCAGAGGTTGATGGACTTGAATGTTCAGAGGTCGATGGACTAGCTGATGATGAGCTAGACGGGCTTTCTGACGTCGATGGACTTGAATGTTCAGAGGTCGATGGACTAGCTGATGATGAGCTAGACGGGCTTTCTGATGTCGATGGACTTGAATGTTCAGAGGTCGATGGACTAGCTGATGATGAGCTAGACGGGATTTCTGACGTCGATGGACTAGCTGATGATGAGCTAGACGGGCTTTCTGACGTCGATGGACTTGAATGTTCAGAGGTTGATGGACTTGAATGTTCAGAGGTTGATGGACTTGAATGTTCAGAGGTCGATGGACTAGCTGATGATGAGCTAGACGGGCTTTCTGATGTCGATGGACTTGAATGTTCAGAGGTCGATGGGCTAGCTGATGATGAGCTAGACGGGCTTTCTGATGTCGATGGACTTGAATGTTCAGAGGTCGATGGGCTAGCTGATGATGAGCTAGACGGGCTTTCTGATGTCGATGGACTTGAATGTTCAGAGGTGGATGGACTTGAATGTTCAGAGGTCGACGGACTAGCTGATGATGAGCTAGACGGGCTTTCTGATGTCGATGGACTTGAATGTTCAGAGGTCGACGGACTAGCTGATGATGAGCTAGACGGGCTTTCTGATGTCGATGGACTTGAATGTTCAGAGGTCGACGGACTAGCTGATGATGAGCTAGACGGGCTTTCTGATGTCGATGGACTTGAATGTTCAGAGGTCGACGGACTAGCTGATGATGAGCTAGACGGGCTTTCTGATGTCGATGGACTTGAATGTTCAGAGGTCGACGGACTAGCTGATGATGAGCTAGACGGGCTTTCTGATGTCGATGGACTTGAATGTTCAGAGGTCGACGGACTAGCTGATGATGAGCTAGACGGGCTTTCTGATGTCGATGGACTTGAATGTTCAGAGGTCGATGGGCTAGCTGATGATGAGCTAGACGGGCTTTCTGATGTCGATGGACTTGAATGTTCAGAGGTCGACGGACTAGCTGATGATGAGCTAGACGGGCTTTCTGACGTCGATGGACTTGAATGTTCAGAGGTTGATGGACTTGAATGTTCAGAGGTTGATGGACTTGAATGTTCAGAGGTGGATGGACTAGCTGACGATGAGCTAGACGGGCTTTCTGATGTCGATGGACTAGCTGATGATGAGCTAGACGGGCTTTCTGACGTCGATGGACTTGAATGTTCAGAGGTCGACGGACTAGCTGATGATGAGCTAGACGGGATTTCTGACGTCGATGGACTAGCTGATGATGAGCTAGACGGGCTTTCTGATGTCGATGGACTTGAATGTTCAGAGGTGGATGGACTTGAATGTTCAGAGGTCGACGGACTAGCTGATGATGAGCTAGACGGGCTTTCTGATGTCGATGGACTTGAATGTTCAGAGGTCGACGGACTAGCTGATGATGAGCTAGACGGGCTTTCTGATGTCGATGGACTTGAATGTTCAGAGGTCGACGGACTAGCTGATGATGAGCTAGACGGGCTTTCTGATGTCGATGGACTTGAATGTTCAGAGGTCGACGGACTAGCTGATGATGAGCTAGACGGGCTTTCTGATGTCGATGGACTTGAATGTTCAGAGGTCGACGGACTAGCTGATGATGAGCTAGACGGGCTTTCTGATGTCGATGGACTTGAATGTTCAGAGGTCGATGGGCTAGCTGATGATGAGCTAGACGGGCTTTCTGATGTCGATGGACTTGAATGTTCAGAGGTCGACGGACTAGCTGATGATGAGCTAGACGGGCTTTCTGACGTCGATGGACTTGAATGTTCAGAGGTTGATGGACTTGAATGTTCAGAGGTTGATGGACTTGAATGTTCAGAGGTGGATGGACTAGCTGACGATGAGCTAGACGGGCTTTCTGATGTCGATGGACTAGCTGATGATGAGCTAGACGGGCTTTCTGACGTCGATGGACTTGAATGTTCAGAGGTCGACGGACTAGCTGATGATGAGCTAGACGGGATTTCTGACGTCGATGGACTAGCTGATGATGAGCTAGACGGGCTTTCTGATGTCGATGGACTTGAATGTTCAGAGGTGGATGGACTTGAATGTTTAGAGGTCGACGGACTAGCTGATGATGAGCTAGACGGGATTTCTGACGTCGATGGACTTGAATGTTCAGAGGTCGATGGGCTAGCTGATGATGAGCTAGACGGGCTTTCTGATGTCGATGGACTAGCTGATGATGAGCTAGACGGGCTTTCTGATGTCGATGGACTTGAATGTTCAGAGGTCGACGGACTAGCTGATGATGAGCTAGACGGGCTTTCTGATGTCGATGGACTTGAATGTTCAGAGGTCGATGGGCTAGCTGATGATGAGCTAGACGGGCTTTCTGATGTCGATGGATTTGAATGTTCAGAGGTCGACGGACTAGCTGATGATGAGCTAGACGGGCTTTCTGACGTCGATGGACTTGAATGTTCAGAGGTCGATGGACTAGCTGATGATGAGCTAGACGGGATTTCTGACGTCGATGGACTAGCTGATGATGAGCTAGACGGGCTTTCTGATGTCGATGGACTTGAATGTTCAGAGGTGGATGGACTTGAATGTTCAGAGGTCGATGGACTAGCTGATGATGAGCTAGACGGGCTTTCTGACGTCGATGGACTAGCTGATGATGAGCTAGACGGGCTTTTTGATGTCGATGGACTTGAATGTTCAGAGGTTGATGGACTTGAATGTTCAGAGGTTGATGGACTTGAATGTTCAGATGTCGATGGACTAGCTGATGATGAGCTAGACGGGCTTTCTGACGTCGATGGACTTGAATGTTCAGAGGTCGATGGACTAGCTGATGATGAGCTAGACGGGCTTTCTGATGTCGATGGACTTGAATGTTCAGAGGTCGATGGGCTAGCTGATGATGAGCTAGACGGGCTTTCTGATGTCGATGGACTAGCTGATGATGAGCTAGACGGGCTTTTTGATGTCGATGGACTTGAATGTTCAGAGGTTGATGGACTTGAATGTTCAGAGGTTGATGGACTTGAATGTTCAGAGGTCGATGGACTAGCTGATGATGAGCTAGACGGGCTTTCTGACGTCGATGGACTTGAATGTTCAGAGGTCGATGGACTAGCTGATGATGAGCTAGACGGGCTTTCTGATGTCGATGGACTTGAATGTTCAGAGGTCGATGGACTAGCTGATGATGAGCTAGACGGGATTTCTGACGTCGATGGACTAGCTGATGATGAGCTAGACGGGCTTTCTGACGTCGATGGACTTGAATGTTCAGAGGTTGATGGACTTGAATGTTCAGAGGTCGATGGACTAGCTGATGATGAGCTAGACGGGCTTTCTGATGTCGATGGACTTGAATGTTCAGAGGTCGATGGGCTAGCTGATGATGAGCTAGACGGGCTTTCTGATGTCGATGGACTTGAATGTTCAGAGGTGGATGGACTTGAATGTTCAGAGGTCGACGGACTAGCTGATGATGAGCTAGACGGGCTTTCTGATGTCGATGGACTTGAATGTTCAGAGGTCGACGGACTAGCTGATGATGAGCTAGACGGGCTTTCTGATGTCGATGGACTTGAATGTTCAGAGGTCGACGGACTAGCTGATGATGAGCTAGACGGGCTTTCTGATGTCGATGGACTTGAATGTTCAGAGGTCGACGGACTAGCTGATGATGAGCTAGACGGGCTTTCTGATGTCGATGGACTTGAATGTTCAGAGGTCGACGGACTAGCTGATGATGAGCTAGACGGGCTTTCTGATGTCGATGGACTTGAATGTTCAGAGGTCGATGGGCTAGCTGATGATGAGCTAGACGGGCTTTCTGATGTCGATGGACTTGAATGTTCAGAGGTCGACGGACTAGCTGATGATGAGCTAGACGGGCTTTCTGACGTCGATGGACTTGAATGTTCAGAGGTTGATGGACTTGAATGTTCAGAGGTTGATGGACTTGAATGTTCAGAGGTGGATGGACTAGCTGACGATGAGCTAGACGGGCTTTCTGATGTCGATGGACTAGCTGATGATGAGCTAGACGGGCTTTCTGACGTCGATGGACTTGAATGTTCAGAGGTCGACGGACTAGCTGATGATGAGCTAGACGGGATTTCTGACGTCGATGGACTAGCTGATGATGAGCTAGACGGGATTTCTGATGTCGATGGACTTGAATGTTCAGAGGTGGATGGACTTGAATGTTTAGAGGTCGACGGACTAGCTGATGATGAGCTAGACGGGATTTCTGACGTCGATGGACTAGCTGATGATGAGCTAGACGGGCTTTCTGACGTCGATGGACTTGAATGTTCAGAGGTTGATGGACTAGCTGATGATGAGCTAGACGGGATTTCTGACGTCGATGGACTAGCTGATGATGAGCTAGACGGGCTTTCTGACGTCGATGGACTTGAATGTTCAGAGGTCGATGGACTAGCTGATGATGAGCTAGACGGGATTTCGGACGTCGATGGACTAGCTGATGATGAGCTAGACGGGCTTTCTGATGTCGATGGACTTGAATGTTCAGAGGTGGATGGACTTGAATGTTCAGAGGTCGACGGACTAGCTGATGATGAGCTAGACGGGCTTTCTGATGTCGATGGACTTGAATGTTCAGAGGTCGACGGACTAGCTGATGATGAGCTAGACGGGCTTTCTGATGTCGATGGACTTGAATGTTCAGAGGTCGACGGACTAGCTGATGATGAGCTAGACGGGCTTTCTGATGTCGATGGACTTGAATGTTCAGAGGTCGACGGACTAGCTGATGATGAGCTAGACGGGCTTTCTGATGTCGATGGACTTGAATGTTCAGAGGTCGACGGACTAGCTGATGATGAGCTAGACGGGCTTTCTGATGTCGATGGACTTGAATGTTCAGAGGTCGATGGGCTAGCTGATGATGAGCTAGACGGGCTTTCTGATGTCGATGGACTTGAATGTTCAGAGGTCGACGGACTAGCTGATGATGAGCTAGACGGGCTTTCTGACGTCGATGGACTTGAATGTTCAGAGGTTGATGGACTTGAATGTTCAGAGGTTGATGGACTTGAATGTTCAGAGGTGGATGGACTAGCTGACGATGAGCTAGACGGGCTTTCTGATGTCGATGGACTAGCTGATGATGAGCTAGACGGGCTTTCTGACGTCGATGGACTTGAATGTTCAGAGGTCGACGGACTAGCTGATGATGAGCTAGACGGGATTTCTGACGTCGATGGACTAGCTGATGATGAGCTAGACGGGCTTTCTGATGTCGATGGACTTGAATGTTCAGAGGTGGATGGACTTGAATGTTTAGAGGTCGACGGACTAGCTGATGATGAGCTAGACGGGATTTCTGACGTCGATGGACTAGCTGATGATGAGCTAGACGGGCTTTCTGACGTCGATGGACTTGAATGTTCAGAGGTTGATGGACTAGCTGATGATGAGCTAGACGGGATTTCTGACGTCGATGGACTAGCTGATGATGAGCTAGACGGGCTTTCTGACGTCGATGGACTTGAATGTTCAGAGGTCGATGGACTAGCTGATGATGAGCTAGACGGGATTTCGGACGTCGATGGACTAGCTGATGATGAGCTAGACGGGCTTTCTGATGTCGATGGACTTGAATGTTCAGAGGTGGATGGACTTGAATGTTCAGAGGTGGATGGACTTGAATGTTCAGAGGTTGATGGGCTAGCTGATGATGAGCTAGACGGGCTTTCTGACGTCGATGGACTTGAATGTTCAGAGGTCGATGGACTAGCTGATGATGAGCTAGACGGGCTTTCTGATGTCGATGGACTTGAATGTTCAGAGGTCGACGGACTAGCTGATGATGAGCTAGACGGGCTTTCTGATGTCGATGGACCTGAATGTTCAGAGGTGGATGGACTTGAATGTTCAGAGGTTGATGGGCTAGCTGATGATGAGCTAGACGGGCTTTCTGACGTCGATGGACTTGAATGTTCAGAGGTTGATGGGCTAGCTGATGATGAGCTAGACGGGATTTCTGACGTCGATGGGCTAGCTGATGATGAGCTAGACGGGCTTTCTGACGTCGATGGACTTGAATGTTCAGAGGTCGACGGACTAGCTGATGATGAGCTAGACGGGCTTTCTGACGTCGATGGACTTGAATGTTCAGAGGTCGACGGACTAGCTGATGATGAGCTAGACGGGATTTCTGACGTCGATGGACTAGCTGATGATGAGCTAGACGGGCTTTCTGACGTCGATGGACTTGAATGTTCAGAGGTCGACGGACTAGCTGATGATGAGCTAGACGGGCTTTCTGACGTCGATGGACTTAAATGTTCAGAGGTCGACGGACTAGCTGATGATGAGCTAGACGGGCTTTCTGATGTCGATGGACTTGAATGTTCAGAGGTCGACGGACTAGCTGATGATGAGCTAGACGGGCTTTCTGATGTCGATGGACCTGAATGTTCAGAGGTGGATGGACTTGAATGTTCAGAGGTTGATGGGCTAGCTGATGATGAGCTAGACGGGCTTTCTGACGTCGATGGACTTGAATGTTCAGAGGTTGATGGGCTAGCTGATGATGAGCTAGACGGGCTTTCTGACGTCGATGGACTTGAATGTTCAGAGGTCGACGGACTAGCTGATGATGAGCTAGACGGGCTTTCTGATGTCGATGGACTTGAATGTTCAGAGGTCGACGGACTAGCTGATGATGAGCTAGACGGGATTTCTGACGTCGATGGACTAGCTGATGATGAGCTAGACGGGATTTCTGACGTCGATGGACTAGCTGATGATGAGCTAGACGGGCTTTCTGACGTCGATGGACTTGAATGTTCAGAGGTCGACGGACTAGCTGATGATGAGCTAGACGGGCTTTCTGACGTCGATGGACTTGAATGTTCAGAGGTCGACGGACTAGCTGATGATGAGCTAGACGGGATTTCTGACGTCGATGGACTAGCTGATGATGAGCTAGACGGGCTTTCTGACGTCGATGGACTTGAATGTTCAGAGGTCGACGGACTAGCTGATGATGAGCTAGACGGGCTTTCTGACGTCGATGGACTTAAATGTTCAGAGGTCGACGGACTAGCTGATGATGAGCTAGACGGGCTTTCTGATGTCGATGGACTTGAATGTTCAGAGGTTGATGGGCTAGCTGATGATGAGCTAGACGGGCTTTTTGACGTCGATGGACTTGAATGTTCAGAGGTCGACGGACTAGCTGATGATGAGCTAGACGGGATTTCTGACGTCGATGGACTTGAATGTTCAGAGGTCGATGGACTAGCTGATGATGAGCTAGACGGGCTTTCTGATGTCGATGGACTTGAATGTTCAGAGGTCGATGGACTTGAATGTTTAGAGGTTGATGGACTTGAATGTTCAGATGTCGATGGACTAGCTGATGATGAGCTAGACGGGATTTCTGACGTTGATGGACTAGCTGATGATGAGCTAGACGGGCTTTCTGACGTCGATGGACTTGAATGTTCAGAGGTCGACGGACTAGCTGATGATGAGCTAGACGGGATTTCTGACGTCGATGGACTAGCTGATGATGAGCTAGACGGGCTTTCTGACGTCGATGGACTTGAATGTTCAGAGGTCGACGGACTAGCTGATGATGAGCTAGACGGGCTTTCTGACGTCGATGGACTTGAATGTTCAGAGGTGGATGGACTTGAATGTTCAGAGGTTGATGGGCTAGCTGATGATGAGCTAGACGGGCTTTTTGACGTCGATGGACTTGAATGTTTAGAGGTCGACGGACTAGCTGATGATGAGCTAGACGGGCTTTCTGACGTCGATGGACTTGAATGTTCAGAGGTCGACGGACTAGCTGATGATGAGCTAGACGGGATTTCTGACGTCGATGGACTTGAATGTTCAGAGGTCGATGGACTAGCTGATGATGAGCTAGACGGGATTTCTGATGTCGATGGACTTGAATGTTCAGAGGTCGACGGACTAGCTGATGATGAGCTAGACGGGCTTTCTGATGTCGATGGACTTGAATGTTCAGAGGTGGATGGACTTGAATGTTCAGAGGTGGATGGACTTGAATGTTCAGAGGTGGATGGACTTGAATGTTCAGAGGTGGATGGACTTGAATGTTCAGAGGTTGATGGGCTAGCTGATGATGAGCTAGACGGGCTTTCTGATGTCGATGGACTTGAATGTTCAGAGGTCGACGGACTAGCTGATGATGAGCTAGACGGGATTTCTGATGTCGATGGACTTGAATGTTCAGAGGTCGACGGACTAGCTGATGATGAGCTAGACGGGATTTCTGACGTCGATGGACTAGCTGATGATGAGCTAGACGGGCTTTCTGACGTCGATGGACTTGAATGTTCAGAGGTTGATGGGCTAGCTGATGATGAGCTAGACGGGCTTTCTGATGTCGATGGACTTGAATGTTCAGAGGTCGACGGACTAGCTGATGATGAGCTAGACGGGCTTTCTGACGTCGATGGACTTGAATGTTCAGAGGTCGATGGACTAGCTGATGATGAGCTAGACGGGATTTCTGACGTCGATGGACTAGCTGATGATGAGCTAGACGGGCTTTCTGATGTCGATGGACTTGAATGTTCAGAGGTCGATGGGCTAGCTGATGATGACCTAGACGGGCTTTCTGACGTCGATGGACTTGAATGTTCAGAGGTTGATGGGCTAGCTGATGATGAGCTAGACGGGCTTTCTGATGTCGATGGACTTGAATGTTCAGAGGTCGACGGACTAGCTGATGATGAGCTAGACGGGCTTTCTGATGTCGATGGACTTGAATGTTCAGAGGTCGACGGACTAGCTGATGATGAGCTAGACGGGCTTTCTGATGTCGATGGACTTGAATGTTCAGAGGTCGATGGGCTAGCTGATGATGAGCTAGACGGGCTTTCTGACGTCGATGGACTTGAATGTTCAGAGGTGGATGGACTTGAATGTTCAGAGGTTGATGGGCTAGCTGATGATGAGCTAGACGGGCTTTCTGATGTCGATGGACTTGAATGTTCAGAGGTCGACGGACTAGCTGATGATGAGCTAGACGGGATTTCTGACGTCGATGGACTTGAATGTTCAGAGGTCGACGGACTAGCTGATGATGAGCTAGACGGGATTTCTGACGTCGATGGACTTGAATGTTCAGAGGTCGACGGACTAGCTGATGATGAGCTAGACGGGCTTTCTGATGTCGATGGACTTGAATGTTCAGAGGTCGATGGGCTAGCTGATGATGAGCTAGACGGGCTTTCTGACGTCGATGGACTTGAATGTTCAGAGGTGGATGGACTTGAATGTTCAGAGGTCGATGGACTAGCTGATGATGATGAGCTAGACGGGCTTTCTGATGTCGATGGACTTGAATGTTCAGAGGTCGATGGGCTAGCTGATGATGAGCTAGACGGGCTTTCTGATGTCGATGGACTTGAATGTTCTGAGGTCGATGGACTTGAATGTTCTGAGGTCGATGGACTAGACGTTGGTGAGCTCGATGAGTACTCTGTGCTTGATGGCCATGGTGAAGTGTCAGTAGGCGGCGTTGGTGTTGGTGCTCCGCACATTTGTTCTAACGTGGTTTCGTTGTAACATGTATTACAGGTTACACGACAGTTCTCTTGGTTTTTCGGGTCGGAGCAATCAAGATATGGATCTGTGGCGCATGTGGTAAAGAAGTCTCTGCAATCTAAAGGAGTAATTTATTTTTTTGGTTTGCTACTTTGTTTTATATGATTTAAAAGGTGTATAGCTCTTATAAATGCAGTTTTTACTGTTCTTACCACTGGGCGGTCGTTTCGGTTCGTGATAGCATGTACTATTAAATGGGGCGCAGGTCAAAGCACAAAGTAGTTTGTTCGTCTCGCTTTCGCAAAATTGGTCGTCGTATGTGACGTTGATCTTACAGCAAGGCCTGATGTCGAAACAGTTTTGCGATACTGGTGGGAGTACGGTTGCATTCACATCGATTGGTGGTGGACAACTACATATTACCATACAATCGTTTGTTGTTGCATTACAATAACCCTTGCGACACGTGCTGCCCGCCCATGCCTTTTCTTGGCAATGTGCGTCTCCATTTAGTGCTTTGCAAGTGCACGATTCATTTTTGCATGCGTGTAGGTCGCTGGAGCCGCCCAACAGTAAATTGTACCGATGGCTGACTTTTTGTGTTGGCACTGAAAAAGGTTTGTTTTAAGTCGGTGATAAGGGTTGTAATAGGGTGATAAGGGTTAGAATACGGTGATAAGTGTTGTAATGCGGTAATAAGATTAGCAAAAGTAAGGTGTTGGAGTTAGAATAACGGCTTTAAATGTACGATGAGACTTCCTTAGTGTTCCGCCCCAGGCCAAAAGTCTCCGCCCGACCCTGTCTACAGAGGTTTTACTGTATACAATAGAAAGGATTTTGGGAGGATGTGTCATCTGTGTTTTCCCAATCTTGTTTTTTATCTTATTGTTAACAGGAAAAGAATTTTTGCGATACCCTTGACTTCAAACATGTGTACGAAGAGCAAGGTATCGAATTCAACATAAGGTTTTTTATTGTTATAAAAAGGCAAAAAGGATTGTTGCAATCAAACTTATTTATCTGATACACTTAATAAAAGACCGTTACAGTACTTCACAACTAAAAAGTTTGTTTTTTTTAAATTTTGTAACAGCTAAAGTGAAACCACTGTATAAAGAATTGGTAGGGAAATTAAAATCTGGTCGTTATGAAGAGGTTTCGTTATAGAGAGGTTGAAAATTGACTGTGTAATAATAGCCGGGGATTTTAAAGTTGTTCGTTATACGGGTACTTCATAGCAAAAAAAAATAAAATTCGTTAAAAAAGTTTTTAAAAAGGGCTTTTTTGAATAATCAAAAATGGTAAACTTTGAAATACTGTAACTTTAAATTATTTACCGGCATAAAGAACCCGCCATGCTTTGGCCTGTTTTTTATAATTTAGTACCACTTTTTGCACACGACAATAAATTTTCAAAACTTGAGTATCTAATATTAGGTGCGACATAAAGAACCCGCCATGCTTTGCCTTTAATTTTCTGTAAAAAATGGCGGGTTCTTTATGTCGGCACCTAATAAATCAATGTAGCAGCTAAAGACGGATGATTTCTACATAATTTTTTGTTTTTTTGCAGATAGTATTGGCTGTTAACCCATATGTGATGCCTCGCTTTTACTGACCTCATTAGAAGGGTGTTTTATCTGTTAAAGGTCTACAAAACGTCCTGGCAAAAACTTGATGTTTTATGTCAAAAATCAGACAATTTCAATATTTTTTTTTGCAAAAAACTGAGCATTTTGATCTCAACAGGATCCAAAAAGTATTTTTTATCCCAAGCTTACCGGAAAAGATCTGTGCGTCTTCACATTCGCAATCCGAACTTGTTGCGACATATAGTAAGTATATTACAAAACAGACAACGATTTCGGCCGGCTTCATTAGACCGTCCGTTCAAAACTGAATCCCATCCTCGTTCCTTGTATTTAATGAGTCCGCGGGTGGGGAATATTAATGAAGTTTGCATTTTATGGTGCTTTTACAACGTTCCTATTTCTACACCTGTGAACACATACACCTATTCCGGTGCTTCGAATTTTAATTTAATGGGCTTGGGTTTCGAACAAAAATTTAATTTTAAGCGGTTCGTTCGGACGAAATTAAAGTTTTTTTTGCGGTTACGGTAGCAAAATTTAATTGGGCAATTATTGTTAACGTTTGCAACAAGGGTTTTGATTGTTTAAGGCTTATTAAAAATTTGATTTTTAATTTTTGGTTCAAATTTTATGGAATTGATTTGTATTCAGAAGCAAGGATTAGCTAAAAGCCGGACCGGTCTGTACAAAACACTTGACTCCGGTCTGGACAAAACACTGATCAGAAAGGAGGGTATCGGGCTTCAAAATTAGTAAACCGACAGAATTTTGTTTACTTTATCATTCTCTAACTTAAGGTTCAAGGAACGTTTGGTCTCAATAATTAGTAGTGCCTTTTTTCATAAAAAGGACGGTGCACCGTGGTGGGTGTTTATTATTTTAAATTTTGTCTTTCTATTTTTTTCATGGCTGGGTAATAAATTTTTCAAAAGTTACAAATTTCATGAAACACTCCGTAGATATCGACCGGTCGATAAATACAAAAAAGTTTTTTTTAAGTTTGTGGTCTAAATATGCATAGTAATGACGTAGGAAAAATTTTGAAAAAGCTGTTTTTGGTATTTGTCTATTTTCAAAATTGATCCGGTCTATTTCTGAAAAAAATGAAAATTTTGACTTTTTGATACAATTTCACGTCATTTTTAAAGCGATTTTTAAAGTTTTTTTAGTTTTTCTTTTTTTTTGTAGCCAACCTTAGGGCCTGCCCGTGCCAACTTTTTTACATTTTTTATACCGACAAAGGGGCCACAATTAATTCAAAATGGTCGTTTAAACACATAAAATGAAATGCCTGGCAAGAATGTCATGGTTGTATTGGTTAATTTATAGTTTGCTATGGTTATTGTAATGGGGTTTGCAGACAAAATGACAAAAAACAACATGACGTATAAGTCGCATGATTCGAAAATAGCTTTTTAAAACACGTTTTTTGTAAGGCTCGAGACGCCTGGCCGACATAAAAAAAATCGATGTCTTTAAATTCTTTGAAATTTTCAAATTTTGCCCTTTGTAGCAAAGCAAACAAAGTTGCTTAAACAAGTTTTTCCAAAATTACCGTATTCGATGGTTTTTGAGATACAAAAAATCGACCGGCATTACCGTAAACTCGAATACGGTAATTTTGGAAAAACTAAGCAACTGTTTGCTTTGATACAAAGGGCAAATTTTCAAAATTTCAAAAAATTTGGAGACATCGATTTTTTTTATGTCGACTCAGGGATAAAAACCGCTCGATTATTAAGAAAAACGTGTTTTAAATTATTTTTTTCAAAAAAAAATTGTTTTTGAAAATGGTTTTTTCTTAAAAGAGGGTTTTTATCAAATGCATATGTTATTTATGCAGTGGAACTCCTGTACAACGAATCGCACGGGGACTTGAAATTTGTTCGTTATAAAGGAGTTTCGTTATATACATGAGTTTTAAATGCACTTTGTAGTGGTAGGCGGAGATTATAAGTTGTTTGTTATACGGAATTTTTGTTATAGAGGAGTTCGTTATACAGGAGTTCTACTGTAACTATTATTTACTGTAAAATCAAATTTTTAGTATATTGTTGTTGTTCAAATAATTCTGTGCTCCTTTTAAAGCAAATTTCTGCGTTGAGGGGGCACAGTACTATTTTAAAACCCTAATATAATTTTTAAACAATAAAAAAATTTTAAAGAATTCGATGGCTAGGCGATATACAGTGGAACTCCTGTATAACGAATCTATAACGAAAATGCCGAATATCGAACAATTTTTGAATCCCCGTCTATCACTATACAATGGCTTTAAAACTCTTGTATAACGAAACTCCTTTATAACGAACAAATTTCAAGTCCCCGAGAGATTCGTTATGTTCCACTGTATATAATTTTATAAATTTATGATATCTCCGCAGTGCAAACCTATTTATTTACAATAAACTTTGTTAAAATGTTGATAAACTATGTATAAAAGTAAAGACACCAAACAACACGTGTTCATGAGCTGTCTTCAGAATTCCGTTGGCTTTTGTAGTTGGCATCAATTTGACGGACTAGGTCAGTGAAGAGCTGAAAATATCAAAATAATTTTTTGTTTTTTTTTAATTTAAAGTTATTTTAGATATCGAAAAGCTTTTTTTTTAATTTTTAAAGTCACGTTACTTATAGAAATGCTTTTTTTTAAATTTTTTTAAGTTATGTTACTTAGTAAACGCCCTTACAATAAAAATTGAACCGCATTTTTACTAAAGCCTCTAAAAGTAAAAAACAATGTGCATATGGCTATAACATATCCAATTCACACATAAAAGTTTGGTCTGTTTGCTTGGCTTAGCCATCGACGTAATCTTTTTTATACCTCAGAAAAAGGGAATAATAGCGAGCAAATAGAAAACAGCTTATCCTTCGTTTTGGCCATATTTCCAATGCCGTGACCGTTCAACCTTGCTATGTTTACTTATATCGTAATAAAGAAAGTTTTTGCATTTTTTTGACTACAGTATTTTTTGGGTACAGTACTTTTTTAGGCTGCAGTACTTTTTATATTAGGCCTACAACTATGAACTGGCGTTTTCTATCAGGTTGTCCGAATATGTATGAGCCATTCAAAGCGCCCCACTTTTAAAATTTTGGCTCATCCATATTCGGACAATCTGATATTAAAAACTTGAAATTTTTTTTTGAAATTTAACTTACTGCATTCACATTAACGTTGTCCTTGGCTGATACCTCAAAGAATGGAGCATCGTAGAGCTGTGCTGTAGCTTGGCCATCAATCGGATTGACTTGCACATCTGATTTTACATCGATTTTGTTTGCCGCAAACACGATAGCTGGCTAAAACAAGGCTTATGTTGTATTTTATTGCTCAATACTCTACCGCTATCTTACTTTTACACTATGGTTTACTGTATAATACCTAACTCACTTTCAACTTACTTTGCCTTAAAACTTTAACTTACTTTGCCTTAAACATTACTGTAAATCAATCAAAAAATTTCTGACTTTAATTCGCCAAACCTACCTTATCACTTGTGAGTCCGCATATTTGGCTGGCTACTTCATTTGCCCTTTTCAAACTTTCTGGATCCGTCGATGAATACAATACCACAAAACCTTGTGCTGTCACGACCGCCTTGCAAATGTCATCATCACTGTCAGCAAGACACAACATGTATTTTGCTTTTGAATCATCAAAATTCGATACAGGGTTGATAAGTCCATTGTCGGTACGGCCAAAGAATAAATTGTTCAAAAACTGTGTTCTTGCTAGCTGAGACTTTCCAACTTTTGAGGCTCCGAGTACAGCAATGTTGCACTTTTTAATACCAATATCGGTGTCTGATTCGTAGAAACCGCTACTGGCTCTGTAAAAAATGATTTTGTTAATTATAAAGTACTATCTATATATATTAGCAACCCGAAGGGACCGACATTTCTTGTTTACTATAAGGAGAGTTGCTTATACAAATAGTTCACTATATAGAAAGACCACTGTAATTCTATGATATAACTCTTGAGTTATAAGTTTGAAATTTTTTTAGCTACAGTAACTTTAATTGTCTTCGCACTGGAATAGCAAAATAAAGTTTCGCAGTTACGCAACGTGGCAAAACACTGCAATATAAACGTTATGAGAAAAATAATTTGGGTTACTTTGTGGCTTGTACTAATTAGTTAGACTTTTTGTACTGACAATCAAAGCTATAACTTTTAAAAAATAAATTTTAAACTTACGAAGAAGGAGCTGGACTAGGAGGCCGGTACGTTTCTTCTGGAACACAATCCATAGCCGCAAGTTTTGATTTTCTTCGACTTAACGCTTTTAAAACTTGTGATAAAGCGTGGTTTTTAATTGGAGGCAACTAAAATTAAAGTTATGTCTGTCTTAAGGTTTGTAGATTAATAATTCATAATTACTGTTTAAAGTAAGAAATAAGTTAAAGTTAAAAGTGAAAATTGAGGCAAAGAATAATAATTTAAGACAATGTTATAACACGTTTGTTGCGTAAAAGTTCTGCTTTTTTAAGAATACTCATAACTGTAATGCTTACCGACGAAGGAGCAGCTCCACAAACCAAACAACTTGGCGTTTTTATGGGCAGCTCTTCTTGTACAGTTATCCTTGGACTATAGCTATACTCCACTTTTTCTTTCTCCATGTACTCGCTCAACAATTCGATCGTCCGTACTCCCATGACCGGAGTACGGGCTTGTCGGGCACGGCTACTGGATTTTGGCGTTTGTTGTAGTGCCAAAGGTTTAGATGGTGTTGGGGGTGGTACTGTTTTTGGACTTAGGTACTTCTGGTGCTTTTTCAAGAGCTTTTTACAACATAACTCGCAGAGACTGTGTCCACATTGCAGGGCTACTGGCTGAAAAGAGTCGTTTTTGATTTTTTGTTCTTTACAAAATTAAAATTTAAACTTTTATGTTTAAAATTAAGGTTCTTACATTTACAAAAGTTTGGCGGCAGTAAGGGCACCGACCAGCTCCAAATCGTTCTACTCGAGCTTCGGCTTTGCAAATCCTTTTCGATACTGAAGGAAGCTGGCTGGACGAGGCTGAACGGTGTGTTGGTGTTACAACCATTTTTGAATTGTTAACTCTAAAAATTTGAAAATTGAAAAATAGCAAAAAATATTTAAAATTATGCAAAATCGCGTGAATTTAGCCAAAACATTATAAAGCGCGTCAGAAGGTCAGTAAACATAACACAAAACTTAAGTTTTAGTCGTCGCGACAAAATAAAAAAAAATTTATGTCATCATACGACTAACATAGTTTCTATATACTAATATAAATATCTTATACACAGTAATACCCTATACACTATAAAAATCTAACTGCCAGCCCAAATCAAAGTTTGACTAACGTGTATCAGAATCAACCGTAATAAATCTTAGTTCGTCATCTTAGCAATGTGCCATTGTCTCCACCCTTCCACAAATGGCGAAAGGAGGCGGGACCAGCCTTCTCAAATGGGCCACTTTAGGCAGCGATTGCGCGGGTTTTACGCAAACACATCTGCTATAATAATAAAAAACGGTTTGGAGACATGGAGGACATTGAATTGGCAAACTTTTATGAAAATTTTAAAGAGATTTGTTATAGTTAGCTATGGTAAAAGTAGCAAGGCTTTTGCATAAATAATTTATTTTACTATTGTACCACGCAGTTCAGTTCTACGGTCACTATTTGTAGGAAAAATGACAAATAAAGCTTTTTTTGCCATTACAATACTAATTTAACCGCAACATAGAGAAAACAACCGGTAAAGTTTTGTAACAGAACTTTTTGCGCGCCCTGTAATAAACAAATAATAAAAAATTTTTAAGTTTACAATAGTAGTAAGAATTTAAAATTACAATACCTATAACAATCAGATTCTATCACAACTCGTATTCTTAATTCAATTAATCAAAGGCCCCTATTGGCTACGTTTACTTAAACATTGCTTTCACGAAGGGATAGCCAAGTAGCTTAACAGGTCATATCTTGAAGCGTTTCGACCACCAACTCGGAATGCACTGCCCGTTTGCATAACATCTGAATGCACGACCCTTTTGCATAACGTCTGAATATACCCTTTTGCATAATAATTCTGAATACAATGTCATTTTATATAACATATATATACACTAGCCTATTATGTAATTTCATGGATATTGAGAGTAGTACAGGTAGCTGACCCGAGGTCATTCTTTTCTGGATTCTAGAAGATTAGCCTCTTGTTTTGGGTAAATGTTATTGCCAAAACGTCATGGATACCATAGGAAATAGATGTAAGACATCTTGCGATGGTTGGCATGAATAGACGGATATGTATTACATTTGTAAATTGCAAGGTATATACAGGGACGTCGCTACGGTTTTTCTCTGGGGAGGGGGGGAGGTCGAAAAATTTTTTTTGGTCCAGCTACCTGTGGACCGATTTTTCTAAAATTTTTTTTTTGTTTTTCCGCGTACAGGTACCTACCTGTGGAATTATTTTTTCAGACCGGCTCTGGGGGGAGTACCCCCCCTGCCACCCAAACGACGTCCCTGGGTATATACGTTCCTATAGATAGAGATAGTATAGGAAATATATAGAGGTAGTATAGGTAGGATGTCATACCTTTTGTAAAGTGTAACAATGTACAAAACCTCAGTAAAATATTACATGCGAAAGAACGACTAAACGACTAAAAAATAACTGGAAGACAAGTAACCACAGTCATACAACAAGAAAATAAACTACAGTAACCGACCAGCATTACGCCTTAAATTTACAAGTAACCTTGTCAAAAGCGCAAAGAAAAAAGTGAAACTAAAACCAATAAATTCTGAAGAGGATCCCGTTAAACCTTTATGTGTTTTCGGGATCAACGCTACGTTGCAACCCCATAAAAACAAAAAATCGGCATTGAACTCGAAAAACCATCACGATATGATATGGCCTTTTAAAAACTTTTTTGACGTACAGTTACACACCTAGTTTCCTTCTTCTACCCCTTTTCCACAAAAAATTTTAACTTCTGCACCAATTGATTTTAAAAAAATTTTAAAAAATTACAATTTACAAAAAAATTATGTCATTTTTTAGTCTAATAGTGTAAAAAAGGCCTTATAAAACCAAATTTGATCATGAAATAAATATAATACGACCTGTCGCAAAAAAGAAGATACGGCTATGTATAAAAATTTGCTTTTCTAATATCGCGCGATTTTACAGTTTTGACAGCTGCGCTAAAGGATTTACAAACGAAACCTGATAGGCGTTGACCTGTTAAAGCTATTTAAATTGGGGCAGAGTAGGATAGGATAGAGTAATTTAGGGTAGGGTAGGAAAGAAAAGGGTAGGTTAGGTTAGGTCAGGGTAGAGAAAATAAAAAAAAACAAAGTAGGGTAAAACAGAGAAGGGTAGGGTATTAAAAAAGCAGATTAAAGTAGAACTTCGTAGAGTAGATAAAGTAGAGTAAGGCCGGGCACGGTAGGGTAGGGCAAAGCACGGTAAGATATTGAAGGGTAGAGCAAGCCAAGGCACGGTGAGTTAAGACATTCCAAAGAAAGTTTGAGTAAGACCGAATCCGGTAGGGTGAGGCAAGGTAGGGTAGGGTAAGGTAGGGTAAGGTAGAGTAAAGTAGGGTAGGGTAGGATAGAATGCAGTAACGTAGAGTAGGATAAGATAGGATAGGGTGTGGTAGAGTAGGGTATCTATTTTGAAAGCGCAATATAAATTAATTACAGCCTGTGAAACAAAATTTTGATACCATTAACGGCAACTGTCGGCAGAAGTGACGAAGCCGAATTTGGGTCAAAATCAGGGCAATTAATAAGAGAAAACGCGTTCTTCCGGATCAGTTTTGGACAGGCTTTTCGCTCATAAATTTTAAAATTTTGATAGATTTTGGCAGTGGCAAATAAATTGGCAGTAGGCATGACAAACTATGGCAAAACGAACCATTTAAGACTCAACCTTACCCTACCCTATCCTGCCCTTCTCTACACTCTATACTACCTTAGCTTACTATCTCTTAACGTTCTGTACCTTTTCCTACTCTACCGTTCCTTATTTCACTTTGCCCTACCCTACCCATTTCCATGCCAAAAAAGTCCATTAGTTACCTAAACTTAACCTTCTTTAAATTCAAATCTAAAGCATACCTAGCTATTGTTTGACGTCTTTGAATTTAATTACAGCGCTAATTAAAGAAAAATGCAAATCAAGCGCGGAATTTGAACTCAAACGGCATGGTAAAGTGTCGCAATGTGGCACTCAAGAGTTTTGAAGTGTAATTAAAATGGTAATGGGTCGAAATGGTCAAGATGGTTTTATGCCGAAAAATGAGCGAAAGTGACGGTAGTTTAGGTAAAGTAAAGTTAAACGTAGTCCCCCCTGTGAAATTATAGAAAAAAAAAAAAAAATTGTTGACCCCCGCTCTCAGACCAAAAGTGATCGCCAGGCCCTGTCAGTGATAGCAACAGGGATAATTTTTCTTTTTGAATTTTGAAAGATAGGGTTAGAAAGGAGTATATGGTATGATAAATTAAGAAAGTTAAGGTGCAGTAGGGTACAATAAAATTGGATAAGATAGGGTAGTGTAAGAACAAAGCAGAGTAGGGTTAAAATAATTTTTTTAAAAATATTTGTTTGTGAGGTCCCATTTACTTGAACAAAAAAAAATTATAAGAGGGTAGATAATTTTGTCTCACTACCTCTCCCCGATCCACTTCAACCTGCCCCCCCCCCAAACTCAAAAAACAACATATTTGCCCCCATCTCAAGCAGGTGAAACAAGGGCGGTTTCCACAAACGCATCATCAGTTGAAGCGCTTGTTTAATCGTTGGCGGATCAGTCCGAGATGAGGGCGATAAGCGCCCACAAATTGGCCCGACAATTGGCGCATTTGCTTGACCATTCTTTGACGGCCGATTGTGGGTTTGTTTGGTTGTGTAACTGGATGGATTACATGGTTAGATCAACGGAGATTAATCGAGAAAATAAGGGATTACATACAAATCGTATAGAGATGGGGTGAAGGGAATTATTGTAGGATGGAATGAGGGTGATAATGGTAAATAAGGCTGTATAGTAAGGTTATGGGCAGATAGACATATGACAGATCAAATAAACATAGTAAAACGGATACATTTTACTCTATTGTATCTTACTTTAAACTACTATTTTACCTTACCTGACACTACCGTATTCTACCCTACCTTACCCTAGCCTACCATACTCTACCATTCCCTACCCTATCCTACCGTACCCTACCATTCCCTACCCTACTTTACCCTACTTTAGTTTACACTAACCTGCCGTACCGTAATCTATCACCCCCCTACCTAAACCTAACCTACTTCACTCTAACCTATCCTGCCATAATCTTTGCCGACGCTACCCTACCCTGTTATAACCTACTTTACCTCACCCTACTCCACCGTAACCTACAGTACCTTACAAGTAAAATGACATCATTTTTAAAATTACAATTTAAAACGAAACTAAAAATCACTTTTTCACCCATGCCGAACTCAAAATGTGCAAATACCATATTATAAATAAATACCCAGCCATATTAACCCAAATCGCCATCCCTGATCTAAACAAACAAATACGACCAAAATCGTTTCATCCATAAAGGTTTAATGCCGAAAAACCTAAACGTCCCAGTGGGAGGTCCCTAACACAAAGCCAAATTATCCTGAACTGTTAAAGATCCAATGTAAAGACCGAGCCGGCTTTTGTCCATCGATATTATCCTTTGTTTCATAATTAAATTACCATTCGTTTGTCCAGAAACGGGTTTTGTCATAGAGTGGTATCGTCTTTGACTTATCCAGAGACGATACCACTTTAGGTAAAAAGACGGGTTAACAAAAAAGAGTGGGGTTGCGTGGTAATAAAAGCGTATAATTTAATGGTGCAAGGTAAAAGAAATTGGATTAAGACACAAAAAAATAAATCATGGCAGGATAGATAAGGAAAGATAGAACGGGGAAAGATATGATAAGACAAAACAAGGTAATGAAAGGCCGGGTAAGGTAAGAAAAAGTAGAAAATTGTGGAGTAAGGTAGATAGGTAAATAAGACAAGGCAAGGTGGATTAAAGAAAGGTAAAGTAGACCAGAATAAGGTAGGGAAAAGTATGATAAGGTAGGGTAGGGTATGGTTAGGAAGGGTAGTGTAGGGTAAAGCAAGGTAGCGATCAAACAAACAAAAATTCCCACAATTTCCATCACTGCCAAATCAATTTACCCTTCTCAAATTAAAAGCCAATTACTTTAATTACCCATATATGGCCATCTCCTTTCATACCGCAGCATAAATTTGATAGCATATTAAAAGGACCCGCCGCCAACAAATTTTATGATTTGTTTGGTCGAGAGTTACGTAACGAGATTAATGAACCGAGAGGTCAGTAACATGTCGAGAGTGATGGTCTCGGCATCGACCCATTGACACGTTAAACATGGCAGATTAGTATAAGATGGGAATGGGTTTTGAGTGAAAATTACATGGTTGAGATGACAAAGTATGTATTAGGTTGTTCACATAATTCTGCGCCCCGTAACCCACAAATTTGCTATGAGAAGGGGCGCAGAATTAAGTGAACAACCTAATAAACGCCCAAAAATTTGAAAAAAATTTTTAAATGTTATAGCAAAATAAAAAACATTGATAAATAACATAAAAAAGTGGTCCAAACAGTAAAAAATGTAGGATATATTAACAATAGTAAGAAATATATTATAATTAGAACATGTGCCATAACACAGCATAATATAATAAAATTAATCCCTAAAACCATTACGGATTACTCAATTCCCCACACCTGCCTTTATTGTTTTAAAAAATGAATTTGGAGTTTCGCGCAGTCCCAAATCAAATGGCCAAGCCGGAAACAAACGCCCACCTGCTCCGGAAACTTAAAAGCCTAAGAATTCTTTTTTGTAAAAAATAAGAGTAAAAGCAATAAAAAGTTTTTAACTATCCTACCCTACAGTACCTTACCCTACCCTATGATCTACCCAAACCTAGTGTAGCCATACTGAAGATTAACGTGACCGACTCTCAACAATTCACGCTGCCCTAGCCTACCTTACCCTACTCTGCACCTTATAGCTCTACCCTAGCTTTACAATAACTTCTCTTAACTATACATTTTATAGGCTATACAGTACTTTACCGGGTCCCTATAATGCTTTACTCTACTAGTAATACCGCAGTATTACTATACAATACCTTACTCTGCCTTGTTTTTGACCTGCCAGACGCTCCATAGCGCTATCCCTAGCACTTGAACCGTAGTCTTTACAAAACTTTTCAATCTTTGTTATTTATAGTATCCTGAATTACCATACTCTTTTTTTTCCTTACTTTAGTAATATAATGTCTTTGCCTGCTCAACTGTTACACTACAGAAGTTTGCTCCAACCGCAACCGGTAAGAGCGTAAACTTTGCAAAATTTTTTTTTTAATCTAAAATAGATTATGTTATTGACAAATTGAGGTAATTTTATAAAATTTACATTAACCACAGTAGACCACCAAAGTTTTGCGTAATGTCTCAAGTTGCAGATGTTTTTGCCATAAACATAAACTTTCACTACCGCAGATGGTTATCGCGCAGATATGACCACTGTTTTCTCATTAGCCGGCAAATGACACTAATTATAAGTTTTGTTCTCATTATTACACGATCGCGTAGATGTGGCGTTGTGATAAGGTGGTTTATAAACATTCAATGTTTAGGTATAACACTAGCCTACCCTACCTTACCCTACCCTACCCTACCCTACCTTACCTTACCTTACCTTACCTTACCTTACCTTACCTTACCTTACCTTACCTTATCTTACCTTACCTTACCTTACCTTACCCTACCCTATCCTACTTTTCCTTACCGTAATTTGCCTACACTACCCTACCTTGTCTTACCTTGCCGTACCGTACCCTACTCTGCCCTCCCTTATCCGTACCTTACTTTCTCTTATCTCGTCCTATCCTATGCGTACCCAACCTAGTGTTGCTTCAATAACCCTAACCTACCCTGCCCAATATGTACCATCCCTTGTGTAAACTTAACTACCCTGTCCCAATCTACACTACCCTACTCTAAGTTTTGTAACACCATAGCGCAATAAAAAGCAAAATATTTCCTTTCAAAAACCATTTTGAATACTAATACCTATATCATAATATTCAATTGACCAAACAAACCACTACTAAATAAACTCTATGGTTTTTCAAAAAAATTTTGCGCGTAAATTTAAATTTTTTTCATTGTTGATTTATAGCCAGTTCTCAGTTGTTTTTTTCTCAGCGCAAGTGGTCAAAAAACGAATAATTAATAACAGACGGGCGCGTTTCCAGGTCCTAAACCGCCATAAATTCATTTTTTATAACTTTTCCGGCATAAAAAATTTAAAATTTAAATAAAATTTCGAATTTTTTTTTATTTCAAAAAACAAAATTTTCTTTTAAATTTTAAAATTTTTGGAATTTTCAGCACCGTACAGCACTATTACTATACTCTGCTACTTATAAATCTTAAAACAAAACCAAATTTTCCAAAAAAGTTTATTTAAAAATGTCATTTAAGTATTAAAAAGTCTTGTCGTTTTTGACCGTGAAAACCTACGTAACTTGACAACAAGACTTTTCAAAACACAATTCATACTTTTTATATATAATTCTTTAACTTCCACCCCTGGCCAAACCGTAAACGATCAGTGAAAGCTTGAAGTGCACTTGAATCGACTTGACTTGGCAAGATAATCCATTTAGCTCACCACAATATTAGATTAACTGCAATATTGCGGTAACACAAGTGTCATCTTCAGTTTTGGGTAATAGCCAGGGTTAGACATAAGGCAGGGAATACTGAAATGCAATGTACCGGGCAGGGCATACTAGTGGCTGCGCATACTGAAATGCCCTGTATCGGGTATTGCATGGCAGATCACAGGGCTGAACACCACTGTATCGTCAATGACTTACCCTGTGGCCAAGCCTGATAATAGATGTGACACAAATTAATCTTTTTTTCAAAATCCAAGTTTTATTTTTCGTACTGTATTTAAATTTTCAAGCATTTCCCTTTTGACAATATTTGCCAAGTCTGTCCCCCTGTCCTCCCAGCCTTCAGTATATTAACCATGATGCAATCGAATAAGTTATGAATCAAACTCTCGATTGAAATTAAAGACAAGGCCAATTTAACCACATATTGTTTTATTGACCCGAATGAACATCGAGATTACATGCTGCGATAAACACGATTGTCGAGATTCGGCGACAAGTGGAAATCCAACACCATAAGCGTATTTAAACAGGCGGGTAACATGGGGGGGAGGGGGGGGAGGTGGGGTATTGGAACATACTTTTTTAGTAGGTGTTTGCAAAAGTTTCTAGCCGATTTTTCAAAAACTTTTTAAAAAATTCTGGACAGTTCTAGAAATTTCTGTTAGCAACCTATATAAAGAGTTTTAGTAGGTGTTTGCAAAAGTTTCTAGCCGATTTTTCAAAAACTTTTTAAAAAATTCTGGACAGTTCTAGAAATTTCTGTTAGCAACCTATATAAAGAGATGTCCAAGGACTAAAAGCTATTGCATGTTAAAGCTTTCTGTTGTTTACGGTGGTTCAGGAAATCAAGGTAAAACATGACCATGGTCGGGCAATGTTGCTTCTCAAATTTCGCGAGCACGGCAACGCAACATGAGCGACGAATGAAATATGCAGTGCTGTAGGGCCTTCAGTTGTCTCCTACGACACAGTAAAATTTTGGTTCCACAAGTTCAAAAACGGTGACTTTGACATGTTCGAAAAGTTCTATATGATAGACCATCAGCGTTGAAGAAACCCCACCTTCTGAAGCAGATCGAAGAAGACCTCCGACGAACCTGTACTCATTTGACTGTAGAGCTTTAGTGTGACCCTTCTACCACATTAATTAGACTTCAAAACCTTGGAAGATCATGGATTTGTAAATATTAAATTTTGGTAAAAACAAAAATCGGCCAGAAACTTTCGCAAACACCTAATATATGTTTTAAAATTGAGATATCAAAAAATGAAAAAAATACAAAAAAAGGATTACTTTACTGCTGTCAGTGCTAGGCGGGTGATTTTGAAATATTAGGTCGAAGAAGGGGGTAGAAACCCTTTAAAAATTTTTTTCTAAAAAAGGTCAAACAAGACCCAAACCAGCCTAGTCATATCCTTAGAAAAAAATTTCATGACCTGCCCTTATCCCCTACCCTAGTCAAAAAAATGTGTCAAAAGAACTCTTCATCCGCCCAGCACTAACTATAACAACATCCTTACCACAACATAGCTGACAATAACAATAACACTAAAAGAAGCCACTTTTATCACTTTTAAGTACACAAAGAGCACGTTTTTCCACAGAATGCCATTTTCGTCTTCATTGGATAAAAAGCATTAGAACAGAATCCATTTCGCGCCCAGTAAATGCAACTGAAACTTGTTTTATCAATACTTGCAAGTCATATTTTACAGTGTTTTAAAAGCTAGAATATTTCGTTACGAGAACTAAGCTGAGCCCCTTAAAGCTTAATTTGAGACACTTTCAAAAATTTTTTCCCTACCTAGAATACTTGTCCACGCAATAACTGATAGGTCGATAAGTAATAGGTGCGTAAGTGATCGGAGCGTAAGTAATTGGTGGCAATGTCGTCAACAAATTGTTACTGTCATCAAAAAACGGCGAAGCCGTTATTGCCTCATAGAACAGTTGGCCTTGTTTACAATAACCACAAGTCAAGGGACAGTAAGTCCTCATCAATGTGAGATAAACAGAGTTGTTGCACAGGTTTTTTGTTTGACCACAATTTACAGCAGTGTTTATACATTGCTTTTGAGAACATGTTATAGTAAGTAGTAAAGTGAAAACTGAAGCTTGAAGAAAATTTGTCATAGTTTTAGAATTTTAGGTAACAAATATTTAAATTTAGTTAAGAAATGATCACAACACAATAATTAAGGTGTTTTAGTACCAAAATGAAATAATATCGTCGTATAATACTGAAAAATTGGTAATTTATAAATATTTTATGAAATTCTCAAAAAATGTAGTTTTGTTACCTAAAATATAAAGTTTTGTGGTTATAAAGACCCGAGCTGACGCCATTGTCAAATATTTGCAATTTCCATCAAAATTGATTTAAAAGATTAACAAATCAACCTCTGAAATAAACTTCAATGGTTTGTAAAGAAACGCGTGGGCAAATAATGTGAGTCATAACAAAAACAATGTCTTACCTATCCGAAGTTTATTTTAATATTTTTGATTAGAAAATCAAAATTTTGGTTTTAAAAATTCAAAAATATCATAAAGATAGTGTAGAAGGCGTCTTAACTCAATACCAAGCTTTTACCGTTAAAAAATTATATTGTCCTTTACATCAAACCAAAAAAAAATCTCTCATTGTTTTAAATATCTCTTGCATTACCTACAAAAACCCAATATACACCATCTATAAGCTTTTCTAGCACACTCAAACAAGTTACCCATGTACTTTATTATCAAAAGGATATTAACCATAGCTCTACGTCAATATCAAATTCAAGTCGCGTCGGATAAGCCTAAAAACAAAAGAAACAAAACAAAATATAAAACCTACATGTGAATCTGTTCCTTCAAACAAATTCTGCTTGACGAAGATGTTCTTCTGGCGCTGATCAAGATGTTCTGCAGTTGCAGGCCTTGATGAAGATGTTCTTCTGGCCATAACATCTAAATTATCCGTTTATTAAATACTTTTACTATACTAAAACATTAAAAAGATAAAATAAGATCATAACGAACATATTAAACGTATTCAAAGTCTTCATTTCGCGCAATACAACAACATAAAACCATGTTTTAGAGCAAAAAAATAGCTTTAAACCCATTCTTTGGTCGAAAATCTTAAAGATAAGTATATTTAAGCTCAAAATTAAATGTTCAGCTGTTAATTATCTTATTTAGAAACAAAATTTAATAGAAACAAGTCAAAATATTATCATAAAATTAGTTTTTCGAAGCGAAATCCAAGTCTGGACGAGAACATCTCGTTATTCTTTTTGCAGGCTGCAATGCCAAGTTATACGATGAAATATATACCGATAAATTCAGTATAACAATATTTTTGAGTTTGTATAAGACATATCAATGAGTAACAAGTGAGTAAAACAATATACAACATTATATTGACCAATCAAAGTTAAAAACAACAAAGTCCAAAAATCAATAATTTATTTCAACTGATCATACAACAGAGTGTCATTCCGGGGTTCCTCGAGGACTTCTTCAGCGTGGATCTCGCCTTCGCATTCCCATAGGCCATTAATGTATCGCGACTTGTTACAGCCAACCTTTAACGCGGCACAGTCTTCATTTTTCCAGCAAAAGACTCGTGATGGTACGCACATATTGCTGACACACTTCTTCGATGAGCAATCAGTGGCATCGGAACAGTAAATTCCTGAAAACATTAATCTTAAAAAAACATAATGTTAAAGGGTTTTGTCATTTTTTAGCTATTAAACCCAGGTTTTACGAACTGCAACCTGCGGTTGACAAGTTATACGATGAATAAGGTGTCTTTAGCGAATAAAAGTTCCTGCCATTTATTTGCATTGTAAAGAAAGTTCTTGCCATTTTATGTTTTTTAAAGAAAGTTCTTGCCATTTATTGCTTTATAAAAAAAGTTCTTGCCGTTTTATGTTTTGTAAAGAAAGTTCTTGCCATTTTATGTTTTTTAAAGAAAGTTATTGCAATTTTTTGTTGTGTAAAGAAAGTTACTGTTGTGAAAACTTACTTGGAATGCAGAATCCAACTCCAATGAAATCTTTGCCTTCAATCTTCTTCGTGCAATGGAATCCGACTCTGTCGCAGACCGTCGCATTTTTATCGTCGCATATTCTCAAACCATTGTACAACACTTCATCTTCAGCGTCGACGGAAATCGACCACATCGACAAAATAATCGACAGCACCGCACAACGGAACAACATTTTAGAAAAATGAGGGAAAATGGAATGTTAGGGAATTTCAGAAAGTCTGAGGCGAAGAAATTTGCATAAAAATGAAATTTTGAAAAATTTTATAAAGTAAGTCATCATGATTTTCAAGAGATCTATAAAATATGTCATTATTAAAAAAACTATATAAAATAAGTCATTAAAATTCAAAATTCTATAAAATGAGTCACCAAGATATAAAACTCTAAAAAATCCGTCACGAAAATAAAAAACTCTACAAAAAATGTCATTATAATTTAAAAATCAATAAAATATGTCATCATAATATAAAATTCCATAAAATAAGTCATTAAAACATAAAATTCTATAAAATTTGTTACCAAAATATAAAATTCTACAAAATATGTCATCAACATATAAAATTTCAAAAAGTTCGTTAAAAATTCTATGAAACGCATCATCAGAATATAAAAAACAACATTTCCAAAGTTCATCGAAAGCAGTTCGAACGTATTCCTTCATTCACTTTATACTTTGCAAACTACAAACCAGAGCGACAAATTAAGACAATTAATTGATTAGGAATTTAACAACTCACTTTAGTACAACAGAACCAAGTAAACAAAGTTTGTATTCTGAAGCCTAACAGGATAGAAACCTCAAAGGAAGGTATATAATGCGGAAAATGTTAGTGGAAAAATAAAATAATAATTTAGACTGTATTTTGTTAACCTTAGCAGTAGCCTATAGCTCCAGCCTAAAGCCCTAGCTTACTGTTAGAACAGTAGCCCAGAGCCTTAGCCCTAGCTTTAGCCTTAGCTTTAGCCTTAGCCCATAGACCTAGCCTAAAGCCCTAGCTTAGAGCCGTAGCCCAGAGCTCTAGCCTAGCCCTAGTCCAGAACCTTAGCCCAGAGCTCTAGCTCTAACTCTAGCTCTAGCTTTAGCTCTAGCTTTAGCTCTAGCTTTAGCTCTAGCTTTAGCTCTAGCTGTAGCCCTAGCTCTAGCTCTAGCTCTAGCTCCAGCTCCAGCTCTAGCTCTAGCCTCTAATTTTGGTTCTACGTTAGCATACACATCTTGACATTAATTGCCTACTCACCTAACCAGATGCTTCTTTCTTACACTTTTTATAACTGTGCTATCTTTATTTTTTTCTTTTTAAAATTTTTTTATGACATGATATACGGTGCAATCACTTGTCTTTTCTTGTGCAAAAGGTCAAAATTCGAAAAATGACAAAATGTGTACATTCAATCTGTCTGGGAACGTTTCATGACAGCTGATTTATATAGTTTTTGAACATGCAAACGGAGATGGGAAAGCGGATCATAAAATCGAATATGAGATTTGATTCTTGCTCTCGATTTACGTGTAATCGTAGATTACATTGTAGTATATGGCTCAAAATGGAGTTTTTTTTTGTTTTTGAAATGGGTTTACTTTTTGTGACATTTTTTGTAAATTTTAGCTTTAGAACATTTTGTGACTTTTAAGGGTAGGGTAAGGTAAAGTAGGGCAGGGTATGATAGGGTAAATTAGGATAAGGGAGAGTAGGGTAGGGTAGGGTAGGGTAGGTTAGGGTAGGGTAGGGTAGGGCAGAATAGAAAAAAATAGTCACACTTTTACCAATTACGAATGTTTACGTCATTTATAGTTTACGACCCTGCGGGCCGTAGACATAAAAAACGATCCGGGCCGGGCCCATTTTTCAGGCTCGACCAGCGAGAATGTCAGGCCCGGCCCGATCGAAATTTTGCTCAAGGCCAGCCCGGCCGGATGGCACCCACCCCGGGCCAAATTTTTACGTTGGGCTCAATTTTTTTACGTGGAATCGGGCCGGGTCCAACCAATTTTTTAGGCCCTGCTCGGTTGAAATTTTGCTCAAGCCCCGCCTGGCCCATTTTTCACGTCTAGAGGTCCGGGACTAGAATTTTCTTTTGGGCCGTGCACGCTTGAAAGAAAAGTAAAAACGGCGCGGGCCTCAAATTTGGGCTTGGTTTGCAAGCCGGGCTTAAAGAATAGGCCCTGCTTGGCCAGTTTTCCACCTTTGTGTGCCATGCTAATATATATTATATCACTTTTAACATTGATAAATTAAATTTTTTTTGCGTTTTCTTTGTAAAATTATTCATCATTGTCAAAATAACGACACTACGTGCTAAATAATAAATTTCAGAAGCTTAGAAAATCTAGCAAATAAGAAAAATGGTTAACGAAAGATGGCCAGTTGAATTAGCTGTTGACCCAGAAACTCTGGAGCATCCATTGAAGTTCAAAACAGCTTTGGCTAAGGCTAGAAATCGGCTTCTTAAGGTATATTTTTTAAATTAATTTATTTATTACCTGTTAAAAAGATGGCTGCGATTACATTTTTTCAAGAGTAGATCCTTTAAAATTTTTTCAAATTTTTTTAAATTTAAATTTTTTTTAAGTTTTAGGTAACATTTTTTTATTCACGGCTTTTATCATTACCTATACGTATTTTACCAAAATAAAATATTTTAGGCCGCAATGAGTGAGAACATAGCCACAGTAGACCCTCATCGTCTACAGTTTCATGGTGTGCCAACTCAACGTCTTATCAACTTGTACGAAAAGTTTGGTGCTGGTGGTTGGGGAGCAGTGATAACAGGCTCAATTTCTGTTGATCACAAGCATTATGAAGGCCCTGGAGCTATGATTATTAGCCGAGAATGCGAGTCTGAAGCTAGAAGAGCTCAATTCAGAAGGTTGACTGAGGCGGCTAAGAGTCATAAGGGCTTGATCTTGGCTCAGCTTAATCATGTGGGTTATTTGGAAGTTTTAAGGAAATTTTGGTATTGTGGGGATGTCAAATCGTATTTTACAAAAAAAATATGTTGCTTTTTTTACCGTACTTATAATTTATTAAAATTTTTTTAAAAATTCAGAACGGCCGCCAAACCTTAGCCACAGTAAATCCAACCCCTTATTCGGCTTCCGATGTCCAACTGGAAACCCAAATGAAAGGTTCCTTCTTTGGAAAGCCTTTGCCATTGACATTAGAACAAATCCAAACTGAAGTTGTTGATCGATTCGTCTATGCCGCTTTGTTTGCCTATGATACTGGTAAGCATGCTTTACAAGTTGGTATAGTCTTATCGTAATTTACTTACATTACTCTTTTTTATTCTACCTTACTCTATCTTGCTTTATCTTGCTTCTACTTCACTCAGTATTCTCTACCTTATCTTGCTTTTGTCTATCGTACACAACCGCACCCTACCGTTCTTTATTGTGTCTGAACATACCACACCTTTCTCTACTTTACCTTGCTCTATCCTATCTTTCTGTTTATTTAGTTTATCTTATCGTGCCTTGCCTTACTCTAACTTACACTACCCAATCCTACTACGCTACTGTACTCTAGTGTGTCTTTACATACTCTACCTTGTCTTACTTCTTCCTACGTTATTCTATCTTTAATTTACTTTACTCTACTCTATTGTAGTTCACTATACTTACGATTACGATACTGCGCCCTAGCATACTCTACCCTCTTGGCTGTGTTTTGAGTTACGAACAAGTATTTTTGTATCTATTATATGCATATTATATTATAAATGTCAATTTTAGGCTTCAATGGAGTACAAATAGCAGCAGCTTTTGGTACTATTCTTTCTCAATTTTTGTCGCCATCGACTAACTTAAGAAACGATGAGTACGGTGGATCATTGAAGAATCGTTGCCGTGTTATTGACGAAATTTACTATGGAATCCGGTAAGAAAAAAATTTTTTTTTGTTTTTTTTTTTACAATTTTTTAACGTCAAAAAATATAAAACATGAAGTTTATTTACAAACAAATCTTACTTTAAATGCCTCTAACCATAGAAACAAAACAACACAGTACAATATCCATTTATATAAGCTAAAACAGTGCTAACTCTATAAAGCACCTATTCATACCTACAACATCCAAAAACCTGGCTAAAAAATATCCTGCCAGTATAATCCTTCTCGACCCTCTTACTATCCTTCTTATATGGGTAACAAAACGGTCGTCCCCACCATACTCGCCCAACCACTACCATGAACAATACCATAAACCCCACTGATAGTAAAAGGCAAAAGGCAATCACTTGTTGGTCAACTATTGTCATTCGGTAGAGATATGTAGGGTATTGAAAGTAATTGTAGTAGTTGGCGTCGGCCCATAGGAGGATTGCAAAAACTGTGTAGAATATTGTCACTATGAACTGAAAAGAGCAGGTTCATATAATAGTAGGATAGAGACGGGGTAGGGTAGAGTAGGATAGGGTAAAATAGCGTAGGGTAAGGTAAAATAGGGTAAGGTAGGGTAGGGGAAAAAATATTTTGAAGCTTCAAAACTTACATCAAGGATAAAAAACGGGTACAGCCAAGACACGTTTTGGTTCATAATGCCAAGATGAGCAAATAGGTAGGCTAATAGACTGGCAACGTTGAACAAGTTGTACCATCCCCAACCATTCGAAAACAAGATTACTATCAAAATGATCCTAGAATATAAATAATAAATATTATTTAAAATGTACTTACAAGTTATTAGGCAGCACGGTGTATCTTCTCTACAACTCGGGGATTCAAAGTGAGAAGCGAGGTGAGATATCGTTTTTCAAAAAAAAGTTAGAAAACTTACTGAAAGAGCACTACCAGTGCTCGTAAAATGTAGGCAAATATGTGCAGAAGTCGCAGCAGTATTTTCTCAACGCTTTCACCTATCACAACATTAGTCGTTGTTGTTAAACTCTAAAAACTCTAAATTATAAAATAAAAACTTTACAAAATTAAAAAAAAATTTTTTTGGTTTGCATGACAATATATTTTAATAGTTAAAACTAAAACACTTTTTTAGACCCCGTTCTTGTCTTGTAGTCAGATTTCATAAGACGTGCTTACTTTACCCTACTTTACTCTGCTTTACTCTGCCATATACTCTACTTTACCCTACCTTCTTCATTTTAATTTTAATTTTTAATTTCTTTTTTACCCATTTTTTACTCTAAAATCAAATTCTTTCTAACCCCCATACCTCACTGACAATCGGTGGTGGATCAGTGTTAAAGCTGTACAAAGATGGAGTTTCGTTGATGTAGTAAACCGCACTGGTAGTGCCTTTACTACCAGCTGAAGTGTCATGATAAACGTATCTTGATTGGCTATCATAATAATAGGGTGTTTGAGTGCCGGCACTTATAGCACGGTCTTCTACGCTCAAGTCTACTGATGAGTAGGCGCGTTGCAGTGGGGTTGGGGCTCGTTTCATTTTTAGGTTACTGGCGTTTTTAGTGTGTAGATGGAATAGAATTGGCTTATATTGTATAAAATATCAAAATAGAGCTTTTGGTTTAAGTACCTTCAAGGTTTTTAGTTAGTATTATTTAGTACGGTACTGCTAAAAATAAAACTGTGTCATCAGTAACAGAAAATTTAAAACAAGGTTTTTAGTCTTGAAATTTATACTATTTCGTGTCGTATTTTACAAACTACAGTAATTTTTTCAAAATAGTAATAGCAACACAGTAAGATAACAGAAATCCAAGTAGCACCTCAAAAATCTCTTCTAAATGTCACATACAGGTCATGACAAAAGCAATTCCCACAATTTATCCCCTCCACCTCCAATGAATCACATCGGTCTTCGAAGATATTTTTCTCCTCTTGTTTGCATTTTTATGACTTCATCATAACCAACCCAATAAAATACGCGTCTCTGCCTCAAAATGCTATTAACATACGATGAAGAGCGGTTTTTGAGGAATTTGATTTTGTTGAAAAAAATGAAATTTGAAAAAAATTAGAGAATAGAGCTTGTTACAGGGTGCGCAAAAAGTTCTGTTACACGGTTTTTTAATTAAATATTTATTTTTACAACAAATATAACTAAAACAACAACTAACAATAGTAACATATAGTACTACTTATAACATAGTCAATCGGTTTTAAAGTGTCCTTTGTATCACTAAAATTAAAAAAAAACCAAAAAATTTTAAATTTTTATTAGAAATTATAAAATTAAGTTTTCAAAGCAAAGTTGCACCAAATTATCCTCAGTTTTTTAAAAAAAATTCTTAAATACTAACAATAAGTTGAACCTAAATTACATTTTTCATGTATTTTTTAATTTAAAATGTCCCTCTACTTTTTGTTCAACCTAATAAGATGGAAGAGCATAAAAAGTTACCCAAAAAAACCGTTTTTATAAACAGCTAAATAATCTCGTCTAGGAAGTTACAGTACGCTGATATTCTTATATGCTTAAAATTTTCAGCTCAAAAATACCAGCTGGAAGTGGATTCATAGTGAGCATCAAGCTGAACTCAGCTGAATTCCAAAATGGCGGTTTGGAAACCAACGACGTTGTTAATATGGCAAAGCACTTTGATGTAGGTTCATTATCTAAATCAAGACATACATTTAGTTTAATGAGAGAATAAGTAGTACCCAAATTTTAGTATGATACTGAATAGTACCCAAAAGTACCATAAAACTGCAAATGTTTTTAAATTTTAAAAAATTTATGATTTGTGATACTGAGTGGTACTAAACAGTACATTGCAAAAAAATTTTGTAATTTTACAGTTTAAGGTGCTAAATAGCACTAAAATCAAAAATTAAAAAATTTCGTGTATTAATGAATTTTTTTGTTGGTGGTGCTAAATAGTACTAGATTTTAAGCAAGTTATCGTTGTTATTATGCTCAACATATAATAGATTTTTCAAATTTCGTTTTTAGGAGCTCGGATTTGACTTTATAGAACTAACCGGTGGCAACTTAGAAGCGCCAAGAATGGAGCACGTCAAAGAATCTACAAAGAAACGAGAGGCTTACTTTATTGAATTTGCTGCTGCGATTAAACCTAACATCCAAAATGCAATTGTTTATCTTACTGGAGGCTTCAGGACTGCTCCAGCTATGATTGCTGCTATCAGAAACAATGAAACTGACGGCATTGGACTGGCTCGAGCCGCTGCGGCTGAACCTGGTAAGAGAAATTTAAATGTTTCAAATTATTACTCTGCTGTAGTTTACCCTATCTTATTCTACCGTAAAAAATTTTTAGATTTGCCAAAGAAAATCATAAACCAAGGAATTCAATCAGCAGCGGCCACTGTCTTCGCTGATAATTTTATGATTTCCATGCCAGCAGCTAACACTCAGCTAGCTCAAGCCGGCAGTTCAGATCTGTCAGAGACTAACGGTGATCTATGTCATGGAATCAGTGACTTTTCTAACCCAGCTGAAGCTGAAATTTACCAGAAAGCCATGTTCAAATGGTTTGGAGATTTGTGTGAAGCCGGCTCTAAAGGTCGTGCTGAAATTGGCGTTTTTGAGTATCATACTCGGTCGAAGAATGCTCCACAAGAACATAAGGGATTTTTGAAACGTTTGCTTGAAAGTATTTAAATTGGTATGAAAAAGTGTTGTATTGTGTTAAAAATGAAAAATTTTGAAATTTTTTAAAGATATATTGTAGTATTGCAAAATATTGTTCAGGCTGTGCATAATGTGATATTTGCCTTACAGTATAATAAATCAGCTTTTTGCAATTATAAAATATGATTTTATTATAGTTAAAGCCCCTTTACCCCCTCCCCCTCCTCTTTAAAAAGGTTTAAATACAGTATTTAGATTTCAATATAACTGTAACTCTCTATAAAAAATTTTTAAATACAGTAAATAAATGTAAATATTACTGTAACTTACTATACGTTTTCATTACTGTGACTTCCTATTCATTTCCCAATGTTTCATCCAGACCAACGGTATAATCTGACGTTTCGAATGTAGGGAATACGTAAGCGCAATTATGAGATTGAGTCTAATTTAAATCGTCAACATCTTGAAGAAAGTCCCCATAGAGTCATCGAAAGTACACAAAGTTTACGGTAACGGAAACATTTAAAAAGGGTAGGAGGTAGACAAGGTTTTAGCCATTTGTATAGCATATTTTACAGTATATTGTGTATTAAATTCTTTAAATTTTTTCTGTTGTTTAAATCTTCAATAAACATTAAAAAATGTTTGTTAATTTACTGTATTTTTCACGTTTAAAAACGGCAAGGACTTTGTTGTGTGTTAATTCTGGTAAACATTTGTCACATGTAACTTTATATTATTTAGAAACAGTTTAGTAAAGTGTAATAACAGTAAAGTAACTTCCAACCATTTTTGTGTAATTTTTTTACATTGTAAACTGCAAAATTATACAAAGAACGGTCGTTTTTAACGCAGACATGCAACAAACTAAAAACCATACTTTAAATGTCAGAATCTGGCAGCGCAAAAAATTGTATCTGGCTCTTTTATACTTGTGCTAAACACTTTGGTCATAGTTGTTACTAATAATTTAAAAAATGACATTTTTTGTGGCTGTCAGAACAAAAGTATTTTTTTAATCAACTGTACTTTACGTACTATCTAATTTTTAATATCAAGAACCTTAAACTTATCAGAATTGTTATTTGGTATATTGTTAATTAGTTTTATAGCCTTTGCCAAATCATTAAAAATAAAGTTGTAATGCTTATATACTATGTATTTATTCTGAATCAATGACAAAACCACTTCCCTTATAACCTTTTTAGTTTTTAGAAGTTTGCAACTGTTTATGCCACTCCAAATGGACTTTCAAGTTCTTCATTTAGTTTGTGAATTTACGTTTTCGTTGATTGCATTAATATGCAGTTCAATCATTATTTACCTGGCTTTGTATAAGACAAAAAACAAGGCTGTCAAGGTCTATTCACATATGTTGATAATGAATGCATCAGTGGACATTATGTACAGTTCTTGCAATTTGATTGCTATGCCGGTAATTTTTTCTTTTCTTGCCTTATTCTGCTCTTGACCTGCCTTTGCTTTGCTTTTGCTTTGTCTTGCCTGTCTTCTAAAGTTTTAACTTATTTTAGATGTTTTTCATCTGGGACAGTCAATTCATCTTAGCAGCTGCCAATCCTCTATTACGCGATTACCAACTGGCAGCATATATAGTAACAGCCAGTCAAGGTTTTCTCATTTATGTATCAGTAGTTCTAATACCACTACAATTCTTATACCGCTACAGTGTGATAAGCCAACATCCACTTGACAGTACTCAGCTATTCAAAGCTTTTCTACTAGCCAATGTTTACCCTTTCTTGCACGGCGTTCTTTGTTTCTACACTTTTCAGACGCCTAGTGATAAAATTAATGCTATATTCAAGCTAGACCCGGCTGTTCAAACCTTGGAACATCTACCTCCTTATATGGTCGGAGACTGTTCTGGTGCAGATCCCTTGATGAAACTTCATATGGCAAATTGCATTGTAATGACAATCATTAGCTACATTTTTATTGTTGTTATATATAGAAAGACAAAATTAATGTTCGTGAAAATGGAGTCAAAGATGAGTGCTAATACGAAGAGAACGCAAAAGCAAATGGAAAGAGTTATTTTCATACAGGTAAGAATACATTTTGATACTACAAACTGTCATAGCCGATTAAAGTGTTGTAAGGCTATTAGCTCTGCATTGCTTTTGCAGTGCCTTTACCCGGCTTTTGGCTTACCTTTGGCCTGCTTTTAGCCTGCCTTTTCTTTTATTTATTATAAAAACAGTTTACTTTTAGGCCCTCTTTCCAGTTGTAGTATTATTCATCCCCGGTACTATTCTACCAGTGGCTGCACTTTTAAAAATCAATTTTGAATGGACAGGAGAAATTATTGCCATTATGCATACTACGCCTTTATTCAACTCACTGTCAGTACTAATACTAGTCCCAACATATCGTAATATTTTGTTGAGCTGGCTTTTTTCACGTCATTCTGGATCTTCATCAGCTACTGTACATACAACTTCAAACCCTAAGCTTCAAACGAATGTAATGTTGGGCGATACTGACGTTACCGAACATGAAGATTTCTTTTAAAACGATTTTGATACTTCTTATGACAAAAATTTTTGTTTTTGTAAGCGATTTACTATATCTTCAGAAATAAACGTGATATTTGTTCGTATAATACAATCCCCTGCCCTGCCCTTCGCTTGCCTTGTTACGTTTCTTAATACAGAACACTTGAAACCTTTTAAAATCATGATTATTAAAGCTAAAAAAGTCTTATTGCCTTGCCTGAGTAACAGTTAGCCCAGTTTTTTTAAAACCAGGGCTCAACGAGGAGCAACGCGGTGTATCTTGTTAACCGGATCTTTACAACTGCCTCATACCGGACGGACTCGCTGAACTGTCACTGAAAATTGTAAATCTTGACATGGATTGTTAGAAAAGCACTTTTTAAACGAATATTCTTTTACTTAGCTACAAAAAACAATTTAAAATTGTATTCTATGTTGACTTCAGACATAGAGCTTTTAAAGTTATTAAGTGTCTGGATTAGGCATAGGAACTTTAAAACTTAAATTTAAAATTATTTCTAATGAAAAGTGTTTTATAGAAGTTAAAATAGTGCGTTTTTAAAATTGTGAAATCAAGGAAATCTACATTTTGTAAATAATTATTGTTACCTTTTACTTGTTTATTTACTGCAGAGATTGCACTAAGGTTTTTACAAATATCTTGAAGTGTATTAAAACACATTATATATTTCAAATTAGATGTTTACTGTATTGTAACTTTGCTTTGTAGTTGTAATCTGTTTACAAGCCGTAACATACAAATTACTGTAATATATATGTATATATAGATAAACAAATGTAGGCTTTTTATATTATATATCTTACTTTGCAGTAAAAACGTATTGCTCTCAACAGCCAAACTTTCAGTGTTTTAAAACAAAATGGACTTCCGGCTTCTTCATTTGATTTGTGAATTTACCTTTTCGTTGATTGCATTGATATGCAGTTCAGTAATTATCTACTTGGCTCTTTATAAGATGAAGAACAAAGCGGTCAAAGTGTATTCGCATATGTTGGTAATGAATGCATCAGTTGATATTATATACAGTTTCTGCAATTTGATTGCTATGCCGGTAAGTTGCATGCCCTGCATTAGCTTTGCCCTGCTTTTGTCTTGCCTTTGCCCTGCTTTTGCCTAGCCTTTGTTCTGTTTTGCCCTGTTTTTGCTCTGCCATCCTGACACTCCAATTGTTGTACTCCTAAATAGATCGATCAATAGTAACAGTTTATTCACAATATAATTACACACAGAGAATATTTCATAGGAATAAGTAGACTGACTGTTGAATGAATCCAAATCCCCTTTTATTCTAATCCTGAAGGCTCGTTCTTTGAGTTACACTCCATCATGTAGTTGCCTCTGTAGTCTGATCGTTAATTGAATGTTCTGTGAAACCCACCGTTTATAAAAACCAACTTCTTTCTATATTTAGAAAGGAAACACGTTTTGTGACTTTACTTGTTTATTGTAGTTCCGCTAATGTTTTGTGTTTTGATAATAAATATGTCCGCGTTTTTAGTCGCGTATTACAATATGCGGGGCTACAAGATTATCGCGTCCCTGCGATTTCCTTTTGGTCAGGTGTGCTGAAAGGCCCTGATCATTATTATCGGAACTAGGCCAGCTTCTCGTGGTTGGCTTTCTTTTGTGTTATTGATTTGTTTACAATGAAGTTGTTAGTTTCAATGGCGGTATTTTTGATGGTAATTGGCACGTTATCTGCGTCGCTCGATGTGTGAGTCGAGAGCGAGGATCAGAAGGGAGCCTGTGGCGGGCTGCCCCGGTGCCCCCCTCCAGCAAGGTGCATGCGGCCTGCCGAATAAGTGCAACATTCTTATCACTAATTTTTTAAATGATAAGCGGTGATACGATGGACATTTCGTGTTCACTTGATTTATTTTTTATTATGTTTAACCGCTTGTCATTACTTCCGTTTTGTTTTGGTTTTCGACACTTCCTTATTTATTTTAGATTTTTGTTTCCGACCTTATGCGTGTATCCGACGTTTGATTTCCCAGCTGATTTGATGAGAGAACCACCTCCGTATGTCTCGTATTGTGGAACTTCAATTTTGTTGGCTGTTTACGTAGTGAGCTTGCTGTTTGTATTATTGTCGTTGCAACGCGTTAGGTTCCTTGATCTATTTGTCCAAGCATAGTAAGTTTACTTTCATTAATGAGACGAAAACGCTAGTCTCTTTTTCCCAATCACATTGCATTTTATAACTCCAGAACAAAAATCCAATTTATAAGTTTATAAGTTTTAGCAAATTTTAGGGGGCTCATCCAGAACAGCCCCACATTCCGTTTCACACCCCCAACCGCCAGTTCGCACCCCCAGTGAAACCCCCAATCTCCAACTCCAGGTCAACCCGACTTGGCCGAACCATATCGGCAATGTCCGGAGTTGAAGGTTGAGGGTCGCGCGAGAGAGTGCTGGTCTACTGACTGGCCAGGGCGGTGAACGGAGGAGCAGAATGAAGAATTTTCAAAATTTGCTGCCTTTTATACCCATTTTCATTGATTTCGTAAAGGTCAATTTAAAAAATGAATAATTTTTTACTTTTTACGTGCCGTTTGTAAATTTCATTTTTTGGGGGTGTGAACTACAATGGTGGGGGTACGATCTACAGTGGGTGGGGGTGCTATCTACAGTGGGTGGTGGTGCAATCTACAGTGGGTGGGGGTGCGATCTACAGTGGGTGGGGGTGCTATCTACAGCGTAGGGGGTGTAAACTACATTGATGGGGGTGCGAAGTAAAATGGAACCATTAGTTCAAAATTGAAATTTATGTGAAAAATCGCAAGAGAAGAAAAAAATAAATTTTCAATTTGCTTTTTGAAAATGAATTTTGGGGGTATGTTCTGGTTCACATCGGTGGGGGGTTGAAATGGTATGGGTAGGGGGGCTATTCTGGATGAGCGCCAATTTTAGTTTACGTTTAACTTATACTTATGTTTTTAGAACACTGGGTGTAAATCCAATCCCTGTTTGGTACCTTACCATTACCAATTGTACTTGGGATTTATTCAATCCATTTTTTTTTCTGTTCACTGGAGTATCACTGTATGGCATAAACATGTACTATACTACATTTATTATCATAATGTGACATGAATAAAACAGAAATTGTGGTTCGCCGCCAATTCTTGAACGGTCCACCATCGACAACACCCTTCAACTTGCTGCGCCTACTCTACGACATCCTCAACGTAAATGTAGAATACAAGGAGGCTACCCAATCATACACCAGCCGGTTGTCCATTGTAGCAACCAACAACCGCGACTTCCAATCCACCACCACGGACTCAAACGCGGACCGCGCGACTCAACTGTGTGCCGCTGCCATCCTTCATGACCTGGCTGTAGTTGGGCATTTTGGATATGGTGGCCGACTCATCCACTATTGGGTTTCACAACGACTACTAACCGTCGAACAATACAACCGGTTGGAGACACATTATGACATGAATAAAATTGCAATGGGGGATTTAATTAATCATCTGCCGGGGGTTGGTTTTCTTGCTCGTTGTTTTGTTGTTCTACGTCATGGTAGCGCGGTGGAGGTGATCGTTGTTCTTCTTCTTCGGGGTTTGCAATGGATAAATAAGTCAAATTATGCTGACTGTTTAACCCTGTATTATGTAATCTTATCAAAACTATTAAAATTTTTACTGAAAAAATGCTACCCTAGCCCTAACTCCTTAGCCTTAGTCTTAGACCTAGTCTTAACCTACTCTATTATACCTTTACGTTACAAACTATAATATACGACGGCAATTAAAATATTAAACGTTGCCAGACGTTGTATTATAGAGTTTGCTACATATCATCTTCAAGTAACCGGATAAGCATATGTACTACAACACCTTGAAGCAATTATTGGCTTTGGCGGTTGTTTTAAGATATTACTCTTTATACCGTTTACTGTGGTGACGTACGCTGACATATATAAACAGACGTCTTCAGGTATAATTGTCAATTAGAGGAATATTAACGTCTTTTGAAATTTGCTTAAGGAGTTTGAGGGTAGGTTACGGTAGTTGGAGCATTTCATACTTTTTTTACTTTTGAAAATTTTAATACGGTATGCCATATAAGTTACACTTCATATTTTCAGCATGGATTTTGACGAACTTGCCATAGGCAACACTACTAGGCACAATATATACAGTCGAGCAAATGACACCTTGATATTCCATACCATTCACTTGACATGTGAAGTTGGTTTTTCTACTGCAGCTATCCTATGCAGCTTGTTCATCATCTACTTAGCTGTCTATCGAACCAAAAACAAGGCTGTTCAAGTCTACTCTCATATGTTAATCATGAATGCTTCAGTTGATTTGAGCTACAGTATTTGCAACTTAATTGCCATGCCTGTAAGAACTGTTTCAGACGTTTTGATAGTTAAATTTGTCTAGACTGGCTGGGCTGGGCTAGGCTGGGCTGGGCTGGGCTGGGCTGGGTTGGGTTGGGCTGGGCTGGGCTGGGCTGGGCTGGGCTGGGCTGGGCTGGGCTGGGCTGGGCTGGGCTGGGCTGGGCCGGGGTGTGCTAGGCGGGGCTGTGCAGGCTGGGCGTCTAGGCTGGGCCGGAGTGTGCTGGGCGGTCTGGGCTTGACAGGGCTCGGAAGAGCTTGTCATGGCTTGGCAGAGTCGGCAGGGCTTTGCAGGGCAGGGCTAAACACATTGAAATTTAAAAACAAAGTAAGACTCATCCTTTCAGATTTTCTTTATCTACGATGGCTACTTCATCCTAGCCGCAGGCAATCCAATCTTAAAAAGTTATCCTTGGTCAGCCAATATTGTGACCAGCTGCCAAGGCTTCCTCATCTACGTGTCAGTAGTAATCATCCCCATCCAATTCATCTACCGTTACAGTGTTATCCGTAACAAACCCTACACCAGTGGAGAACTTCTTAAAATTTTTATCATTGGCGGTTTATACCCATTTGGGCATGGCATTTTGTGTTTTTACACTTTCACCGAGCCCACGCCTCTTTTTGACAAAACTTTTGAGCTGGACCCAGTCATATCGTCGCTTGATTATATACCACCCTATCGTGTCGGTGATTGTGTGAACTCAAAATTGATGGCGCTTCACATTGCCAATTGTATGGCGATGACCATCGCTAGCTATGTCATCATTATGGTGGTTTATCGAATGACAAAAACGGAGTTTATCAAAATGGAGAGTCAAATGAGTGATCAGACCAAGAGGGTTCAGAAGCAAATGGAGCAGGTCATTTTTATTCAAGTAAGTTATACAATACTATTTGAGTACGTCTATAGTACTAACCTTTTAAAACTGCAAACTACATTTTCCAAATTTCAGGCCATCTTCCCAATCCTAGTCCTATTCATACCCGGAACCGTCTTACCCATCGCTGCGTTATGGAAAATCAACTACCGCTTTACTGGTGAATTTGTTGCCATTATGCATACAACACCTGTTTTCAACTCGTTTTCAGTCATCCTGTGTGTACCAAGCTATCGTCGTATCTTTACCGGAATGTTTTACAAAAACCGGAACATGGTCAGCTCTTCAAAACAAGGCGATAAAAAGACTCATACTACACATGACTCCGATCTCTTTGAGTTTGCTTAAGTTGTCATTTATAATCTTAAAAAGCATTTTTGAAATAAACTTGCAAGGAAGTTGCACCAAACATTGGTCGAGGTTTAAGACAATTTTTATATATACAGCCTGCAGAAATTATTGACCACCCCACTAACGTGGCAATGAGTAAACGATAGAAGTAAGGTCAATAATTTCTGAGGGCAGCATATATAGAATAAAAGCATATAAAAAGTAACCAAGAAAACCGTTTCCAAAAATTGTTAAGCTGTCTCGGCTAACAGGACATTAGCGGCCAAAAAATTCACATAAAGTGTTGTACTAGGCCCTTCTTATTAATTTTGGGCCCAGCTGTCATAGAACCACAAAATCTTCGTAGACTGGAGTGCAGGTCGAGAATTTAAACTTTGCCATCATGCCGAAACGTTTTTAATAGTTCAGTTATGGCCTTCTGTGCCGGCTCTGTCGACCAATTGTACTATGATCCCAGAAAGTTCGGAATCATAGTACAATTGACCCACGGAGCCAGCACGATCTTGACTCCGGAGCTCAAGCCAAGGTGAAAACTAAAATTTAAAAATGCCAGAGCCGGAGCTGGTTTTAAAACATTACATTTTACATTTTACACTTGTGTTATTGTTCTTGTAAGGAAAATTGAACTCAAAGATCACATCTTATTGCCGGTATTAAAAATCAAAGTCAATGTGCAAGTTAAAATAGAAATCTTTGTTGAAGCAATTATTGGCTTTTTCTTAATCTGTTAAGACACCCACCCTTCATTATAACGTATAATGTGATCACTTATGGAACGTATATAAACCGGCATCTTTTCGCAAGATGTTTTATTCTTGAGTACGTGTACGTCCTGTTTTAAAAGTAATTTTTTAAATTTTTATACGTTACGGTAGACTAGCTAAAGTTTGGGCCTGGTAGGCCTGCCAGGCCCAAACTTTAGTTACCGTTCAGTAGTAACCCAAAACCTATACTATATAGTAACGTCACTCATTGTGTTTACTTTGTTTTGCAGAATGCAAGTTGTTACTCCTTCAGGCAATGCCATACGATTAAATATCTACAAGAACTCCAATGAAACCTCGATATACCATACCTTGCATTTGACAGCAGAAGCTCTTATTTCAAGCGCTGCCATACTGTCTAGTTGTTTTATTATTTACTTGGCCATTTACCGTACCAAAAACAAAGCGGTAAAAGTGTACTCACACATGCTTATTATGAACGCATCGGTTGAGTTGAGCTACAGTATTTGCAACTTGGTCTCCTTGCCTGTAAGGAAACATAAAACATTTTTGAAGCTTCAGCTCTAGACTTGGCTCTGGAGAAGTTTTGGAGCCATATTTGGAGCCGTAGTGAACTCTAACCTTAATATTGACTGTATAATAGTTTAGGTCTTCTTCATCTACGATGGCTTTTGTATTGTGGCCGCCGCCAATCCAATGCTTAAAAACTACCAATGGACCGCCTACATCGCGACAAGTTTACAAGGCTTCTTAATCTACGTATCGATTGTCATCATTCCAATTCAATTTATCTATCGTTACAGTGTTATCTGTAACAAACCCTACACTAGCCGTGGGCTTCTTAAAATCTTCATAATCGGCGGTTTATACCCATTTGCCCATGGTATCTTATGCTTTTACACCTTTACCGAGCCGGCACCGTTATATGATAAGACTCTTGAGAGGAACCCGATCTTGTCGACGCTGGATTACATACCACCTTACCGGGTTGGAGACAGCGTGAACTCACCGTTAATGGCGTTGCACTTTGGTAATTGCTTGTTGATGACTATTGCTAGCTACACCGTCATTATGATAGTTTATAGAAAGACGAAGACTGCTTTTATCAAAATGGAAGGTCAAATGAGTGCACAGACGAAGAAGGTTCAGAAACAAATGGAACGAGTCATTTTTATACAGGTAAGCCTTACCCTGCCTTTGCCTTACCTTGTTTTGTCTTGACCTAACTCGCTTTGTATTGGCCTATCTTGCCTTGCCCTTCATTTTTAAACTTTCTGTTTCAGGCCTTGTTTCCAATTCTGGTCCTATTCGTTCCTGGCTTCGGATTGCCTGTTGCCACTTTATGGAAATTCAATTATCGTTTTATTGGTGAATTTACTGTTTTGATGCACACAACTCCTGTATTCAACTCGTTTTCAATCATTTTATGTGTACCGAGCTATCGTCGCATATTTACCGACATGTTCTGCAATAACCACAACTCAATTAGCGACTCGAGCTACAACACTAAAAACGACCACACTACTCGTACTGATTCTGATGTTTTTGTAGTTGCGTAGGGTAGGGAAAAGAATTAAATTACATTTCAAATAAAATATACTCAACTTTGTCACAACAATTAACTATAACATAGAACACAAGATGTCTGTTTACTAAAAATATGCATAATGAAACATACTCCCTCAGTAGGGGTAGTATAGCAGATTAAACTACGTCTTAGGATATATGGATGTTTCCCTTCGAGTTTTTGTGACTCTGCCATTCCTTCGTACTGTAATCTGCATTTCCTCTAGTATAAAAGCAGCTTCTCCTATAGAAAACGCTTCATTCCAAATTTGTTAACGGTTTTTTTAATTTCAGAAGTTACGGTAGTTCTTTAATAGTATTACTGTAAAAGTGTTTCATTTTTTACAAATTTTTTATTTGTACAGTACTCTCGGCTAATGCAATGATTTTTAAAAATTCTTTGTTCAGGTGCAGGCATAGAGGCTAAAATGCGGTAGTTTAAATATTACAAGATGTCCCGAAATTTTGTCGCTAGAAATAATTCACAACATTGCAACTATGCACCCTAAAAATGCCAAATTTGGCACTGTAGTAGAACAGACTTGTACATTTTTTATGGAAAATTTTTAGTTTTAAAAGTGCAAATTACGGTCATTGTGAATTTTTAAAAATCAGCATTTTACACCAAAATTACACATTTGGTTGTAAATGAACAGTCTTTGTCGACTCTTGACATTTTTTAGTTTTTTTTTTGAAAAACCGCGTTTTCTGTGCCTGCGAAGACTCGGCGGACGTAGCCGAGTATCGGCGAAGGCTGTAGCTTGGTTCAAATTCGTCGTACCGACATGAAACAAAAACTACTATTTTGAGTACGGTACTATATGTTGCGATATAAAATATTCGGGTATGGCATGGGTTTGGATAAAGGTATGGGTATAAATATGGGTATGGGTACGGGAGCGGATAATTGGATAATAACGCGATAAACTTAGAAGTATTAGGCGCAGACATAAAGAACCCACCATTTTTTACAGAAAATTACAAGAAAAGTACGGCGGGTTCTTTATGTTGGTTCCTAATAATTATGGAAATTTATCCTTCATCAGACCAAAGCACGCGTGACATTCAATCAATACAGAGTCACGATTCTGGGGCAGCACTAAGCAAGGCAGATTTGAAAACGAGCTATAGTGCAAGAACAAGACATGCAGGCTTGGCTTCAGCATATAATTCAAATAAATTGTGCTGGCTTGGCAGAGATTTTATTATTGTAATTTTACAGGAGTTCCAATGTAAAAATAGCTGCTTGAAGGCTGCAGTGTTCTCTCAAATTTCTAGTTTCTTTATTATTGTACAAAGTGGTAAACAATTTTATAAATGAAATTAAAAAATAATTATAGTTTTTAAAATTTTTCACACATACAACTTTGATTAATTTTGTAATTACAGTGGAACTCCTGTATAACGAATTGCTCGGGGACTTCAAATTTGTTCGTTATAAATGAGTTTCGTTATACAGGAGTTTTAAATGCACTGTGTAGTGGTAGACGGAAATTCAAAAGTTGTTTGTTATACGGGATTTTCGCTATAGGGTAGTTCTTTATACAGGGGTTCCACTGTACTTTTTAACTGTAAAGTCACAAGTGTTTTGCAACTTTTACAATAAATTTCTACACTAATTGCCACCTTTTATACACATGGTTTTAAAATATAATAGTTATTAGCTTAACCCATAATTTGTCATTTTAAAACGTCTTATCGTAAACAACCTACACATGTTAAAGTGTTGAATAAAGTTTTAGGCATATTTTGTTTGCCATGGCACATATTAGTGCAACTCTTCTTTATATAACGAGTTCCACATGTCACCATGCTACTGTACTATCCAAGTAAATTTTGAAATTATAGCCTAAACACAGAAAGATGTGGAGTCAAAACACATCTAACCGTAGTGTTGCCAGCACTACTGAGAGCAACATGTTTTACCACAATCTCCACTTATTCCTCGAACTGACGTGTTCAATGGCCGCGATTTGTTGCAGTTGTTTTATTATATTTTTGGCCATATACCGAACAAAAAACAAATCGGTCAAGGTTTATGCTCACATGCTGATCATGAATGCGTCTGTCGATATTAGCTACAGTTTGTGCAATTTGATTGCTATGCCGGTAGGTATGACAGTAATTTTTAATTTTGAAATTTAAAATAAGGTAAGAGCTGGAACTAAGGCTAAGGCTGAGGCTTGCTGAGGCTGCAGCTGCGGCTGAGGCTAGGGATGGGGCTGGAACTGGGGCTGGGGCTGAGGCTTTGACCTAGACCTAGACCTACCCAGGCACTTTTAGATTTTTTTCATATACGATGGTATGTTCATTGTATCGGCTGGAAACCCACTTTTAAAAGGCATCCAATGGTCTGCCTACCTAGTCGTATGTTTTCAAGGCTCTTTAACCTACGTATCTGTTATCATTCTACCAATCCAGTTTCTCTACCGCTACAGTGTCATTCGTAACAAACCCTACACAAGTGGTGAACTGTTTCGTATGTTTGTACTTGGCTCCACGTACCCAATGTGTCACGGTATTTTAAGTTTTTACACTTTCTTTCAACCCGCTCCAATGTACGACGAAATATTTCTACAAGACCCCCTTATCTCCGATTTGGGTTACATACCACCGTATCGAGTGGGTGATTGTGTCAACTCACAGTTAATGGCAGTTCATATAGCCAATTGTATGTTGATCACGTTTGTCAGCTATGTTATTATTATTGTGGTTTATTCGAAGACTAAAGTTGAGTTTGGTCGAATGGAAAGTCAGATGAGTGAACAGACAAAGCGAGTCCAGAAGGAAATGGAAAAAGTCATTTTTGTACAGGTGAGAAACTTCCAGCTAGAATATGATTTAAATACACTTGTTACAGCTAACAGGAAAAGTATCCTACCTGCCCCACTCAGAATTAGCTCAAAATTTTTTTGTATTAATTCCGTGTACCAATAGTACTTATAAAAAATTTTGGCTTGCGCTTTTGAGTTTTAAATTTGAATTATTTTGTTGTCCCGCCAATTTGCCATTGTGTTTCAAGCACTTTTTTCTACTTTCCAGCTAAGCTATACTTACAAATTTAAAACTGTAGGTTCATTTAAAGGTATTCTACTAATACGACAAAGAAAAATTCCTAAAAGTCGAAAATTGGCAAGGTTATAAGCTTGAAACACAATGCCAATTTGGCGGGAAGCGCAAAAAGTAATTTTTTGATCTCGATTTTCTCGAGATTTTTTGGAAAACGCAATTTATTAGTTTGCTGAAGATCTTAAATTTACGTCTTTATTCTGTATAAAAAGTTTGAAGTCAAGCAGAGCGGGGCAGGTCGGGTACTTTCCTTGTAAGTGCAGCTCTTCTCTAAGGTAAAAAATTTAACCCAAAATTTTACGTTATACTGATAGGACAAGTGCCTTTTAAGTCCCCGCCATGGGAAATAGCTCAAAATTTTTATATTAGTTCTCTATACATCAATAGTATATAGAAATAAAATATTTTAGCTTTAGTTTTAAATTTTAAATATTTGAGCTACCCACCAGAGCGAGTCGGTCAATTTTTTTTAAATTTTGTAAGAAAAATAAATTAAAAAAAAAGCAATTTGTCAAACTAAACATTATACTTTAGGCAGTCTTCCCCATCCTAGTCTTGTTCATCCCAGGAACTTACCTACCGATCGCTGCTTTATTACGACTAAACTATCGTTTCACCGGCGAATTTGTTGCCATCATGCATACAACACCGGTCTTCAACTCGTTTTCTGTTATCTTATGTGTACCTAGCTACCGTCGCTATCTACGCGAATTGTTTTTTACTTCTGATAGTAGAGTGGATTCGTATAATGGAGGCAAAACCACAACTACACACAGTTCGGACATGTTTGAAGTTGCTTAATTTTGATGAATAAATGGTGGGCATGGGTATTGAAAACAGATTTTGTAAATTTTTGAAAAACTATTTTTAAAATAAAAAATTGTTTTTTTTTATTTTTGTAATTTTTTTTGGTTTTTTTCTGTTATTTTTTAAATTTTTAACTCTAAAAATGTTTTGAAGTTTTGTACAAAATAACTTTATCTAGAGGGTCAAAAAGAGGTAAGGCTAGCAAATTTCTTTTTGCTTAAAGTATTTTTTTGAAAATGTTTCAATAAGCCCCTCAGGTTAATTTCTTAAAAAATGCTCAAAACTAGACATGAGAAAAGACGAACTGGTCCCGCATCTAGCCAAAGCAATTTTAAGAGCGGCTGGGCCGACACGCGTGATTCCCTATTTGGACCTTTACCGGTAAATGTAAATTTACCAGCTTTTCTACCAAAAAATAAATTTACAGATATAATTTCAACTCTAGCCTCAGAGCCAAAGCGCATATTAAACGCCTCAGGAGTCCAGGTTAGGTCTCGCAACGAAAGATGGAACCGGGCCAAAGGAAACTTTGAAAGCGGCCGGGACAAAACCTTGAGCCCAGCTTCTTTTACAGTTAAAACACAAGCCAAAGTCTCCTGCTTCGCACTAGCCCTGCCTATTCATAACAAAAAATGTAGGCAAGCACTTTGATGTTAACTACAAATATATTTACTATAATAATATAAGTGCATATTCACTTATATTATGTATATTTCATAAAAGGGGTCGGAAAACAGATTAAACTACGTCTTTAGACAATTATAAGCTTTCGCCCATCTTGTTGGTTCATTTTTAAGTTTTATCACTTTTTTCAGCCGTTCCTACTGTAATCTCAGACGTCTTCATTAGTATAAAAGAATCCTCGTTCAAAGTATAGACTTCATTTTGAACTTGTTGGATTTTTTTAAATTTCTAGGTTAAATATGTTAAGTACGAACCTAATTAACAGTAGTATTGACAACCCTACGGAAACTCATTTTCTCTACTACAATATTCATTTATTCCTTGAGCTGACATGTTCGATTGCCGCGATATGTTGTAGTTGTTTTATTATATATTTGGCTGTTTATCAAACAAAAAACAAGTCTGTCAAGGTTTATGCTCATATGCTGATTATGAATGCTTCTGTCGATATCAGCTACGGTTTGTGCAATTTAATTGCGATGCCGGTAAGTATGACTGTGGTCGCACATTTTGATTTTAAAAAGAAGAATACAGACGTATGTAGCAAGAAAAAACAGGTTTGCTAAAAGAAAGCATAGATACGGCTAGACTAACGTTAGGGCAGGAAAAAGGTAAGAAGGTAAGAATGTTGTAAGGCTACTAAGGCTATATATGATAAGATAAGATGAGGTCAAAGTTAAACCGGAAGGGTAGCCCACTAGATCCGGCCTCCGCTCCGGGTCAAGTAAGGTCAAAGGAAATTTAAAAGAAGCTAAGCTGACAATTGTGAGTTGAAAAGTTGGGTCCGGCAAGGCCCCTAAACCGGTATAGGATAGGTAAAGTAAAGTCAGAGACAAAATAACCGAGTTCATAACAAACGTAAAGGCTAAGTTAAAGCCAGAGAATGGATAAGTCAAGGTTATGGTAAGTAAAGCCATCATGAAGTCAAGTTAAACGTGTAATATGACTAGAGTGAAGCCAGAGAGTAATGCTAAGCTTAGTAAAATTGCGATACACTACGGTAATGCTATAATAAGGTTATGTAAAGCCGCGATATAGCAATAATAAATTCATGATAAGGTTAGTGTAAAACTATAATAGTGCTGAGTAAGCTAGGATTGAATTAGGACAAAGCCATGATACGGCTAGGCTAAGGCTAAGCTACTCACTTTTATAATTTACAACAATTATAGCAAACATTTCAGATTTTCTTCATATACGATGGTATATTTATATTATCAACCGGAAATCCATTGTTAAAAGACGTACAATGGTCGGCCTATCTAGTCGTATGTTTCCAAGGTTGCTTGACTTATATGTCAGTGATCATCCTACCAATCCAATTCATCTATCGCTACAGTGTCATTCGTAACAAACCTTGCACAAATGTTGAACTATTCCGCATGTTCTTGATTGGTAGTATCTACCCAATGTGTCATGGTTTCTTTACTTTTTACACTTTTGTCCCGCCAACGCCAATGTACGACGAAATATTCTTACACGACCCATTGATCTCAGCGTTGGGTTATATACCACCGTACCGAGTGGGTGATTGTGTAAACTCGAAATTGATGGCGTTTCATATTTCCAATTGTATGTCTATCACTATTGGTAGCTATATTATCATCCTTGTGGTTTATTCCAGGACCAAAGTTGAGTTTGCTCGAATGGAAAGTCAAATGAGTGAACAGACGAAGCGAGTTCAAAAACAAATGGAAAGAGTCATTTTTGTACAGGTGGGATATTTTTACTTAGAACACAGCTAAATCAGGTTCATTTGATATACAGTATTGTAAGAAAAATGTGTTTTTATAATTTTTTTAAAGATAGTCTCTCCTGTATGACCAATAGCTTGGGTTAAAACCACAGTTATGGCCAGGAAAAAAGCTAGGTCTAAGGCTAAGGATAAGGCTTGGAACAGAGATAAAGTCAGGTCCAAAGCTAGGGTTAAAACCAGGGCAAAAGCCAGGGCTAAACCCAGGGCTAAACCCAAAGCTAAACCCAGGGCTAAAACTAGAGCTAAAACCAGGGCTAAAGCCAGGGCTAAACCCAGAGCTAAAGCTAGGGCTAAAGCCAGGGCCAATTCCAATGTTAGGTCTAGGGCCAGCATTGGTCTAGGGCGAGGTAATAAGAAAAAAAGGCAGATAAAAAACATGAACACAGAGCAAGGCACAGAACTGAATTGCTCTTTGCTTTACAGAGCACAGATATAGTCCCCGTCAATTAAAAAGACAGCTTTCGTTCTCTGAGATGGTAACACCTAAACAAAAAATTTTTTCTGTTATCGATAGACCGATGATTTTCATGCAAATTTTTAAAAAAATCAAGAATTTTGCTTTTATCGAGACAGTGTTAGAGTGAGACTAACAAGGGAGCTCTCCCAACCCATTCCGGTGATATAAATCGAGACTATGCTTATTTGAAAGCTTGTTAAGTAAAATTATAAAATCTGCAGTAACTTCTGAATAACAAACTCTTCCATATCAAAAGTTCCATAGAACGAGCTCCTTTTAAGTTACTTTCTGTTACTACACAAATTTATATTAATTTAAAAATAAAAGGTTTACACTACTTTCAGGCAGTGTTCCCCATCCTAGTTCTATTCATTCCCGGCACTTACATACCAATTGCTGCTTTATTAAGACTAAACTATCGTTTCACCGGCGAATTTATTGCCATCATGCATACAACACCGGTATTCAACTCGTTTTCTGTTATATTATGTGTACCTAGCTATCGTCGTTACTTGAAAAACATGTTTTGTACCAGAAAGAACACGGTGGGTTCGTCTGACAGAATGAAGACTACAACTACACACAGCTCTGACATGTTTGAATTTGCTTAATATTGGTGAATAAAGCTGGGCGTGGGAATGAAATGTCATTACTGTAATTTTTTTTTAATTTTAAAATTTTTAAAAAAATTAGAGTTTTTTTTAAATTTTTTAAATTCACAACTAAAACTTTATTACATAAACAAAATCCTATGTCATATAGTCATAATCCAACTCTTCGATAACTCTTTTCGGTATCTTTCTCCGCTTCATATACCATTTACAGTATCCACAAGTAACAGGACACTCCTGCTGCATAAAGTGAACGAATGGCTCTGTCAGACATTTGACCTTATTCTTGGTGCATTCAGATGTCCCATCTTCCTTTTCCTTGTCCATACATTCAATTTCCTCACTCCAATCCTCAGGCAACACTCTCGTGTAGATGACCGTTTCTTTTTTGTCGATATTCTTATTACAGTAACCGCAACTCTTTGGGCATTGACTTTTCATAATAGAGTGGAACACATGGTTATGACAAAGGTTTCGGCGGTATGGGCAGTCGGATTCTCGGCCTAAAATAAGTATTTTGAAGATGAGAAAGGTCGAATTGGGTAGGGCAAGGTAGAGAAAAGGCAGAGCAGATAGTTAAGGCTGTAATCAGGAAGTGGACTATGGTCAAACACAGGCTCAGAACCCTGGCAAGGATTAGGCTCAGAACCAAGACAAAAAAAAACAGGATTAGGACAAATACAAATTGGAGCTAAGGCTAGGACTTGGATTATGACGAGCAAGGCCCGAGGCTAGAGCTAGAACCAGAGCTATAGTCATTTCGATGGCTAGAACCAAGGAAAAGACCAAAGCCAAAATCAGGGCCACGGTCAAAGTGGAAATTGCCAAAGCCAGGGGGTCTGGTCTGGGACATAGAAAAGGTTGAGATTGGGGCAAGGAACAGAGTTAAGGTCAAAGCCAAAACTAAAACTAGAATTAAAAACAAGGCCAGAACCAAGCTTGCCAAGGCGATAATTAGAACTGTGGCTATAGTTAAAAAAAGCTGGAGCCATAGCTACGCTAAGGTTAAAGCTAAGATTAGAATTAGAAAAGAGCAAAGAACAAAACCAGAACCAATGCTAGGACCACACCTAGAACAAGGATTGGACTATGGCTAAAACTAAGATTGTGGATAAGACCAGACCAAGACCAGGGTTGGGATAAACAAGGTAAGTGAAACGAAAAAATAGAAAAAATAATTTTTTACCTGGTAAAGCAAAATCTTCACAATCAAACCCATTCTCTTCAACTTTATTCCTATGTTTTCGTTTTTTCTTTCGTCGACTTAACGGCCAAGAGATTTCAGCTGAATCTGAGTCATTTGTCTTTCTACCGTGAATTTTCTTCTTTCTTCCAAAACTTCTTTTAACTTCTTCTTCATCACTTATGCTATCTACTATAGTATGGCCGTGAATTTTGTGTTCCTTGTTAATATAGGGCAGATTCCCTACACCACTATGGCCTGTGTTAATGTAAGGTGAATTGTCTGTAGTTCGTCCTCTGTTGATGTTATAGTCGATTGTTCTCGTTTCGTGGATCTTTTGGTACTCTTGGTTGATATTAACACTGTTTTTAGTACCATACCTCTTGTGATTGGCCAGAGTATCAATTTTTCTGTTGTTGAGATTGGCCAAGTGGTCGATTTTTCTGTTGTTAAGATTAGCTAAAGGGTCGATCTTTCTGTTATGTAGCCGTTCTTGCTCTTTGTTGAACCTTCCACCATGTTCAACATACTCTTTGTTAATGTTGGCCGAAGGTCGAAGTACCTTTTCTGCTTTCACAGCTATTGGATCCACTTTTGTCACCGTTTTAACACTACTCTGCCCTTTCTGAATCAACATCATTCCACTGCCACAACACAACTCTTTAACCTCATCATAAGGATGAGTATCAGGACATGCTATCCCATCGTTAGCCAACTCCAACGGTGGGGCACAGTAGACTTCCTCAGGGTTTTTACAACATAACGACGTTTCTTTGTTCAAGCGCGTACTTTGTGGGCAGAATGTCATACCTAGTAGGTCTACTCCAGGCTCACAGATAAAATTTAAAGGTGTTGTTGTAGTGGGCAAAGGTTGGAGAATAATGTAGATGATTAATGTCCAGTAGCGGTTAGAAAACCCATTCTGCATTCCAGTGATACATTGATGGTTCTGGAAATTGAGGTTTCAATTTCACGGTAAATCAGCATAAAAAGAGGTAATATTAAAAAGAAGTAAAAAAGTCTTGTGGTTTTTTCTCGTGGAAGCTAATATAAATTGACGACAAAACTTTTTTTTTATTTTAAATCTTAAAAGCCGGGCCGAGCTCAAGTTTCTGGCTTGGCTTACAAATGTGACCTTGATTTGAGCCCTTGACCCCTCAGGACTAAATGTGCCAGCCCGACCTCTTTCAAACTTACTTTGAGCCGGGTCGGACCTAGTGAGCCTCTGTCAAGCCTTTTTACCCCTTAAAATTTACAAATTGTAGCCTAGTTCTTAAAAACAAATTTTAAACTTTTTCAAATTAAGAAAAACCCAAAAGTCTAAAACCACTTACTACTATTAACTTGTATCCAAAAGCATAAGAAACTAGAAACACTTGGAGTGACCCAAATACAAGCGGACAATGCGGATTTGCGCTGAATTGCGGAACAAAGCAAACATCGCTTTTATGGACAACCGTCTGACGCTTTTTTATACATTCGATGATTTCAAGAGGCTTTTTCTAGCATGTTATGGTTGGTACAAGTATGGGGACAATAAAGAAAGAGTTTTTTTTTAATTTTAAAAAAACTTCTTATCAGTTTTGCAAAATTTAATTGTTGTGTCATGGGAAGACTAGTATATGTAAGGTTTTTCAATAGTTATAATACGGCTAGCAACAAAGGGTATAGAAAATTAAGATAAGGCTGGAAGTAAGGTAACGCCAGAAGTAGGGTAGGCCTAGAATTAATGTAGAGCCAAAAGTAAGGTAAGACTATAACTAAAGTAAGCTTAGAAGTACGATAGACTGAAATGTGATTAGAATTAGACGTAAGGTAAGGCCAAAAGTAGAGTTGAGCCAAAAGAAAAGTTGAGCCAGAAGTAAGTAAGGCCAAAAGTAGACTAGAAGTAGGATAGGATCATAAGTAAGGTCGACTAAATGTAAGATAGAGCTAGAAATGGGCTAACTCCAGAAGTAAGGTAAAGTCAAAGGTAAAGTAAGGCTAGAAATAAGATAGGGTCATTTATCAAGAGGCAAGGTGTAGGGTGAGGTCAGGAGTAAAGTCAGACCAGAAGTAGAGTAGGGCCAAAATCAGTGCAAATTCAAAAGTTAGTTTATTAATGATACGGCAGACCTAAGGTAATGTTAAGATAAAAAATTTTAAAAATTTAAAAACAAAACTTTTTTTATTTTATACTACTTAAGCCTCATATTCAAATGCGTTATTACCGCATATCCCATGCGCAAACGCACTATCTCACTAAACCTTTCAGATTTAGGCCGAATCCGGCGGGAATTTGAATGTCTCGTTTCTTTTATTTAACCCGATGAATTCACATATCTATCCATTTTCAAATTCATTGTTTTGACATTTTCTAATTCAAATATGCCGTTTGATAGTCTTAAAAACTTTGAGCATTTTTTTAGTTTTCCAATTTAAAAATATTATTATATCAAGTTTGAAAAGGCTTTAGCAGAGTAAAATAAGAAATAATTATGGTAATAACGGCTTTGCTAAAGCTCATTAATATTTAGGGACAGGGTAGAAGGTAAGCGACTGCCAAATAGCTGTTATGTAGGCCAGTTTAAGATTTTGTTTCAAATTTTTAATGGCTGGGTCAAGGGTGGGTAAGGGTAGGTAGAGTAGGATTAGGGCAGAGCTAAGGTGCGCTAAGCAAGATGAAGTATAATTTAGAACTAGGGTGAGATAGGGTGAGGCTAGGCTGTGACTAGGAAAGAGTAGGGTATGACCAGAGTAGGGCTTAAGTAGGTTTAGAATATATAGGGTTATGACAGGGCTACGGTGTAGCTAGGGTATTTCTATGTCAAGATTAGGGTTGGGCAGTAGTATAGCTAGAGTGCAACTGGGGCAGGTCTAGAATTCTAGGGCACGGCTAGGGTAGAGTTAGAGTAGGGCTAGGGTATAACTAGGCTACAATTTACGTGGGGTAGAGCTATAATAGGGTTAAACTAAGATAAAGCTTAAAAAATTAGTTGAGTAAGGCTAAAGTACGATCGATGTTAAAAAGTTTTAAAAGTTTTAAAAATTTTTGATTTTGCATTTATGGCTAACAAAACTTAATTTTAGACATGAATGACACAAATGTTCGTATGACAATAAACTTTCGGGAGCGATGTAGAATGCATGATCTAAATGAAGCTTTGGATGATTTACGACAAGCTATACCATATGCTCACGGTACTTCAGTTCGAAAGTTGTCTAAAATAGCAACCTTATTGCTCGCTAGGAATCATATTGTCATGCAGGTAGTGTTTTTGTCATCAAAAATGGTTTTTTATTCATTAAATTGCTACTTTTAGTCCATTTCAAAACGGTAAAACCTTTTCGGAAATCGTATACTATAGATAACATACTATTAATGCAAAAATAGCCCAGTTGCTATTAATTTTTACTATTTTTTCTGTAAAAAGTTATTATGAAAGGTTATAATATCTGTGTGGTCCATAAGTAATTAAATTACAGGCTAATGCAATCGAAGAACTACGCCAGACGGTGAAAGAGTTACAGTCCAAAGTTGAGAAGTTAGAGAAAGATGACCAGCATACTCTTCCTTGTTAATATCTGTATTAAAGTGACAAAGAAAATGTCCAAATTGTCTCGTTCAAAATCAGATTGTAATTTTTATTTGAATTCTTTGTACGACTATTTGGCATTGTGTTTCAAGCACTTTTTTTGACTTTCCAGACAAGCTATGCTTACAAATTCAAAAATTTAGGTTCATTTAAAGTTTGTCTACTAGTATATAAAAGAAAAATAGTTAAAATCAAAAAATGACAAAGTTATAAGCTTGAAACACAATGCCAATTTAGCGAGGATTGCAAAAAGTAATTTTTTGATCTCGTTTTTCTCGAGGTTTTCGGGAAATCTGATTTAGTACTTTGCTGACGATCTTATATTTACATGATCCTTCTATATAAATAGATTAAAATTAATCATAGTGGCAGGTCGGGCACTTTCCTTGTTAGTTTATCATAAATTATCGTTTAAATTTATAATTATTTATAATTACTATATGTAGATTAATAAATATCATGTTTTTCAAAGTGTATAACTATTTTTTTATAATCGACAACTGTTAATAAGTAATTTTTGAAAAATAAACAAACTTTGTAGAGTAGGATAGAGTAGGAGGGCATGTTAGGATAAAACAAATTTTTGTTAGTGATTTTTATACGGTAAAGCATAGACAAATCAGTAAGTTTGTTTACTATTATAGACTTGTCCAATTTATTTGAGATTATCTTTTCACACCTTTAAGTATTGTGTCTGGCTAATAAACACAAATAGGTTAAGTCTAATTAGCAACAAGTTATAAAGCCCGTAAAAATACGATACGCTTAAATTGTAATAACTTTATTGTTCTTTGTTTTAGTCAGATTATAACCAAAAATGTCACATCCGTCGGCTTTCAAAGTTGACCGCTAACTCTCAAACTCCTTCGCCGATCGTTTCTTTTTGTTCTATATTAAAATACTCAACCTAATCCTAAGACCCAATTCTACTCTAATCTACCCACTCTTATTCTACCCTTCTTTACCAATATGCCCTAATTTACTCAGCCCTACCTTAGTTCACCTACTCTAGTTCATCTAATTCTAACCTTGCCTATCTAATCATACTGTACTTTACTCTATCTTAATGTGGCATATCTAACTCTGATCTAGCCTACTTAAACCTACCTTTTTGGGTCTATTCCCACATTGCTCTACTCAAACCTACACTAGCTTATCTAGCCCACTCAATTCTGCCTTAGCTTACCTAACTTTGATCTACCCTACCTCCATGCCCTTTTACTTAAAACTTGTAATTATCGTCGTATGTCGTAGCATTACGAAAATGCGTTACGTTTCAAATTACGCGTACTGAGGATGGACCCAACATATTTAATTGCCTGTTACTGTTCTTAATTAGGCCGTGCATTATACGCCTTCTATCAGTAAAAGGTTTTAGTATTTACATCCCATTACGTTTACAAATAAAGCTGCTTACGGTAGGCTTGTTTGTGTAGGCTGATTTATATAATACTACCGAGTACTTGGTTATCGTTAGTTGATAGTTAGAGTCATTGTCATAAAGTGGTTAATTTTTTGTTTTTATCACATCTTTTTTGTTTGTTATACCTATATTTTAATCTTGTTATGTACAATATTGTACATTTTTGTAGTTTTTTATCTTAACTTTGAGACTTTCAGTTAAAAATGGCAGACTTCTTACTCAAGCCTATTGCTATAGGCATTTGTGTTGGTATTTTATGTTTATCATCAATATTAATAAACATTAGTGTACTGACTACATTGAAAACAAAGAGATTCTTGTCAGCAAAACATTCAGGAGTTTATATCTTGTCATTTGGCTACATTCTAGCAGATGTTTGTACTCAACTAATCATGTTATTGTATGTTAGCCCATGTATTGTATTCCAGGTGAGTGGCATAAAATATTTTTGGGAAGTAAATTTGTGTAGCTTGGCACTGTTGTAAAACGTCATTAGAAAGCTATACACTTTGTTATAGAAGTATTTTTGATATGTTATAGAGCCTCATAGCACAGTATCAAAATTTTGAAAAAGTCTTGTCGTCATTGAGCCTGCAAAGCTATTTCTTATCAGCGACATGACTTGTTTTGGCATTTTAGTGTCACCCTTAGTATAATCTTTATACCACAGTAAAAAAAGTAATTTCCTAACCCTAGCACTACAATACAGCCCCATTTTTCAGTCCTTCCTAGTACCTACCCGCGATCACTTTCTAGTCAACTTCATGGGCCTTAGCTGGTTAACTTGTTGATATATGGGCATGTTTTATCAAATCATTATTGCCTTCGAACGACTAAATTGTGTCGTTTTTCAACGATCGTATGAGAACACCGGTAAGGTTAGGATAAGGTAAAACTTGAATAAAGTAGTGTACAATAAGGTAGCAAAAAGTAAAACGGAGCATTATAGAGTAGGAAAAGATAGGGTAGCGTAGAGGTAAAGTAAGGCTAGGATAAGTTAGAGCTAGAACAAGGCAAGACAAGGTATTATAGAGTAAGGTAGGACTAGGGTAGGACTAAAGTAGGCCTAGGGTAGGGTTAGGGTAAGGATGAAATAGAATTAAGGTTCGGCTGGGACTGCGCTAAGGTAAAGCCAGAGTAAGGTCAGGCTGCAAAGATCGGGCTAAACTAAGGTAGAACTGTGATGGGGCTGTGGACGTTAGGGTAGGTCTTGAGTATGGATCAAGTAAACTAGAGTTGGGCTTGAAAAAAACATAATTGGAGTTAGGGATACAGGTAGTACTACTAACAGTTAAAATATCATGTTTTAGATTCTACGTATCATACGTTAATTATGGCTTTGCTTACGACATCGGAGAAAACTTGGCAAACGCTTACATTGACGTGCCCTTTAATTTGACAACTACAGTTAATATCATACTATGTTATACTTGGGTAAGCCTAACTTAAATTTTTTTTTTTATTTTTTATGTTTTTTTGAAAATTTCGTTTTAAAAACCATTTTGACAATTTTTTATTTTTTGATTTTTAAGTCTTTGCCAATGTACGAAAAACGAACCGTCTCTCGGTTGTTCCTCAAAACAAACAGGAGAAAAGAAAACAACAAGAGTTGCTTTTAGCAAGGCAATTCTGTATCATTGCTAGTGTGTTTACATGTAGGTTTTATAAATTAATGTTAGACCAACCGCTACTAAAAAACTTAAACAATTTTAAGGAGAGAGTTACTAAAGATGCCGTATTTTACTAAAAAAACAAAAATTTAAATTTACGAAAAAATACAGTAAGCGGTAATTGTTTTTCTTAGACTTGACAAGTTTTTTGAGCTAGTTTGATCTAAAAAGGATTTTTTATTGTATTGGGCTAGAATTGACAGCAGGCTCACTAAGCACAGCCTGGTGTAGCTTATCCCAGCTAAGACCAGACCAGCCGAGGCAAGCTCACACGAGACGAGCTGAGCACACATCATTCTATTTTGATCCAATCTAGTAGCCTAGCCAAGAGCAGTCCAGTCCAGCCCAACCAACCCCAGCCTTCCTTTTATATCATGTAGGGCGGACCAAAAAAAATTCAAAAACAAAAAAAACCGACTGACTTTGGTTAAAAATTGGCTTGGCCCGGCTTCTTTACACTATACTGGGCTGTGCTAAGCAATAAGTGTTTTTGTTTAGACTGTATTTAAATGAAAAAAAAAGAAAAAATTTTTTTTAGTTTTGTGGGTGTCATTTCGAGTATTTCCGTACTTTATCCCGCCACGATCTTCTATTGTCAGCTGTATACCAATGTCGCTGGCTTTGTACTGCATGTTCAACTCTTTCATTTTTCTGACCATGAATACTGAGGTAGGTTTAAAAAATTATTTTTAATTTAAAAAAATATTTTTTTTCTGAAAATTTGCATAAAAACTACACAAAAAATAAAAGTTTTGTTACAGTATATTATAAAAGACAATCGTAGTCTTTGCAAAAATCGTAATTTGTATATGTTTTTAGTTCAAAAAAGCGTATCACCAAGTATTAGTCGAAAGGATTACTAATCATTTCTCCAGCGTCAACAGAGTATCAGATACGTCTTAACCATAATCTACTTTTCAACTTAAGATGTCTTTCTGATTATTGTACGTTTTGTTATCAGAATCAAAAGTTATAGTTACGTCATCGTAAGCATGTAATATCTTATCCCTATCCTACCGCACTTGTCCAACTTTAGTCTGGTCTAGCTCTACACTAGCTCTATCCTAGGTCGGTTCTAGATCTAACTTAGTTCTAAGTTGACCCTGTCTTGTACTCCAGCGCAAGCTCTTTACAAAGCTTTATTATATGTTTATTATAGATCTGACTCAATTCTACTCTGGTCTTTCTTTGCATCCTGCCCTAAATCAATCTACCCATGCTTCAAGTCTTATTTCCTATTCTCTACATCCTATACCTACTAGCCCTTCTTTCTAAATGTCATTTTTTTACAATTATCATGTTTTTTAAATATTTGAACTAAAGATGAAGACGTTTTTGGACTTGTGTAAACATGCATTTCCCAAATAACTTGATTCGACCTAAAAGATGAACGCTGCTTCCGAAATTAATGCGCAACTTCTTGGATGGAAAAGTATTACTTTGGTTTTTGTTCAGTTTAAAACTGATTGTGTTTGTTTCAACTGCCGTAGCTTACTTTTTACTGGACTCTGAACTTGTTGTTGATCATGAACATTGGAGTGTAAGGTTTTTGTTGATAAAGAAAATGCAAAGTAAAGTATTATATTGCAGTGTACAGTAGGGTAGGGTAGAATAAGGTAAGACATGGTAGGGTAAGGTAAGATAAGGTGGAATAGGGTAATATATGGTAGGGCATGATGAAGCAAAGTCGAGTAATTTACAATAAAGTAGGAATAGGTAAGGTAGAGTAAGATAAGGTAGGGTAGTTTTAAGCTTGCAGCGAATGTTGTTCTAACTTTTTTTAAGTAAGGGTGGTAAGGGTTGTTTTAAAAAATCAAAAATAGAGTATTTCACGGTTTTTTTAGATTTTTTAAAAATAACATAGCAATGTTTTTAAAAAATTATTTTAGCATGTTTTCATATTTGTCATGCAAACCTTGTTATTATATGGAATTGGCAAATCATGCCAAAATTCATTGAAAAATGCCCTAATTTCTTTATTTCCTCCATCAAAGGTCGTTCAACTATACTTTATTACTTGTAAGTTAGCCAGAACAACATGCTTTAATTAAGGCATTGCCAATGACAGACTTTGTCATCTTTGATAACTTTTAATACAAGGTAAAATGTCATGTTTTCAGACCTGTTATGTGTCATAACAATAGCTTTGTTCACCTTATACTATCCAGAATATTTTCCTGAAGTAAAACGTCTAGATGTTTGGTGTATATTAACATCAGCGTTTTTTATAAACAAAATCATGGATTGCTTTGCAAGGAAATGGCAGGTAGGCTTTGCTTTATATGTATAATGTTCTAAACAGAAGCGGCTAACGGAGAACTAGCAAAAATATTGGGTGTGACTAGGTAGGGAAGAGAATAAGGCTAAAAAGAGGATTGCACCAAAATACCTCTTGAGTTGTATAACGAGACATATATGGGATAATAGGGCATGAAAAGTAGCAAATATAATGGCTATAAAAATGTATTGTAAAAAAGTGCTTGAAACACAATGCCAAATTTGCCAAATTGGCGGGAAACCGAAATAATCCAAATTTAAAATTCAAAAACGCGAGTTCAAATTTTTCATGGATACTATTGGTAATACAAAGAACCTATATAAAAATTTTTAGCTTAGCTAATTCTGAGGCAAGATACTTTTCCTGTGCTGTTTTTAAAAATGGCTTTTTTGGTAACTTTATACCTTCTTTCTTCCTTTATAAGTCTCGTTTTAAAACCCTAGGAATACTTAGTGCAACCCACTTGTAAGCTAACTAGAGCACAAGACTAGAACAGGTAAATATTTTATTTTTTGTTTATTAACCCTAAATTTTCAGTTTAAACGCTTCAAAGCCTACCTCAAACTCCAAAACAGTTTTGCTAACGTGGAAATAACCGAAGAATTTTCTTATCTCAACTACAATTATTTGTTTTCCAAAAAAACTAACACTTCTCGGTATAACAACAATAATGTCACCAAAAACTTGTTGATATACGAATACGTTCGGCTTCGACGCTACGCCAACCTATTTCAACGTATGAGTGTTACATCACATTTGTCAGCCAAATTGCTGGTCCACAATGATTTAATCAGCGAGGTTAACAATCACATGAACATGTTCTTGGTCAAAGACAAATCATTGAAACAGTTTGACTCACTGGCCGATTATCAGCTTCTTGACGCATATTACACAGTTTAACTGATAGTATTGTGAAGAGAAGCGATTGGAGTACAATTAAATTTAACAAATATTTAACAGATTAATAAAGATTACATTTTTCAATTGATAAACAGTGTAATTGTTTTTTTTTGTCAACTTTTTAACATTATTTTAAAAATCAATCACTGATAAAGATGAAGTAAAAGCAAAACAGGAAGGGAGGAATAGAAAACGAAATAAATGTTATACTAAAAAGCTAAAACTAAATTTGGTATCAATAGTGCTGTGGTAAGACTAGAATACCAACTTCTGCTGCCTCTTTTAACTTATAAGGTAAGGTTGAATAGATCTTCATACGTTAGAGTAGAGCAAGCTATGATAGAGTGTAACAAGTTAAGGTAGAGTATCGTAGAATAGAACAAACTGAAGCAGAGTGAAGAAAACAAGGCAAGACAATATAAAGTAGGGTAAGGTAGAGTAGGCTAAGGTAAACTAGCGCAGAATAAGGTAGAATAAAGTAAAGCAAAGCAAGGTAAATTAGAGTAAGGCAGGCTGAAGCAGAGTAAGGCAGAGAAGGGTAAATAAAGCAGTGTAAGGTAGAGAAAAGTAAAGCAAGGTAAGATAGTGTAAAGAAAACTAAAATAAACTAAAGCAGTGTAAGGTAGAGCAAAGTAGGGCAAGTTAAAGTAAAGTAGAGTAAGTTAAAGTAAGGCAGGTAACAAACAAAAAAGTAGGATAGAGCAGGTTAAAGTAGTGGAGTACTATTTTGTACAAGACAAAAAAAGCATTGTCGGTTTTTAATTTTATCATTATCATTTTTTCCAAAATTTATTTCGAAATTCCAAAATCATAGTAGCATGTGCTATTATTTTTCCTGAAATTTCTTTGTATTAATCTCTGTTTTTTGCCTTTTATTTACAAAAAAGCGATTCGGTTTTTCTTATCAGAAGCGAGGTTTTTTAATACTTTGTAATAACAATGACTAATTCCTTGAGGTACAACTAACAGTTGAATTTCTAAAGAATACAAAAGTTGTCAAAGGCAAAGTTATAGTTTAGATGTAAGTTTGCAATATCGAAGCGATAAAATAAAAAAGTAAACGACAGGTATAAAATGACGTGCTTTGAAAAAGTATAGCAATAGCATTTGAAATCAAAATTTTAAAAAAATTCTAGAGAAATAGTAAGTCATTCCTATTGATTCAGTAGTACTGAACTATTAATTGTATACTAAGAATCAGAAAAATAAAAAAAGCCAACGTAAATACCGGTGGAATGTGCTTGTTAGTCAACTAAAAGCGTCATTTTAAAAATATTTTGTTTTAATTAGTATTAAAACCGTTTTAAAACCAACAACAAAAGCTTTCTGTTGTTAGAGTGAGCAATCTTGACATTACGAAGCGTGCAGACTCACTTTGGATTCGATTCTTTATAAAAGGGCAGCTTTAACGTTCAACTACAATTTGTCTTTTAAATTTTTTAACAGTTTGGTTGCTCTGTCATTCCTCCCCCTGGTTTAGCTCTACCCTAGCCTCACCCTAGCACTACTTTAGCCTTATTCTAGTCTGACTTTAGCTCTACCCGCCTCTACTTGAGCTTAAGCTTTATAATTTTTAACCCCTTTTCTCTACACCCCCACCCCCTCCTTAACCTAGTCTTCGTTGCGCTTCCTAGCTTAACTCTACCCTAACTCTACTTAGTTTTATTCTTAAGCCGGCCTTGCCTTCGCTTAGCTTTACCCTAGTATTAACTTGGCTCTAGCGTGAGCTTAATCTAGCCTTGCCCTAGCACTACATTAAAGCAATTTTAATTTTATTGTAACTTTATTCTTAGCACTACCCTAACACTCTAGTCTTACATTAACCTTACCTTAGCCATACCTTAGCCCTATACTAGCATTACCATAGCCTACACTAGCCTTACCCTAGCCCTATCTTAAACATACCTTAGCCTTACCCTATTCCTATCCTAGTTCTACCATAGCACTACCATATTTCTACCTTAATTCTGCCTTAGTTCTACACCAGCACTGTTTTAGCCAAACGCTAGTTTTAGTGTAGTCTTACCCCCTATTTTTCTCTACTTTACTCTGCCATTTTATAAACTAGTTTTATGAGTAATGTCAACAACTTCTTATCAAACGTGCACACCCATTTTTATGTTCTGTATTTATAACAGTTTTAGGCTGGTAATCTCGTTTAATTTTAACTGTGATTTTCATCCAGAAGCTTTTTTTTGACACTAATATTATCAATGTAAAGTTTGAAATTGTAATTTCAGGTTCGACCTACAAAATATGATCAAGTTAGTAACGGCATTGCTTGTCGTTGTGGCGCACGCTAGCGCATTGGATTATGATCAAAGTAAGCTTTAATACAGCGTGATATAAAGCTCAAGCTTATCCTTAACCTAGTTTTATTTTAACCATACCTTGGCCCTGCCATATCTCTACCCTAGCTTTACTGTAGCCTTACCTTAGCCCTGCGCTAGCCCCGTACTAGCCCTACCTTAGGCTTAGCTTTGCTCGACCTTAGATATTTGTTATCCTAGTCGTATCTTTGCCAACGTTGTAGCTGTATTTAGCCTTACGCTGGCCCTACTTTACTCCCACCTTAGCTTTATCTTAGCCTTACTTTGAAACTACCCTAGCCCTACCGTAGCACTATCTTAGCTGTACCCTAAAGCCTTACTCCTGCTCTAGTCTAACCTTGACTTTAAATTAGTGTTATCTAGCTTTGCTCTTTACCTTAGCCTTAGTCAAGCCTTATGCTTTTTCTCCCTATCTCTACTCTATCATACACTTTTGCTTTTCTTGAGTTTTGTTTCAGCTCTACTGAGCTATTGAGTTTGCTAGATTTCGTCAAGTTAAAATTAAATTTTAAAATTATTTTAAAATGTTTATAACGTTTGAGGTAATTTAGACGGTGGCAAAGTCAGTTTGACGATTGGAGAAGCTGCTAAAATCGACTTAAAATTTCAATTGTCCGTACGCACTAGTTCTCTTATTGTATTTGGCCCAGAGTGCAAAGATGTTGGAAGTTGCACTAGAAATGGACATCCTTTCTATGATGCTGCGTAAGTTGCTGTAACACAGTTATTGCTTTTCACACGTCTTATGGCAAAAATTGTTTAATTTTTAATTAAAAAAATATATTACGAATAAAAAAAAGCTCATCAATTATATTTATCAATATAATTTAGTAAGGACAAGCATACTTTAACAGACGGTAAAGATCAATTAGACATTTACAAAACAAAGACGGCCACCAATGTCACAGTTAATGTAAGTTTCAACTGGTATATTTGAACGGATTAATACAACTGCTTTATTAAAAGAAGCAAAATCTTTTTAACTTTGCCGTGTCATTATGTTTATATTATAATAGCACTATGTTAAACTATAAAATATCAAATTTTACTTTAGATTGGTGACAAAACAGTTCTACATGACGTTAGCGTTATATTTGCGCCTGTTGAAGAAAAGACTAAAAACGATACCTATCTATATGACGCTCTTCTTGGTCTAGAAACAGGCAGTGGCTCGGCTTTTGATAAACTTGTTTCTAGTTATGACAATAAACATCTTCTTATCGTGCCAAAAGACCAAGATGTAAGTTTTTTTAATTGTTTTAACGTTTCAAATTACTTACAGTAAACTGAAAAATAATTAAAATATTCACTGTTGTAGGACAAAGACAGCAAGCCTCAAGCCTTGTTAGGCAGTGAGCCAAAAAAAGCTTGTGGCGAATTCACACTAGTCGATTCTACGACCAATTTTTAGACAAATGATTATATGTAAGCCGAACAATATACACTTACCCTACCCTACCCTACCCTACTATACCCTACCCTACCCTACCCTACCCTACCCTACCCTACCCTACCCTACCCTACCCTACCCTACCCTACCCTACCCTACCCTACCCTACCCTACCCTACCCTACCCTACCCTACCCTACCCTACCCTACCCTACCCTACCCTACCCTACTCTACCCTACCCTATCATACTTTACTTTACCCTATCTTACCCTACCCTATCCTACCATAAAGTGCACTTTTTTTAGTTATAATGGCACTGGGGAAAGCGTTACATTAAAAATTGCCCCTTCATTTCAATCAAACTATCAAGCTTCCTCTAATGCAAAATCAAAATTGTTTGGAAATCCTTCGCTTACTGAAGATGAATTCAATAATTTGAAGAAAATCAATGTTAAGTATGGTGGTCAAAAATTAGAAATCAACCAACAAGATGGATACAAGAAAGAAGGAGATAACTATAAACTTGACGTTGCTGACGCACCTAGCGACTTCGACTTGCTATTGCCAATTCATTTGTTCGAGAATCATTGAAGTTCGTGAAGGATGGCGACAAGTACAAGGTTGGATTGGCTAAACGTGAAAGTGAACCCAGTGGTGCTGGTTTGGCGTCAATGAGTTTGGCTGTATTAATCGGAATGTGCGCCTTACTGAAATTGTAAATTGATTTTGTGATAATAAAGTGTTTTTAAAATTTTTTTTTGATTTTTAGGGCTAAAAGTAACGTGTACTTAACAAGGGGGCTGAACCATATATTCGTCGGTAGTTTTAAAACGAGACCTACATAGGATGGGAAAGCATAAGTTACGAAGAAAGCTGTTTTCAAAAACTAGCACATGTTCATGACTAGCTAGTTACAGTACGAAAGATATTCTCTTACTTTAAAAAAGTATAGCTTTAAATTTTGGAAAAGAATAGTATTTGGTAAATATTTGCTCCTAACAATAACAAAAACTAAAAGTTATGACTACAAAACATTTTTTACATAATTATGTTTCGGCAACAGTGACAAAACGCTGAAGAGAAATTCAAATTGGACAGCCTGTGTAAATTCTTCGGAAATATCTTGCTAGCCGAGATTATATAGCAGTTATTGAAAACGTTTTTTTCTTGTTTTTATGATGCTATTTTAACCTATGTATATATAGGTCTCGTTCTAAAACAAAAAAGATATTTGTGTGACTCTCTTGTAAGATACACATGTATAGATACAGTGAGTGGAACTCCTTCAAACTTACCAATCTTTGACACTACTTCATTGACCGTATAGCGTAGTTTACTTCGCTGTATTAGCCATCAGAAAGTTATAAGCTTCGGGCGATATTGTGGAATCAGTTCAAAGCAGGTCGGAGTAGACATTCGGCTAATCAATTGATCACTGCAACACATCGAGAAAGTACTGTAGCTATACGACAGCAAAATGGTGGCTTATAATGCTCCGTCCTGAAGACAACACGCTTCACAACAAAAAGAAGTTCAGAAAAGCTTAAAAAAGATAAGAAGAAGCATTCAAACAGCGGATTAAAATTAGTTCACGAGTTACAGTTAGGGAGTTTGCAAATGCCTAAAAATGGTCAATTTCTAAGCGCCTTTGAAGTCAATAAATGCATACCTAAAGAAGTTCGAAAAGTGTGTGCTTCACAACCTGAAAGATGAACAAAAGAAAACAGACAGCATATAAGATGTTGCTACAAGCTAATAATACGTATTGCCTGGACCAATTTGTTACTTGCGATAAGAAATGAGTTTGCTACAATGAAAAGACACTAAATGTATTGGCTTCAACTATTATACATTCTAAAGCCTTGAGAAGCACCTCATCACGACTCGGTAGCTGAAGAAATAGGATCACTTAGATAAGGCCCAAATAAAAACAGCTACAACGGATTGTTCTGATCTTCTTCACCAAACCTTCATCAATGAATGAATCATCATCCTCACTCACGTATCAAACTATTACATATAGCTCGCGTTGGAAAAGATAATAAACTATACGCTCATCATGGTTAATAGACTAGCCTTTTGGTCTGGGGGCGGGGGTCGAAAAAATCGGCTCAGGTTGCAGCTATCAATTTTTTTTCTGGGGGGGGATCCCCCCCCCCGTCAACCCCTCTCCCCATTCCCCCCCCCCATTCCCCCCCCCCTCTCCCCCCCCTATCGTCCGGCTCTGCCCACACCTACTTTTCAATCGCACACAATCTTGTTTTATTATTCCAATGTTCTTGACAAAAGTTTTGTTAATCTTTTAATCACTGATAACTTTCGATGTCACTTAAGTGCCGCACCTTCTTCTGTCATCATCGAGTTAATGAAAGGGGCGTTTTTTGTATTATGACTAACATGAATATCGGCTTATCAAAAAAAGGCACCCATTTTCTAATCGTAGATTTAAGTTTCACAACTTGTCAGTGGTATTTAAGTGGCCTATCGGTCAACTTTCCTTATTATAGGCTGCAGGGTTTCAGCAAGTATGAGGTTAGTGACGGTTTTAGTGGCTAGTCTGGCAGTGGTTAGTGCATTGGATTATGATCAGGGTAAGTTGAGTTTGTATAGCGTTAATTTTATTTAAAGTAATTAAAAGTCAACTATATGGCATTTCAGTAATTGCACAGTAATCAAGAGCATTACACTTGCTTGTAATACTCTCAACTTTCAAATCAAAATTTGAAAATTTATTGATTTTTCAGAAACCAGCAAAGTGACGTTATCAATTGGCAAAGGAGCAAAAGTAGACATAAAGTTTCAGTTGTCTACAATTTATGAAGACTTTTTGGTTTTTGGCCCTGAATGTAAAGATGCAGGCAGTTGTTCAACGGAAGGACACCCAGTATATGATGCAGCGTAAGTTATATTTGCTTAAAAACTTTGAGTACTCAACGTTAAGAGCAGAGTACGTAAGTAATGCTTGTTGGGATGAACTAGAATACGGCAGGGTGTGGTAGAGTAAAGTAAGGTAAGGTAGGTAAAGTCAATCTTTCGAATAAATTTTATTTTGTTTTTTAACCAGTCTATTTCAGAAAAGACAAAGTGACGTTAGAAGATGGCAAAGCAAAGTTTAATACGTTCAACACAAAGCTGGCAAAAGATGTTGAAGTTGACGTAAGTTACGATACAAAAATCATTTTCAGGATCTTTCTACCATACTAAACTTAATAATTCATGTATTACAAATTACATAAATTAAATTAAAAAAAGTTAAATGTACTATAATATTTCAGACGGGAGATAAAACGATCAAACAAGACATCAGTGTTGTTGTAGGTGTTGTCAACGATCAGTTTAAGCAAGAATCATTCCCTTTTGAAGGAGTCTTCGGGTTAAAATCAGGCAAGGACAAACCGTTCGATAAGCTTGTCTCGGCTTTGGACAAAAAACACTTGCTCATCGTGCCGAAATACCAAAATGTAAGTTTCTTTACCAATCTCCTCCCATTAAAATGACTAGCTCGATACTGAATATTGCGTTCTTACTTTTAACAGTAAAAATTTTTAATTTGAAAAGTCATTTCTTTAGGACACAAAAAGCAAACCTACACTTTTGTTGGGTGCTGAATCAAAGAAGGCTTGTGGAGAGTTCAAGCTTGCTGAATCAACTTCTGATGTCTGGACTAACGACTATGTGTATGTTTGAAGATTTGCGTTTAATTCGCCCTGCCTTTGCCCTGCCTTTGGTCTGCCTTTGGCCTGTCTTTGGTCTGCCATTGGCCTACCTTTGTCCTGCCTTTGCCCTGCCTTTGGCCAGCTTTTTCTGGGCCTTTAATTATTCTATTTTTTAAATTATACAACTATTTTCAGCCGCAAAATAAACGACTTGGACACCACTTTCAAAATTGCGCCGTCCTTGGACAAAGTGTACGCAGTTAGTACCAACGGGCTTTTGCTCTTTGGTAAACAGGTGCTAAGCGAAAACGAGTACAATAACTTGCTGAAATACAAGGTTACATATGGAGGTGTTGAAATTGAAATCAATCCCCAAGATGCCTACGAACTACAAAAAGACAAAAACTATGAACTTCAAGTAATGATAGCAGATGGCAAAGGCTTCGATTTGGCTTTGCCAAACTCGTACTTTGACAACTACTGTGTGAAGCTTGCAAAAGATGGTGACAAATACATGGTAGGATTGGCCGAACGACAAAATGGAGTTGGCTTAGCGGCTATGAGTTTAGCTACATTGATGGGAATGTTTGCTTTGTTACGGTTGTAAATCTGTTGTGTTGATAAATCTTAAAAACGTATTGAAAGAAAAGATGGTTGAGTAAAAAAATTACATAAACAATACAAAAGCCTAATTACTATTAAAAATAAGAAAAAATAAAATTTTAAAAAAAGTGAAATTTTTTAAAAATTTGTTAGCACTGAAATGAAGACCTGAAAAAATCCCACAAAGCCTTTCCAAGTAGAATAAAATTTGAAAAAAGTCAATCAGAGGCCAGGGTCTACTTTAAGGACTTCCGCTGAAAACATTAACACGGCTCGCGCCCGACTTCAAAAACCAAGCCAAATAAAATTTGAAAGTAGTCGAGCGGGACTATCACATTTAAGCCTGAGGACCGGCGCCTTTATTAACAACTATACTATATATTATACTAATTAGCGAATCTCAACATTGACGACATGATTATCGATATATTTTTGCAATCTTAGCACAAACGCGTCATTTTTTGATTTCAACGATATTAATCAGCTATTTTTTAATTTTTGGTTTTTTGATTATTTTACATACTAAAATACATATACATGTACAAAGGTAGTCAAGAATGAATAGAGCATAATGTTTTTTGTTTTATATTTTTACGATAAGTTTAAAGCGAGTTATGGCATCCGCCGACAATTCTAGGCCTCCGCCGGCTCTCCGCCAAGATTTCCAATTCGAAAATTTCAATAGAAACACTTCTTTGTAAAGAAAACTTTGCAAAACTTTTAAAAAAAATTCAAGTTGAAAAACTTATTTTTAATTGAAAAACATGTGTAATTTGGGGTAAAAATGCGTTTTTTCAAAAAATTCATTAAAAATTTAATATGCACTCTAAAAATTCAAAATTTTGCACCAAAAAATGAATAAGCCAAAGTTTATGTGTACCAAATTTCAGATTTTTAGCATTTTTTGTAAAAAAGATATAAGTCCTCACTTTCGCTTATTTTTCTTGGGACACCCTGTAAATTTGAATTCAAATAAATTAATACTAAAAAAGAAGCTTATATTATAAACCAACACTTATGGCTGGGGACTTATACTTCAAATTTTTTTTCTTTAAAAATATTTTTTTTCTCTGTGAAAATTAAAAAATGGCGCAGAAAAATACAGAATCCTGCGCCATTTGAAAAAAATATCGTTTGAAAGAGAGAGAGTCTTTTCTCTAGTGCCTCTCGTTTTATTGTGCTCTCTTTTTAAAACGGCGCAGAATTTTGTATTTTCCTGCGCCATTTTTTGGTTTTCACTGAGAAAAAAAATATTTTTAAGAAAAAAAAATTTGAAGTATAAGTCTCCAGCCATACTTGACAGAAAATCCGAATTTCCCAGCCTTGAAAGCCCGAAATTAAAAATAAAATAGTTATGGCCAAAAACGGGTACTTAATGGAGGAACCTCTTTTCAAGTCTGAATATAAGGCGTTGTCGTCATTTTAAAAAACTAATTGTTAAAGTCGTCCACACCTACTTTTCAATCATCATTTTTGTTTCATCAGCCTATCTTCTTAACTTATCTTTATTGTTAATCTTCCAACCACTGAAACGTTTCTTTGTCATGTGAATACTACACCTTCTTCTTTCATCATTCTTAGAGAAAGGATTTTTTTTTGTATTCTGACTAACATCAGCATCGACTTATCGAACAGCACACCCATTTTCTCATTGTATTTTAGATTTCACTACTCGTCAACTGTATTTAAATTGCGTATTGGTCGACTATCATTGTTATAGGCTACAGGGTTTTAGCAATTATGAGGCTGGTGACGGTTTTAGTGGCTAGTTTGGCAGTAGTTAGGGCGTTGGATTATGATCAAGGTAATTTAGTTAATATAGGATTGATTTGGTTTTAGAGTTTGTACAAGTCAGCCATATGGCGTAGGCCAATTTCTGTAATAACACAATAATCAAAAGCATCAACTGACTTGTAATGCTCCCAACTCCCAAATCAAAATTTCAGTTTAAAGTTTTTTAGAAACCGGTAAAGTGACGCTGTCAATTGGTAACGAAGCTAAAGTAGACTTAAAGTTACAGTTGAATCTATTTGCTGAAAAGCTCTTAGTTTTTGGGCCTGAATGTAAAGACGCAGGCAGTTGTACAAAGGAAGGGCACCCAGTATACGATGCAGCGTAAGTTGGTCTTTAGTTAGGTAGGGTAAAGTAAATTGAAGTGAAATAAAGTTTTATACTGTTCTTTCTACCAGATAATTTCAGAAAAGACAAAGTGACGTTAGAGGATGGCGTTATTAAAGTTGGAAAGTTCGACACAAAACTTGCAAAAGACGTTGAAGTTAACGTAAGCTAAAAAAAATAATTTTAATTGTCTTGTTAGCATACTGTGGTAAAAACATATTTTTATACGATATACGATACAACTTTTAGTTATGTCGAGTGTGATTTTAAATAGCTAACTATAAAAATATTTTAGACAGGAGATAAAACGATCAAACAAGACATTAATGTTATAGTAGGGGCCGAAGATGAGGCAAAACAAAAATCATTTTCTTTTGAAGGGATCTTTGGATTAAGATCTGGCAAGGACAGAGCCTTCGATAAACTTGTCTCGGCTTTAGACAAAAAACACTTGCTCATTGTGCCAAAATTGGAAAATGTAAGTTGTTGTATCAGACCACTTCAGCTTATATTGTTATCGTTTTAACAGTAGACACTAAGAATGAAACTTTAATTTAAAGAGTCATACCGAATTTAAAAAATCATTTTAAAGGTTTTTACTTTAGGACAAAAAAAGCAAGCCTGAACTTTTGTTGGGTTCTGAATCGCAAGCTTGTGGAGAGTTCAAACTAGTTGAAACGACTTTTCAGTACTGGGCTGACGACAATCTGTATGTCTGATGATTTGCTTTTGCACTATCTTTGCCCTGTCTTTGCACTGTCTTTGCCCTGTCTTTGCCCTGCTTTTGCCTTGCTTTTTCCCTGCCTTGCATTGCTTTTGCCCTGAATTTGCCTTGCCTTTTCGTGTTCAACCCTATTCTTAAATTTCAAAATTCTTCTAACTTAACTGTGTTTTAGCCTCGTAACTAAAAACTTGGCCACCGATTTCCTAATTGCGCCGTCCTTCAGCAAATCGTACGGGGTTAGTAGCATCGGAATTGCGCTCTTTGATAAAGAAGTGCTAAGCGAAGATGAATACAATAACTTGGAGGAATTCAATTTGTCATACGGAGGTGTTGAAATAAAATTCAATCCTCAAGATGCATTCGAACAACAGAAAGACAAAACCTATAAACTTCAAGTAACTCATATAGTTCAAGACGAAATTGATTTGGCTTTGCCAAACTCGTACTTTGAGAAGTACTGTATAAAGTTTGCAAAAGATGGTGACAAATACATGGTTGGATTGGCTGAACGAAATGATGAAAATCAAGGCCAAAACGGAGCTGGCCTGGTTGCTACGAGTTTAGCTGCTTTGATGGGAATGTTTTCTTTGTTATGGTTGTAACTTTTTTGTTTTATACTAATCAATAAATGTTAAAAAGTTACAGAAAGAAAAAAAAATTTGAACCTTTCGCTTGAAAACTTGAACTCGGCCTCCGCACGGCTACAAAAACTAAACTGAATCAAATGAAAATGTAGTCGAGCCATCAAATTCGGGCCCGCGAACCAGCTTCCAAACCAACTCTTTTTCGTAATAAGCTTGAGCCCGCCTCACGCTTGGCTCTAGTCTAGCTCGTTCTCAGCAAAATCAAACTAGACTTGAAAGAGGCCAAGAAAACACATGTAGCCGGAGGATCCTGACTCAGAATAACTTTTTAGCCAAAATAATCTAGCCCAGCTTCTTTACAGGACTACTGTGAAAAAGCATTTTGGCTTAATTACATTTTTTGAAGTTTTAAACTATTTTAGATTGCTTGACCTATTTTTATAACCATTATTTATACTTTTTAAAACTAACACCCTCTATCAGGTTTGGTCTTACCACGAAAGCAGACAGTATGGATTGAGCTCAAAAACTCTCTGCTAAACAATTTTTAAAGACGAACGTTAAAACTGCCTCTCTTTTAAATACTATTAAAAAGATTTTTAAAAATTTTATTTGCCTAACATATATATTGTCCATGACTGATAATCACTTTCTAGTTTATATAATAGCAGTTTTAAGCACTTGGACTCTCATATCTTTACCTTTGTAGAATTAAAACATTAGAAAAGGGGGAGAAAAGTTGAAATCTTCTTATCATTTAAGCCTTTTCATTTTTTTGTTTAGAGAATTTTTTTTTCAGTCTAGTTATCCTTTCTTTGTGTAGTATTTTAGGTGTTAGTGGTTTGACATAAACATGAAAACGTTGTGTATTGTGCTTGTCTTTGCAGCATTGGTTGGTGCTCTAGAGTATGATCAAGGTAAGATGACTTACAATTTTAGTTTTTTTAGCAAGGCAAAGGCAGGGCAAAGGGAGCGCAAACGCAATGCAAAAGCAAGGCAAAGGCAGGGCAAAGGCACTGCAAAGGCAAGACAAAAGCAAGGCAAAGGAAGGGCAAAGGCTGAACAAAGGTAGGGCAAAGGAAGGGCAAAGGCAGAACAAAGGTAGGGCAAAGGCAAGGAAAGGCAGAACAAAGACAGGGCAAAGGCAGGGCAAAGGCAGGGCAAAGACAGGGCAAAGGCAGAGCAAAGGCAGGGCAAAGGCAGGGCAAAGGCAGGGCATAGGCTGGGCAAAGGCAGGGCAAAGGCAAGGCAAAGCAAAGGCAGGGCAAATTAGTATCTGAAAACACATGTAATAACTGTTTTTAGAAACCAGTAAAGTCACATTAACAGTCGGTAAAGAAGAAAAGAACGATTTGAAGTTTCAGTTGACACTAGCCAATGATGATATCCTAGTATTTGGTCCTGAATGTAAAGAAGACTTTAGTTGTTCTCAACATGGGCATCCGTACTATGATGCTGCGTAAGTTAAAAAGCTTAAAAAGTAAAACAAATTTTAGAAAAGACAAACACGCATTGGAAGACGGTGAAAATAAATGGACCTTATTTAAAACGAAGCTTGCCAAAGATCTTGAAATAAATGTAAGTTGACTAGAAATGAAAGAAGAACCGCTAAGCTCACTCTAGCCTGCCTTTAGCTTAATCCTGAATCCGGTTGAGCAAAACTAAAACAACTTAAGGAGGTTAGGCAGGGTAGTTTTGAAGACCGGAGCCCGGCATAAAAAACGCATAATAGACTCCAGGAGCTTAGCTTGGGTTCCGCAACAAAAGATTTAACTTTTTTAGGTTAAAAAGTTTTAAATATATTTAAATTTTAAAAGCAAAATAATTGCTCAAAGTTTAATGAAAGATTCATTTAGGGCGGTGCCAAAACCTCAAAGCTGGATGTGAATGTTATTGTAGGTCTTGTCGATGAAACAAACAAGGGCAATGACTACTCTTTTGACGCTTCGTTGGGCCTCAAATCAGGAAAAGATAAACCGTTTGACAAACTTGTTTCTGCCTATGGAAGGAACGATCAATACTTGCTTCTCGTGCCTAAGTTAAAATGTAGGTATACGTCTTTTATGACTTTTTGATTTTAACTAGCTTGTGCTTTAGTTATTGTGTGTTACTTTAAATTTGTTTTCAGGATAACAATAGTACACCACAAGCTTTCTTAGGTGCTGGGCTAAAAAAATTTTGTGGCAAATTTACTCTTGTTGAATCGACTTCAGATGTTTGGACTAATGACTTTACGTAGGTTAAAAAGTTTTTTTGTACGACTTAAACTCGCCCACTATTTTTTTGAAATAATAAAAAAATTTATAAGAAAATTGAAAAAAAGTAGAACGTGGTCCCCCTAGTTAAAAAAAAAATTTTTTTTATAATTTAATTTTTAAAAAAATTTTTATGTCCATGCCACTTTTTTCTTTGCTGTTCTTAATATCAACAATTTCCAGCTACAAAATCGATGCCAAAGACGTCACGTTCAAAGCAGCTGCAGCTTTCGAAGACAAATATGTTGCCAGTACAAAAGCTCTTTCCCTCTTTGGTAAAGCCAAAATTACTGAAGACGACTACAAAGAGTTAACAAAGTTTAACGTCAAATATGGCGATGTTGAGTAAGAAATCAATCCTCAAGATGTATACAAGCAAAACCCAGACAAAACGTATACAAGAGAGGTCACTGTTGGTGATAAACAAGGGTTCGACTTGGGATTGCCAAATTCATTGTTTGAAAAGCATTGTTTAAAACTGGCAAAAGATGGTGACAAATACAAGGTTGGATTGGCTGAACGACACAATGGAGTTGGCTTTGCTGCTGCGAGTTTGGCTGCTTTGATGGAAATGTTTGCTTTGTTACAGTTGTGATGTAATGTGTTAATAAACTTTTTGAAAATTTTTGAAATTTTGAATAACTACTATACTATTTATTCCTTTTTTTAACGCAATATATACATAGACGTGAGGGGGGACGATGAGGGTGTGGTGAAGACCGTCAGAGCAATCCGTTGTAGTTGTTCCCAATAGCTACAAGTCCCAAAAATCAGTTTAGAAAGACTTTTGGTACTCTAAGCTTAAGCCTAGTTTTAAGCAAAAAAAACAAAAATAATTTTTTTTAATTTTTAAAAATTATATTGAATCAATAGGAGGGACCAAGTTAAACCTTGCAAAAAAAATTTTAAAATTGTATGGGTAAGAACAAGAAAAAGAAAAAAGGTGAAAAACAATCTTCAGTCTCATAAACAATTCAACGTCTTCACAACAGTTTAAAAAGTTCAACTAAAAAATGTCTTATTACAAAAGCACACCCATTTTTGCGTATCGGATTAACTTTCATAATACAGATTGCTAGCCGAAGTTCTTGGTTTTTATGGTCTCACTTTGATTTTTAAAGCATTCTAAACAACTATGAAGTTTGTTGCGTTACTAACATTGGTTGTTGGTTTTGTCAATTCATTAGAATTTGATCAAGGTAAATCTCTTGCTTTTGTCTTGCCTTTGATTTGCCTTTAGTTTGCCTTCGGCTTGCCTTTGGCCTGCCTTTGGCCTGCCTTTGGCCTGCCTTTGGCCTGCCTTTGGCCTGCCTTTGGCCTGCCTTTGGCCTGCCTTTGGCCTGCCTTTGGCCTGCCTTCGGCCTGCCTTTGCCCTGCCTTTGGCCTGCCTTTAGCCTGCCTTTGGCCTGCCTTTGGCCTGCCTTTGGCCTGCCTTTGGCCTGCCTTTGGCCTGCCTTTGGCTTCTGCATTTGGCCTGCCTTTGGCTTGCCTTTAGCTTGCCTTTGGCCTGCCATTGATCGGTCTTTACTGTGCTTTTTCTCAGCTTTCGTTCTGGCTGTGCTCTGCCTTACTTTTCAGAATTACATAAATACCAATTTTTGTGTGGGTTACCTTAATATCACTTTAGAAAAAAGCTCATTAGCATTGTCAATTGGCGATAAGGATAAAGTTGATTTAAAGTTTACATTGGCTTTACTGAAGGATTTCGTCGTAGTTTTTGGAGCAGAATGTAAAGAAGCAGGCAGTTGTTCCAAAAATGGTCATCCATTTTACAATGCTGAGTAAGCGTTTTCAAAATTGATGGGCAAAGACATATGATTTGGCAAAGTAAAAATTGATAATTTTAGAAAAGACGGCATTACACTAGAAAACGGTGAAGATGTGCTTGGATTTAAAACAAAATTGGCAAAAGAAGTTAAAGTAAACGTATGTCATCATGTCATCACTTATTAATGAAGTTTTATAATAATCACTGGCGATTTTTCTTTAGCAAAGGATAAAAAAAACTTTAAAAACATTTAAAAAAATGAAATTTTAATTTTTAAAAAATTTAAAAAACCAAATTTTAGAGTGGTGGCAAGACCTCAAAGCTCGATGTCAATGTTATTGTTGATGTTACTCATCAAGAAATGAAAAAGCAAGACTTTAAAGATGACGCAGTTTTAGGTCTCAAAACAGGCAAAGACACACCTTTTGATAAACTAGTTTCGCCTTATGAGAGCAACAATCAATACTTGATAATGGTACCAAAATTTAAAGATGTAAGTGTGCTTGAAACTTCAAAAAAATGTGAAAAATATTTTAGAAATTTTTCTTGGTTTTTTTTAATTAGAAAGTACATTTTTTAAACTTTAGGACGATAAGAGTGTACCAGAAGGCTTTCTTGGCACAGAACCAAAAAATGCTTGTAACAAATTTAATCTTGTTGAATCAACTTCTGATATCTGGACAAACGATTTTAAGTACGTTACCAAAACTTTTTTTACCCTACCCTACCCTTTTCTTACTTTTAACCTACATCAACCCTATCCTAGTCTTATCTGACTTCTACCCTAGCTTAACTCCACCCTCATCTTTACCCTACTTTAGCTTTACTATAGTCCTAACTTATACATACTCTATCTACTCTTACCCCTGCCCTAAAACCATAAATTAATTTTTCAAATATTTTTAGCAAAGTGATAAATGACAAAGAAGTTACATTTAAAATAGCACCAGCTTTTGAAGAAACATATGCCGCCAGTACAAAAGGACTTGAATTGATTGGAGATCTGTCACTTACTAAAGATGCCTACAACAAACTAAAAACGTTCAATATTACTTACGGAGGTGTGGAAATAGAATTCGACCCTCAAGCTGTGTACAAATTTGACAACAACATGGGAACGTATAAACGTACAATAGCCACAATTGATAACGAAGGTTTTGACTTAGTTTTGCCAAATTCCTTGCTGAAGAATCATTGTATAAAGTTGGTGAAAGATGGTGACAAATACAATGTTGGGTTGGCTGAACGTCAAAATGGAGTTGGCTTGGCTGCTGCGAGTTTGGTTGCTTTGATTGGAATGTTTGCTTTGTTACAATTCTAAATTTGTTTGCTAATAAAAAATTAATTTTGCAAATACTAGAAAAATAGTAATAGCCTGGTATAACCTAAAAAAAGTTTTTTAACCAAACATAAAAGGCCACGTCTAACTTTGTAAATTTTTTTGAATTGTTGTCTAGGCTAAGCCTTGGCCCTCGATTTAGTTTTAGCCTTAGCAATTTATTTTTATGTTCTGTATAAAAGATAAAGTGCCCTCAGCTTTTTCTAGGACTAAATGTTTATAAGCCTTTGATTAGTCTAGTCTTACCCTATGCTCTTCACTCTACTCCATGCTCAAACCTATGCTCTACCTTCTATTCTTGCTCCTCAGCTCTGAACCAACATTCGCCCCTAGCGCTGTATTGCGTAAAACATACTAAAAATAATATTCAAATTCAAATATCTATTGAAATCAAAATAAATAAAGAAATACAACGCCATCTTAATACCAATAAGCCGCTCAAAGAAAATTTAAGCCTTGTTTGTAGTCTTATGTCATGTGTCTTGAATTTTTCAAAAAAATCGACTTATCGCAAAGTTTTATAATATTATCATAAAAACGTTGTAGAACGTTAAACTTGCATGAAACAGCCTAAAAAAACAAAAGAATTGACCTATCCTTAAATAATCACTTCCTTGGGTGCAGGGGTACTTAAACAGCAGATCTTTGTTTTAACATTCAAATTGCCATCGCGTTGTTAGCAGGGGTTTGTTAACATGAAGTTCAGGGCCAGTTTATTTATGTTTCTTGTCGGTTATGTTAATTGTATATACTTTGATTCAAGTAAGCAAGCTTTGCGTTTTTATTTTTAACGGCTGGTGAGGAAGCGAATAGAAGAGGGAGGGAGGGTGGGGGGGGAATAATTTTGATAAAAAAAGAAAAAAAAAGTTTAAAAAACTTTAATTGAAAGATTTTTTAAAAATTTTTAAAAGCGCAAAGTCTATTTTTTTTAAATTAGCAAAAAAAAAATTTAAGATGACCATTACTAATCAAATTCGTCTTAAAAAAATTAATTTTTAAGACGGACCTTTTTTCCAGGCTTGAACACAAGGCAGGGCATTGACGATTTTCTGTGCCTGGTAATGCTCTGCATGGTACAGAGCATTTCAGTTCGATGCCTTGCCTTGCGTCCAACCCTGCTGCTACTCCCTTGCCTTTTATAATATTAGGTTTTCCAAAGATGGATGAATTAAAATTCTCAAATGTGGATGCTTTCAATGGCTCATTCATATTCGGACTACCTGATAAAAAGTTGGTACAGTGGAACTCTTGTAATACTAGGCACAACTAGTAGTGGTATAACGAATCACTAAAGAAATTAAAAATTGTTTGTTATACGGGGTTTTTGTTATAGAATAGTTTGTTATATAGGAGTTGCACTGTACTTGAATTAATCATACATACGTTTTAACTAAAACATCATTTTTAGTTACCCATTTATTCAAAGCTAGACTTGGCTCCAAATCATCACTTACAACAGACTTTCACTTTGAAAGAACGAGAAATGATATTTTTGTGTTTGGTAAGGAGTGTGCAAAAACGAATTGTACTACTGATTCTCATCAGTTGTACGATTTTGAGTAAGTTATTACTTATGCATAAATATAAATTCAGCTTGAGGTTCTGACTTTTGACAACTAGAACTCTGTACACTAAAAAGACAGTTAGTTATCGCTTTTTCAGGCCTACTATAAGCAATTGTTTTGACAACAAGTGCTTATAGTAGACCTGAAAAAAAGGTTCGAGCTCAATTTTTCCGTCTGGCTCTTTCGAAGGTTGCGTCGGGTTGGCTCGGTTTAACTTCTTGTATAAACTAGGTAAACTAATTATGCATTTATGAAGACCTGCACGCCAAAAATGAAGTCTCGCCTTGGTTTTTCCAGTTATTAAAGAATTTTTACATAATTGGCCAACCCGATCCGAAGCAAATTTAAAAGGCCAGCACACTTAGGCCACAGGAACGAGGCTCAAATTAAAGCCTAGTCATAGGCCGAGCAAAGAGGGCATTGCAACCTTTTTACAAGTCTAATACAAACTTTTTACATGTCTAATATAAGGTATTACACAAATTAGTATACACCCACATCAAGATCATTCTTTTTAGAGCAGATGGTAAAACGTTGTCAGGAAACTATGTCGAATTCAAAGACGCAAACGTTTATACCAGAGATTGTGAAGATGTTTCTTTTACAGTATGTTAAGTTGTAAAAGACTTACTTATGTTTCATACCTAAATTAATATGACATATTGTTGAGCTAAACTAATATGACATAATGTTGAGTTAAAACATTAAAAAGTCATTTTTAAGGTAGCAGATAAAACAAGCACACATACAGTTAAAGTAGCGGTTGCTCCTGTTGATGAAAAAAGTATATGGTCGTATAAGTATGATGGATATGTTGGTATAATGTCGGGCAAAGATTCTGCGTTCGACAAAATTGTCAATTCCTACGACAACAAACACATGCTTATTGTGCCATGGCGAGTTTGGGTGAGCTTAAAATTAAAAGAAATCATTTATTGTGTTGTAGAACCCAACAATGGAAGGCGATCTTCTACTAGGTGAAGAGTCCAAGAAATGTGGAAATTTTTCCTTCACAGATTCTGACAGTAATTATTGGTCTACCACTACTACGTAAGACTTTAAAAAAGATTAAAAAATAAAATAAATTTTAAAGATTCCCTATTATGCACTACGGCTTACCAAATTTCTTACCACGTGTCCTACTTACCTCATATATACCCTGTTACTTGTCTTACTTTATGCCTTACCAGTTGTATTCCTCTTGCTCTACCTTATGCTTTGCCTTATGCTCCACCTTATTTCCTCGGGTTCAGGAACTTTTGGGGCAGGAACTTTTGAGGCCAACCTTTTTGAGCAAGGAATTTTTGGGGCGGGTAATTTTTTTGGCAACTAAATCCGCCACCAAAGTTCTTTGCCTCAAAAGTTCTCGCCCCAAAAGTTCCTCGTCCTAAAAGTTAACCCCATTTCCTCTTGTCCTCTCTCTCCCTAACCCTTTTTTAATTTTAAAAAGTTTCAGAATTGGCGAAGGTGACGATAAGAAAACGATAAAAATAGCTCCGGCATTTGTATCCATTACACTAGCTAAAAAGTCAATTATGGAGAAATATTTTACAAAAGAAAACGACATTGATGAAGCAACCTACAAGACTATGAAGTCCTATAAAATGACATATGCTGGATTTGAGTTTACTATTGAGCCAAAACATGTTTTTTTAAAATTAGACGGAAGATATTACACGATGATCAATCCACTTGATGATGATGATGAGATTGATTTTGCGTTTGGATACGATATTTTTAAGCAAAATTGTTTCAAAATGGTCAAGGATGGAGACAAGTACAAGATTGGCTTAGCTGAACGGCTTCCTAATACTTCTGCAGCCCTGTTTGTCAGCGGTTTTACTGTATTGATAGCTTTATTGATGTTTTGCTAGATCATAAATATTGTTATAGAAGTACGATTAATTTAAAAACAAAAATGTAAAAATATATGTTATGGCCTATCCTAGAATTTAAGACACAATAACATAATCCTAGAGCTAAAGTACTTAAGCAAACGGTTTTTTGTAGTTTTCTTTTTTTGGGTTCTTGATATTTCATAGTCAATATGTTTTTCAAAGCAAACGTATTATTTTTATTTGTAAGCTATAGTTATAGCTTGTCTAACGACGACAGTAAGTTTTTCGCTTAATTTTTTCAGAAAATTGTAAAACTATTTGCTTATATACTAGCATATGTTACGCCTTATTCCATGATCTACTCAATGCTTTGCTTTTTCCATTCATTACTTCAGGCCCTACTCTATATACTTTAACACATGCCTTGCCTTATGTTCTACTTCATGTCCTACTCCAAGCTTTATTTCACGGCCTTCTCCACTGCCCGACTTTGTAACTTGCCCAAGGACTTCCATGCCTTACCCTATGTTTTATTCTATGTTCTATACTATGCCTTACCGCTTGCTTTATGCCATACTCCTACGCTATGCCCTTCTTCATGTCTTACCTCATGCTCTACTTCATGCTCTACCTTCCTACCCTGTTGTTCTGTGAAAGGATAGCTTTATTAATCTATCTAATAGTGAAAATTGCATTGTAATTACAGCTTTACACACATTCGAAGTTAAAATTGGCTCAACTTCTTCATTAATAACAAAAGTTCATTTTGAAAGAACTGAAAGTTACGTTTTCGCATTTGGATAAACTTGTTTAACAGAAAAGTCATGCACAGACAGCAGTCACGTTCCATATGACTATGAGTAAGTTAAAACAAAGTTAAGAGATTAATTTAAAAGTGCATTGTCAATTTAAAAGTGCATTGTTAATTTAAAAGTGCATTGTTAATTTAAAAGTGCATTGTTTTAGAGCTGACGGTAAAGCACTGTCAGGCAAAAGTGAATGGTTCGCAGGTGCTCACGTCATAGTAAGGCAATGTGACAAAGTGTCTTTAACTGTAAGTATAGATTCTGTTTTTTATAGGCGTTAAGGCAAAACAGGCTTTTAAATTACCGTAAAAACATTTTTCCCCTAATGTCATACCTATTTTCAGATAGAAAACCAAACCACCACCCATAATATCAAGATAGCGTACGCTCCTATGGATTCTAATAGTCCACGTTCGTTCCTATACGATGCTTTTATTGGCATAAAAGCTGGAAAAGATTCAGCTTTTGATAAGATATTAGATGCATACAGTAAAAAACATATGCTGATTGTGCCTTGGCGAGTTCAGGCTGGGAATGTAAGTTCAAATATTTTAATTTAAAAAAAACTATTATTGCATTTTTTATCCTAATGCATTTACCTTCAAGGGAGGGGAGTGGAAAGAACAAAAAGAAACAAAAATTAAGTGTAAGTAAAAGTAGCTTGATAGTTATAGGAGTTAATAATACGCTTTTCAAGAAACAAAACAAGGCGGTGATCTTCTCCTCGGCGAGGAATCAGAACATTGCGGAAACTTTACGTTTACAAATTCTGAAACGGATTATTGGTCTACAACTACTAAGTAAGTATAATTGCGAAGTTTTGTTACAGTAAGTACAAAAGTAGACACTTTCAAAATTTTGCTCTTGCATTTAAAAGTTACTTAGCTTTTGGCTTACTTTACGTATTACTTTATGACTTACCCTATGCCGTACCATGTGCACTATATAATGCCCTACTGTACTCTATCTCATGCCTTACTCCGTGTCTTATTCATGCACTATCTCATGCGCTGCCCCATGAGTTGCTTCATGGTCTATTCCAGGCCCTATGCGTTGTTCTACTTCATGTTTTACAAAATGCGATACCTCAAGTCCTACCTAATGGTCTATACCATGCAATATTCCATGATGTGCCCCATACCCTAACACATGCTTCCCTCCTCCCCCCCCCCTTTAGATTATGCTATATTATATGCCTTACGTTATGCTCTACCATATTTTTTATTTTATGATTTATTCCATGAATTACCCCATAATCTACTCCATGCCCTATTCTACGAATTACCTTATAAGATACTCTATTTTCTATACCAAACCCTCACTTATGCCATATCTCGTGTTCTAGCATATACAGTATCCCATGCCTTACTCCATGATGTATACCACACCCTACTCATGCCCTGCCCCTTGTCCTCAACCCTCCTGCTTTTTTTAATTTCAAAAATTTTTAGAATTGGCGAAGGTGACATCCAGAAAACGATAAAAATAGCTCCATCATTCGTATCCATTACTCAAGCCAAACAATGGGTGAAAGAGCAATACTTCTCGAACGAAAACGACATTGATCAAGCTACATACGACACGATGAAGTCATATAATATGACTTATGCTGGATTTTCATTTACTGTCAAACCAGAACACGTCTTTTCCAAAATCGATGATCGATATCACACTATGATTAATCCCCTTGATGATAGTGATGAAATTGATTTTGCGTTTGGAAGTGAAGTGTTTAAGCAAAATTGCTTCAAAATGGTCAAAGATGGAGATCAGTACAAGATTGGTTTAGCTGAACGGTTTACTAATAGTCCTGCTGAAGCTGCTGCTCGGTTTTTTAACGGTTTTACTGTGCTGACTATATTGGTAATATATTTTAAAATTTAAGAAAATTGTACAGCATTTTTCGGTCGTTTTGATCATTTTAAAGCTGATGTTGATCATAATATATATTACCAAAGTCTATAATCATTTTATTATGACCTTTATTAAAAATTTTTAAAAACCATTAAATTATGCCAAAAAATGTGTAAAAATTAAGTTATTACTATATTATTATGTAGTAAAGCACCTGGATATGATGTAAAATGAAAGAGCCATTAATATTAAAAGCTATAAATACATTATGTACAAAAGGAACATAGCAAAACCTACCATACTATAAAAGTTAAGAACACTCAGGCAGGGCGGGCGCGAGGGGGGGGACGAGAATTTTTTTGGACCCCCGCCCCCAGACCAAAAGTCCCCGCCCGGCCCTGCACTCAGCCACACTAAGCTAAACCTCCAAAATGTAACTATAATAGCCTAAATCCCAAAAAAGTCCATCAAAGACATGAATATCCTAACAAAAACAATGATAACGACCGGTTGATAAGCAGAAATGCACGAAAAAGCCGAAGAAGGCGCGTCTGGAGCACCAATTCTGATTGTTGTAGCTGAAGACCTTGGTCCGGTCCCACCTTTATTGAATCCAGCGACTTGGAATTTGTAGTAGAACATTAATTTTAGTCCATCTATTCGAGCTGACGGCTTTGCTGGATCTTGAAGTTGTGATTCTAATAGGTCCAGTACTACCGGCTTTTCCGCGGTTTCACTTATGTAGACGTATACCTATAATGGTGAAAATTAATAGATGAAATGAAATATATAATCTGGTTTTAGTTCAAATTGTACTTTTAGAAATTAAAAAATCTATTGATCAAGTTTTAACTTACGGAAAAACTTTTCGTCAACTTATCTTTAAATTTTTTCAAGTTACAGTAAGAATACCGTAACCAAAACTTGAAGATAAAAAAAGTAAATTATATCAATTTATAGAACATAAAAATTAGTATGTAACCTCTAAGTTTCATCTTAAAAAATTGTTTTTAAAAAAAATTATGACCATTTCAAAACGTCGAAAATCCAAAAAAGTTCGAATCCGCCTGGAAACTGAATATTTTTTAAAATGTTGGTGTTTTTCATTAGCTATAACTGTCTTTCTAAGCCATATACCTTTAAAAACTCATTTTTACATATAATATCCCTAACGTATACCCTAACAACGCTTTGTTAACTTAAAAACGTACGAAACTCAACTTTTTTTGAAGCAAAATCCTCAAAAAACCCACCTTATAACCTCTATCGTTAGCTGACGAATTCCCAGCAGTTTGCAAATTCACAGCCGACCAGTCGATTAAAGTCGTATAACCAGTGAGTGTTTCAGCCAGCTTGATTTGCTTAATCACAGGCACTTCATTCGGGGCTGGTTCAGCCGTTCTAGCCGGTTTTGTGGTCAAGCTTTGCCTTCCTCTTCGGCCATATTGATCAAATGCTCCGATCGAGCATTGATATTCGGTATAAGGCTTCAATCCTCCTAACAACCACTGGCTGTAGGAATGTGGTATTGATATATTGAACTCGGCGTTCTTTTCCGTGATTTCCTTTACTGGACCATCAAAGTTTTCGACACAAGAGATCTGAGCTCCTACAATGTTTTCACATTCTCCAGCTCGTGCCCATGCCCAAGACAAATTCAAATGTGACGCATTATAGGTTTGTAACGTCACATCAACAGCAAATCTTTTTGGTCCATGACCAGTGACATAGACTACAGTATCCGTAGCAGCTGGTCCTGCTCCAAGGTCATTTAGTGGTTGCACGCCTACGGCAATCACTTGACAATCCACATCGTTCTTCTTCTTTTCCAGATTCTTCAACGCTATCACATGACTCGGTTGATCCACAATGTCATAATGATGACGTACATCATTGGTAGAGTCCGTCCATGTCACATTGTACCTCAGGTTGGGTCCAGATGTGTGTTTTAGTTCCACTGGGTCCCATTCGAGTAATAAGTGTGATGTGTCTAATATTTTCCATCGTATGTTCTGTACGATATCTTCTGGAGCTGACGGTGGAGTCAGTAGCCAGTCGGTTGTTGATGAAGCTGAACTTAAAGTTCCGTCAGCTAATAGTGTTCGGATTCTGAATTGATACTTGTTGTTTGGAGACAGCTGTCGGACTAGATAAGATCCGATAATCTTGTCTTCGGTACGATATAAAGGAGTTTTTACTGTTCGCCAAGTACGGTCATCCATTGTGCGATGTTCTATTTGATAGCCTTGGAGAGGGGGCTCACTTCGAGCTGTGTTACCTAAAGTATAAATATTAACAAAAAATTTAACTATCTCGTCATGGTGAATATAGTTATCACTAAATTTTAGCAAAAATTTCTTTAAAAACATAATAAAAACTTTTGCAAACCAAGATAAAAGTCCTTTCGCAACATCTTTACCTCTAGAAACCAACGGCAAACGCCACGCCAACTTCACAGCAGTTGGTTGAACTTCCAGTACCTTCACCTGAGTTGGAGTAAACGACGAATCCATAGAACTACCTCCATATGGTTCCAATTCCGCACTCGCTCCACCAAACACAGAAGAACAAGCAAATCGTCCGACATTGTGATTGACAAACGCTGCAGAAGCATCTAGTTCGGCATGTTGTTTTAGATGGCCATCTTTCTCGGCACTTCGAATAAATTGACGCATTTTCAAACGGCCTTTATGTGCTAGTTGTCTGGTCGATTGATCATTGAATTGCCAGTCAAAATGGGCTTCTGGGCACATATCACCTTCACTACATTCTAGCTCAGCTTCACAAGTCAACCGAATCCCGTAGCCGTCGTCTTCTTGTTGAACCGATTGGCTGATCAGCACTTTTGGTTTGGCTGCAAAAAAGATTTTTTAAATAAACTGCAGAAAACCTCGTATCTTACAATAATAACAACATAACTATCTATATTTTGTTACCTAAAAACAAAAAATAACAAAAAAGACAAAAAAAACTTACTCATGATAGTAATATTGACGAAAGCTGAAGCTCCGCCAGCATTATTGAACGCTCTACATTCATAACGTCCAGAATGAGCTTTGGTAAACTTTTCAATAAGCAGTAAGGTCACATTGTTTTCGATAATTTCCTCAAACTTGGCGTTAGACCCATCATGGCGCAACCATTTGGCCTTACCGTGCGGAACGGCGAAGTACATGCATGGTAAAACCTAAAAAATAATAAAATTACAATTTAATAAACTGATATTCACCCTAGGTTTACATAAAAAAAATTGCATTCAAATTTATAAAGATTGGGCTAAAATTTGGTCAATATTGTAGTTGACGCGATCACGGATAATATAATAGCTATTTCTTGAAAATAGTCAAATGTAAATCCAATTCTACATTCAAAAAAAAATTTCCTATGCCTTTCTAAAGTCACTAAATTTAAAACAAGCAGAAATATACCTAAAAAATAAAGTTTCGTCTAAACATTGTTATCCATGAGGTTTTACAAAACATATTGCCCATTAAACGTAAAAACCTAAATTCAAAACCACAGACAGATAAAAATACATCAAAAATTAGTCTCATAGCATATTAACACATATGATGATGTTCACCATCAATTTTACCTTGAAATCGACAAGAAAACGTTAAAAACTTGTCTACCACAAGATCAAAAGCTCTTTCAATGTGATAAACTAAAAATTAAAGAAAAAGTGGTTTAAAACATAATTAAAGACAAAGCAAAGTGTTATAATGCATAAACGTTGTTAAAATACGAATGAATTTGACGTCAAGACGATATTTTTAGTTTTCGATAAAATTTTGACACTTCGCGACGTTTTCCAATCAAAGAATTGAGGAATGCCACAAACATTAGGGGTGAGAAACGGGCCGTCTAGGCCCGGCCCTACGATCGGGCCGGGCCGGCCTTGAGCTAAAATTGAAACGGGCCGGGCCTAAACGTTGGGCCCCGGGCCTGGGCCGGGCCTTAAAAGTGGGCCCGGCCCGGCCGTTTTCTCACCCCTAACAAACATTTTTGTTTTTCTTATGCATAAACATAAATAAGCTTATGTTGTACAACAATATTGTTAATTGCTGTTTCTTTGAGCGTCATTTTAGTATTTCTTGTTAATTTTTGTAAAATACGAATCGGCGATATAAAATTTTTAATTCTTACCAATTTAGATCCTTCGACGACGAAAACTCTTTGAGGAAAGATGTTGGGATGAAAAACTGGCGAAACATTTTTGACCGTTAATCTAGCCGTTGAAGATGTAGATCCAATATCGTTGGTCAAGCGACATTGATAAATACCTTCGTCTTCTTTTTCACATCTCTCAAGTGTAGATTGTAGCCTTTAATCCTGAAACGTTTTCTTTCTTCTGGAGCCATGAGTAATGGAACTAAAGGTTGGGCGTTTTTGAACCATTCGATGTAGGTATTGAATCCGCCTTTTTGCTCGATTGCTGTGCATGAAAATTCAATATTGGAACCAGTAGATGTTAACGTGTCTTTAAGTGGTCGAAGGATGGAGGGTTTGGCTGAAAAAAGGGATATTATAGTAGATTAGAGGGCGGAGATGTGGGTCATTTGGTTTTTGATGTAACTTTTTGGGAAATAGAGTTAGGGGCTTGGAATTTTGAAGGCTTGCAGAAGATTATACCTTTAACTATACTAATAAACGTAACTTTAAAATTTGCAAAATCGTTGAAGTTACAGTAGTTTTACCCTACTCCTCATATTATAATAGATCATGGCTCGTTTTTCGTTTAAAAAAACTATTAAAAAAGTTATTAAAAACCAAATTGAAAGTTCAAAATAGGAGTTAAAAAGCTGTTTAAAACTGACAATGTACAACAAGGTGTATTTCAGCCGAAGCGAGCCCTCTTTCATTCATTGCTGTACATTTATATCGCACAGCGTCTTCTGGTTCAGCCGCTAGGATTTTTAGTACTCTGCCATAGTTTGTGAGGTGATGTCGACGAGATAAAGGTTTTCCATCGATTCTAGACCAGTTATAGGTTGGAGGTGGGCTGAAAATCCGTTTATAAGGCTTTGATGTTAAGGTAGGTTAACAAATAAGATGAAATAGTACTCGTTGTGTATTAGTAGGGAGCTGGGTTCAATATTTTTTACGTTCTTAAAAAAATTAATCAAAAAAATTTGGGCGTGGTAAAAATGGGGGTGGATAAAAAATGTTGAAGTAGGGTAGGTTAAATAAAGAAAGACTTACAATCCATAAGCAAAGCACTCGATCTGTACCACTTGGCCTCTAATAGGCATTTCCGGAAAGACTTGAGGTTGACTTTCATCAATCTTTGGTGCAAACGACACATTTTCGGTTGTTTGAGGTAGTATCAAGTTGAAAAATGGACCATATTGGCCAGATCTTGGCCCATTTAATGCCAGTGTGCAGGCATATGTATCAGCGTCTTCGTTTGTGTTATATGAAAAATAGAGGGTACCATCCATTGAGACGAAGATGCGCTCGTCTACTTTTACAAACTTGTCTGTCATTCCACTGCGCATCCATGAGTAACGATGGGATTCTGAAGGTTTTTTGTTTTTTCGTTGTTTAGTTTAGATTTGTGAAGGGTTTTTCTTACTTTTAGGAACATTTGGGTACCTTGTAGTACTTCTATGGCTATGTTATAGACAGTTTGACTAAATTTCGTAGCTTTAAGAACATAGGGCTTAAACTTTGTTTTTTTTATTTTGATGTTATTGGGTTGTTCAAATAATTCTGCACGCTATAACTTTGAAAATTCGTTTTGAGAAGTTCACAGAATTATTTGAACCACCTAGTATTATTAATAATCTTATTTTAAGTAAGTTATTGCCGATAACAGTGCAGTAAAAGTTTATTTATAGTGCATACAACGTTCATTATCAATGGGAAAAAAACAAGTACATTTACAGTACCTAATAAATGACAAAAAAGAAATTTAGTGTACTGTAAAAAGTGTTTAGGTGCTATACCAAACGTTTGTTGTACTGTAACACAAATTTTTATATAAAGATTACAAAATCTAATTCAAGGATTCTACTGTGATGTGTTATAGTGAGACCGTGCGTATGAATTGTGTGTGTTGGGTGTATTTTAGTGTGACTTTGTATAAAAATGGGTTAATATTAATCAGTGGGTGAGGTGTATAATACAATAATGTTTAAAAGTGGGTGGAGAGTGTGGTATTATAAGAGATTACTCCTTTACTACCATTTTGCGTGGTGTTGAAGGTGTGAAACAATAATGTGGGTAAGTGGGTGAACATACAATGCAATAAGTGTCAATGATTCTACATAAAGTGAAGTGTTGTGTTGTGTAGTTAATAAAAATATTTGTGTAGATGCTGTGAAGTGCGTAGTGTGTAATATATTGTGACAAAACGGGGTGAGGTTTTTTATAAAGAGAGTTGTGTAGGTGCTAAAGGTTGTGAAGGTACTAAAGGTGAACATGTGCTTACATAAAGTTTTTTTAAGGTGCATAAACGTGAGGTGAGTTATATGTACTAGTGTAGTAGACGTGAGATTAGTTAAAAGTTTTATATGATAGTTTAGTGTTCTTAAATGTATAAGTGCAAGGTGGTGCTGTGTGAGACCGTCTTACGAGCAGAAACAGGGATAGATCAACGCCCCGCATGGGTAGATTGTGTCCCCGCAGAAATATACCATTCCCCTCCTATGGGACACTCAGCAGTGCAGAAGAGAAGGTCAAATAATGGCTTTGTTAGTGCAGTGCAACATAGAGTTGTGTGAAAAATAAAAAATTTGTGCAGGTGATGTGCAACTTAAAAAAAAAGATCAGTGAAAGCGCAAAAATTGAAAAAAAAGTGTGATAGTGCTAAGAAATTTTGGTACGCCTGTCGAAGGCATACCAAAAAGGGCTGTAACGTGAAGTGATGCGAGTGAACAAAGTGCAGAAACGTGAAAAAATTGTGTTGGAAGGTGCGAAAGTGCAAAATATGAGTGCAAAAATGAAAAAAAATGGTGCAAAGTTTAAAAATAAAAGTGCAAAAGTAAAAAATAAGGTGTACTTTAAAAATTGCATGTGCAAGCTCTAAAAAATTTAAAAAAAGATGTTAAAAAGAGAAGTAACCGGTTTAAACTTGTGTTTTTGTGAGTGAACTAAACGTGAACTACCATACTATCCTACATAAACTTCTTATAAAGTGTTGCAAAGTGAATGTGCAAAGTGTAAATGGTGGTAAATGGAGGACTAAGTGCTTATTTATTGTGTGAAGTGCACGTTGCAATGGTGACTTGTACGGTGATTTTTGTACTTGGGTTTTTATACACTTACAAGTGTGTGTGTATATACTTAGAAGTGTGTGTCTAATGGTTTGCGTAGTGAAAAGTTGAGTGCAAGGTGTAAGTGATACTATGGTACTATGACAAGTTCAAAATTACTCAAATTTTGTGCTATTTTTGGTAATTTCAGAATACCATACTAGTTGTGTAGTGTATAGTGTTGGGGTGATAAAGTGGGAGTTGGATTGTTTATATGTAAGTGAGTGCTTTTGTGTGTGTGTGTTTTGTGAGTATTGGTGGGTGTTAGTGCGGTGCAAAACAAAAAAAAAAACAAAAACCACGGTACGACATAAAATGTGACATAAAGATAAAATTGTTAATAGTCCAAAGTTGCCAGACAACTTTGGACTATATGATAGTTATTTCCTTAGTGCATATTGTGTATGCAAGTGCAAAAAAAAAGTGTAAAAAATAGTGGTGCTTTGCAGTTAGTGATAAGGTTGTGTTTTGGTGAGAGATGGTGAGAGATAAAACTGATGACAAGGTTTGTGGCCTAGCTTAAAAACGTTATAGTAATTGCCAGTACCAAGTGTTCTACTTGCTAGTACTAGCTACTGTAGACTAATATAGAAGCGTCTAGGCTTATAAAAAAAATTTTTAAAACTCGTTGTGTGTGTGTAAGTGACAGTGAGTGCAAATGACGAGAGTTCTGGCTAAGTGTGTGTGCTCTTGACATTTTAAAATGAAAAAAAGACATGTTTAGGGATAAACAATAGATACTGTAGACAAAAGTGACAATCTGTGGCAAAGAACTTAGGCGGAAATGGCAAAAAATCAATATTTGTAGGCTGTGATGGTAATGCATATAGTAACGTTCCAACATTGTGATGAATTTTGTACAATATGGTTCCTTGTGCCATAAACATCATTTTTTGTTGTCGTGCTCGTCCACTTTGTTTCTACTTTATTTATTTCCAAAATCCATGGTGTAACCTGTCATTTGAAACGCGTTGTTCAATGAACTCCATCATTTACTGCCGTATGCTACACAAGTTAAAATCAATTCTTCCATTTTCATGAACTTCTCGGTTCATCTTTAGTGATGCAGTATTATATTGTCATCTTCATAGTATAAAGTTATTGTCTTCCCAATATGGTTACATTACTTGAGTGTGTGACGGATGCATCTGTGCATTACCTACAGTGTAGTCTACATAGTGCAAGTGCAATAAGGTTTGTCGCCCTGTTTGAGGAATTCTAAATTGTACAAAATTTGTAAATTTTTTATACAATGAGCATTTGCTTTAAAAGTCGCGAGAGTACTAAAGTCCGCACGAGAGTACCAATGAGATAGTGCACAATATACCGCGATGTAAAATATAATATTATCCAGATAAAGAAAAAGTCTTATAGCTTAAAATTGTTATAAGTTAACGTTGTGCTGTGAGAAACAAGCTGTACTTTTGACATTTTCATTAAAATTTAAACAGACAGGTGAAAGAAGTGAATATAAGAATGATAATTAACCTGGTTTTAAGCCTTTGCTAAATTTTTACTACTTGTGAAGCATTAGGCTTACATATAAAGAATTAAGCTTAATTTTCAAACCTTAGGCTTAACTGTAAATCCTCAAAATTATCTGTAAAACCTTAAGCTTAACTATAAAGCCTCACACCAGGCTTAACTTTCGAATATTAGACTCAACTTTAAAGCCTTATGTATAACTAAGAAGCCTTAAGCAAAACTGTGATAACTTAGACCTAACTGTAGTAAAATCAAGCCTAGAATCCACGCTACAAAACTCAAAAACCCAGCACCAAATCCCACACTACACTAACGTTACAACTGTTTGAAATCACTAAAAGTTGAAGATAAAACCCCACGGATGCGGATTTCCTTCCGCCGCTCATCGTTTTCGTTATCTGCCGCTTTTCCAGTAGTAAAACAACAATCTAGACAAAGTGCTTTTGCAAAAAACGGCGCAGTAAAGTTTTATTAGTATTAGACGAATTTTTAATTTTCAAGGTTTGTTTCGGGTTCATATAAAGAAACTGGCTTATGATAGGGTGGTAGACAAGTGTTGTCGTTAATGCAGGCTTAGAAGGCTTAGTATTTGTTATTCAATTCATATAGTAGTTTGTGGTTAAAAAACGACAAGACTTTTTGACATCTTAACAAACAAGCGTGATAAAGCCATTAAAAGTTTTACAAAGAAAAGTTATAAAAAAAAGGTTTACTATAAGCCTAAATCTGAAAGAATTATCAAAAAAAAATGTTTTTAATAAAGCAAGGTCAAAAAATTATTAGAAAAAAGTATTGCAACTTGAAAATGATAAGCGTAGATGTGTAAACAATCGTTTTTAATTGATGACAGTTCAATGGAACAACTTTAAACCAAGTTTAAAGAAACGTTCATGCTTTTACAAAAAATGATGACTTTAGAAGGATAGGCATTATTTTTAAGGCTAGAACCAAACTTTTTTAAAAATTTGTTTTAATGACAAGTTTTAAAAATTAAAAAATTGACCAAATTAAATTTTTTAAAGGTTACTACCTACCTAATTCATTTTTCAAGCAGTTGGTCCCCTTATAAGCTTTGAATTTCAATTTTAGGTAACAAAAAGCTTTGTCGAGGCCAAAATGAACATTTTTTATCAGCAAAAAAATGAGGATTCAGTTGGCAAAAGAGAGTACGCTTTGCAAAAATTAGTAAAATTATGCGTTTCTGTTTACTATCCGCTACGAAAACACAAACAACGCAATGAGAAAACAAAAAAGTTTTGTAGTCTCATCTCATTAGGAATTCTCAACGGGCTTATGATAAGCTGGGGGGTTTGACAATCAATTATTATAAAATTTTTTATATAAAAAAGGTTTTGCGGCAGCATACTGTATAATGTAGCCAGAAAATTTTAAGTAAAAGGCAATGACGACAAAGTAAAAAGCCCTAGCTGTAGCTCTTGTCCTAGCGTTAACCAACTTAAATTCAGATATGGCTTAAGCCTTGGTCTTACTTTTAGCCTGAGACTGAGCCTGAGCCTAATCCTTAGCCTTAGCCTTAGCCTTAGCCTTAGCCTTAGCCTTAGCCATAGCCTTAGTCTTAGCCTTAGCCTTAGCCTTATCCTTCGCCTTAGCCTTAGGTTAAGCTTGAGCCTTAGTCCTAGCTCTAGCCTTACTTTAGCCCTATCTGAACCATTTTAAAAAAAACTTAAAAACCAAAACACTATCATATACACCCTCGCCCTCAACCAACTCCGAACAACTTTTTGACATACCAAACC